ATATATATATATATATATATATATATATATATATATATATATATATATATATATATATATAATTGATCCCAAACTTTTTAGTAAACCTACCCATCACAGAAAACTTTCTGCATTTTTACATTTTCAAAAAAAAAAACATCTCTATGATTTATAAGCTGTTTTCTCATGGGGACCAAAAAATGGGATTTTGGAAATTGCCAGCCATGTTTGTGGGGACATTTTAACCCCATAGAGTTGAGTCAGGCCCCCCAATACCCCCCAAAACACACACACACACACACACACACACACACACACATTAAAACAGAAATTGTTTGTTAAAATGTGTTACAAATGTTACAAGTTTTTGGTACTGAGAAGGAAATACCACTACCACTGCATCTAAAAAATGGAGACCTGTAGGTATTCTGGAAGATCACTCCATCACTAATTTTGTTTGTGTCTTCCAGGAAAGCAAAGAAATTAAGTGGTGCTTGCTGTAAAAAAAAAAATCTATTGAAAATGACAACAATGCCCCAGATTTAAAATATGGATCCAAGAGGCCTATGTCCTGATAGTGCATTCATCTGTTTATTTGTGTTTCATCTATTGATCTATCTAGTGATGGGTTTAGTATGGATTTAGTGCCTCTCAAGAAATTAGCTGTCAGATTTCTTCTGTTTTCACACTGTTTCAACAGCAAGTGTTGTTGAGTGTGTACCCAAGCAAGTGTTTTCTGATTGCAGGGGGACAAAACTAAGCTCAACTCAATGTTTAAAAAACAGTTCCAACAACTCCAAAAGCTAAAACAGAAACCAAAATCTAAAAAAAAAAAACATGTAAAATCTAAATATGGATGGGACATATATGTTTGAAATGAGAGTGTTATTGATGCTATCATGCGCATATTGAATGCATGTTAATAAGTTAGCCTATTTGTATTTCTTTTCTGCCAAGTCTGTCAACCATGTTTAGGCCGGTGAGAAAAGAGGTGGGATGAACCCCTACTCTCAATTCCTCTTTTTGATTTTTTTCTGACCTCATTATCACATTCATTTGTCAAAAGAGGAAGTTGGAGAAAAATAATTTCAAACTTCACCCCACAGCAGCACTTGTTGATTGTTCAGATGAAAATGTCAGTCTGTCATGAGAACTCTTGTTATGGTAATAGAGATTGACAATGTTAATATTTGGTCTTGGTGGAATAGATCTGCTGAAGAGCAAGTTAGGTTTGGGATAGAATACAGTTTGTAGAGTTGCTTTAAAAATCATGATGTTTATGGAAAGTCCCCGAAAAAAAACACGTCGTGTGTGAATTAAATAAAACTGCAAATGTCTACTCAATTTGAATAGTTTTTTGTTCATTTAAATTTGTATTATTTAATTCAGTTTCCTTATTTATTAGTGGAAGACTAGTCTTCCCCATATGAGTTCTAGACCTGTTTGAAAAGTCTGCACTTTCACAAGACAAGAATATCTGAAAACAAATTAAAAATCTTGATTTGAATTTATCTTGAGGAAAACAGGGCTTTATCACAGAATGGGGTAATACAGTTATGCACTGTTATTATGGTGTGCAATGCAGCTTTCCTCGCCCTGGACGTTGTTCCTCTCTCTAGTTATCCACTTCTCAGCTCTCGCGAGAACGTACTCGTTGCCCCCGTTCCCTTGCACCCCACCTCTCGCGAGAACTCGCGTCCGAAGGATGGTGTTGTGTTAGAGGGAGTGGGAGAGGAGGGTGAGGGGTACCCACAAAGATGTTGCGTGATTTTTTGGAAATTTATTTATTTAAATAAAAATGGCCGCCGCAGAGAGCGGAGAGGAGAGACTGTAAGTGTGAATCGTATCCATTCCCATTGTCACGGCTTCCAGTGTCATGCGTCGCGAGCGGCGATGGCGTAGGTTTTGATCGTCGCTGTGTATATTTTGTCAGGCAGGCTGAGGGGGGAATGTTAGCCGCGCTAGCCCGCGAAGGCGTTGAGAATACGTCACTCGCATTTCTCCCGCTCTTTTTCCACGATCAACGGACACATTGTGCGGCACGAGAGCCGCGCGCTTTATCCCAATGTGTGTTTGGTGTCGATTTCTGACGTTACTTCAAAAACTCCTCTAAAATGTAGCGCGAAGGGCTGCCTGGGGGTTTGGACGCTCACATGTTTTGTTTTGCTGATATTCGTGGCTCTTTCGCGTGAATGTTACGCCGCTCCCGTGTTGTTTAATTCGAAGTGTTCGGTAGCTGTCAAAAACAGCAGACTGAAGTAAGTTAGCTTGCTTGTGGCGCTGCAGGACAAGGCAGGGGACTGAAATGAGATTTGTTCCAGATAGATATGCCTGTCCTGGCGTGGAATTACTTGACTAAGTGCTTAGGAACGAGGTTAAGGCGCGTTTTACTTCAGTGTTATGGTGTGGCGCCGTGTAGGTCGCTGTACATCACCAGGTACCAAGTTTGCATATGCAAGCAAGTTGGCCAATGTGCTATTTCTCTGTCTGATGTCACTGCGTGTGTCTGTGTTGTTATTGCTGCTCATTTTGCCCCTGCAGCTTGCAAACCATATAACTCCAGGTGCAAAACACTGTTAATGCGACTGTTGTTCTTCTCGCATCACTGAAAACTGAAATAGATAGTAAGCTTGCTTTAGCATTGCACAAGGCACTCCCATGTGATAGCAGACTGGCGATATTGTTGAGCTGCTGACTTCCGGTAACCAGCTAACGGATCTAGCAGCATCATACTTGTCTGTATGTGCGTGTGTGTGGTCGACCGCAAGTCGATTTGCACAAATGGAGTAACACGCAAAACACTGGTTCATGTCTTTTACACACACTTGTGACATGTCTTGAATCCTGTGCAACTTCTTGCTGTGTTGCATGCTCCATGAATTACAAGGGCAGGTACTGGGTCATTTGGTCTACATGACATTGAGTTTGGAATATTTTATAGTTTTATCCATTGTAATTTTTACATTTATTATGGAAGTAATGTGGTCACTGAACTAAAATGTTGTTTGAAATGGGGCAAATTGATTTTTCATTATAGTGACTCAACTTGTTCCAGTAAACATATTACAATCTTTCTGACTTATGTTTTTTTCAGTGACGGTTGTTCATGCTGGCTAAACATGATCCTTGATTGCCCAGGGCGGTATAATTTGTTCTTATCTACTTGAATTGTTCTTAAAGTGTTTGTTCACCCGGAAATGAAAATATACCATCATTTACTCAGCCTCAAGCTACCCTATGTGTATATGACTTTCTTCTTTCAGCCAAACACAACCGGAGTGGTATTAAATTGATAAATATTCCAAGCTAATGGGAGTGAATAGAGTTTTTGAAGCTCCAAAAAGCACATCCATCCATTATAAAAGTAATCCATTAGGCTCCGGGAGGTTAAATAAAGGCCTTCTGAAGCAAAGTGGTGCGTTTTTGTTTGATAAATATCCATTTTTATAACTTTATAAACTATAATCACTACGGTAACGGCCGTTCACGAGTCTTGTTCTTGCAGAAAAGTGACCTCTGACTCGACGCATGACGCTTGTTACGAATTAGAAGTCTAACATGAGAATTTTTCAAGGGAAATGTCATGTTAACTATAGATATTTTTCTCACAAAAATGCATCGCTTTGTTTCAGAAGGCCTTTATTAACCCCCTGGAGCCTAATGTATTATTTCTATGATGGATGGATGTGTTTTTTTGGAGTTTCAAAAACTCAGGCTCTATTCATCTCCCCGTTATAAAGCATGGAAGAGCCATTATTTTTAATAGAACTTTGATTGTGTTTAGCAGAAAGAAGAAAGTCATACACCTAGGATTGCTTGTGGGTGAGTAAATTATGGGATTATTTTAACTATGTCAGATCAGAACATAAAGAGCTGTCTACCGCAGATATTAATTGATTTCCAGCTGAGTTTCAAGGCCTCCGCGTCTCCGGTGAAGCTCCTACATAGGATTAAATTGTACAGTCAACATTCACAATAATGTGAAACTTAATAATGACCTATACCAATCAGGTTTCATCACGATTCTTTAATCGACCGGCCCCCAATAAGTTGTGGCTTAAAGAAATCTTACAGAGTGGTGGTGCTCATTTCATAAATGGTTAGTTCATGCATAAGGTCAAACCTATAAATTATTAAATGGCTAATGAACAGAATATCTCATCTAGGGGAGGGCGATATACCGGTAGACACTATTAACCGGTAGAAATTTGTCATCCGGTTAAAAATTTTGGACTGACGTCTCTTTTACAGTTACGTTCACGTGATGTTGCTGTGCTTTGTGGTCATACAAGCTTATAATGTATGCATTTTTAAGCATTGCTGTGATTTTTAAACTGTGGAAGCGCAATAAGCAGCGAAAGACAACTCATTTTGTGTTTGATTGTGCGCTTTATGAGGATGCTGCTCATAGACCATGTGAATACTGTACTTTTTGATGCCTTATTGGGCTTTACCAGGTCAGATACACACACTTATTTGTCAGAATGGAAGTATCCACAGTCATTTATGTCTTACGTGAACATAAATAGTAGAGTTTATCAGTGGATTCGGTCTTAAAGTGACAGTAGCCTAATATTCCGGTCATTAATGTTAATCAAACAACAAAAGACAGAGAAAATAATAACTCGCTGCTCCTGACTGAATCACTTTTGTTAATTTAATAAGAATATCCCATAATTTAATTTACACAATGAAGACTACGCATGCGTTTTTTGTACATTTAATTACTTTTTTACTATTTATGTAGTATTTCTCAGGTTGGTCTATTTCCTTTGTCTCTTTGTTCTATTGTAGATTTGTCCTATTTATTTGTAATTAATTAATTGTTTTTATTTTATCACTGACTTTTTTTACTTAGCCTAGTATTATGAAAAATATAGCTTATCATAAAAACCTTATTTAATACAAAAATAACTATATTGTTAAAATAATAAATAAATAATAAATAATAAAATAATATATTGTTATCATGAAATAAAATGACTTACATCATGATATAAGATTTTGGCCCTACATATTGCCCACTCCTAATATCGATGCCAAATGAAAGTATCTGCCCTAGTGATGAATTCATGGAGTATGTAACACAACATGAAGTTGTAAATGCATAGTAACAAGATTTTGATGTGTTGGGAAAGTGTTTCACTATATTAGGTCCTGTGATTGTTTCACAATAAATGATCCTGCGGTTTGACTGATTTGACAAATATAGATGAGGTAAAAATATTCTATGTAGTTTCTCATTTTCGAGGTCATGAAAGTTGCATGCATAGCATTTATGCAAAATGTAGAACAATGCTATTTAGAATATTTATTAATGGAGTTTTGCAAGTCACACCACAAGGCACGTGAACTTGCCAAAAGCGTTTTATGCCAGTGCCAGATTAACATATTTGGGCAACAAGTGTGATGAATTGATGCTGTTTTTTTATGTTTTTGCACAACAGGCATTTGAAATGAAATAATTTGTGATTTTCCTAAAATAACATTATTATTACACTGTATTCTATTCTTTATTAACAAAGTGATTGCAGAAATGTATTTTAATGACACTTGCTCTAAAGATATAAATCAAGAAGTCGAATTGTTGTGTCATTGACGATGTGGCGCAGTCTCCAAGGCAGGGATGTTATTTAACTTTGTAGTTTCATTTAAAATTGTATGCATCATCTAATCAACTAGAAAGAAACCACTTTTTTTGTTTGGTTTTACCATCATCTTTCTTGATCCTGACTGGTTGAAGGATTGTCAATCCTCTTTTACGTGTCATCAAGCATTCAGATCATATCAAAATTGTCTGATTTGCTCAACCTTACTACTCTTCCAATGATGCATTGAATAAGGCAAAAACAAGCGACCTAAAACTGATTGATTATGAGTAAAACATTGCATTTTAAGTTATGTATACTCCAGAATATTCATATATGTATGGAAATAAGTATTTTGAGATAATGGGAGACAGACTTGGTCATGTCGTTTGCAGGGTTTTATGGGAGTGGGTGGTCACTCACTGTTGAACCTTTTTGCCACAGTTCCCATTTCCATATAAATGATAATGTGTAGATCTCATTTCAAGATTGTGGATAGTGTTGTTTTTCACTCACAATTCAGATGTTAATTAAAAAAAAATTAATAAACCAGTTAAAAAGAAGAAGCATGTAAGATATGATCACTGAGCTCATGAAATGTTTAGGTTATTAAATCAATTTTTCTGTGGAGAAAATGTGATTTCTGGTTCTGGAACCTAACTGTTGCGCTCTATTAAACTTTGAAACTGGTAGAAATTGCATTTGTTGGAAATGCTACTCCACATAGTTTGCTCAGGCTGTATAGTAGAGCCTGACCGATAAAGGATTTCGAAGACCGATACCGATACAAATATTTGTTGGTTTTAAAATCCGATATTCCGATATATCGGCCGATATTTTTTATTTTTTTTTTAAATTTCAGAAACGCGCAACAAAACATTTGAGCTTTAACTAAAATAATATGAAAATGCATTTTTAAAAGAAACTGGTTTCTTTTATTGTCACAACAGGACAGACTGATGATAGTGGCATTAGCTAGCTTTGTGGTTAGCTAGTTTATGATGAGCCATAATTTAGCAATCGATTACGTCATACTGCAAATTGTATAACATACATTTTCAATATAACAGGCCAAGGAGAGATGATACGTCTCATTGCTATGTCACGCGCTAGTAAAGAAATACTTCAGTCACATTGTCAAAAGTTAAAAAAATAGGGACGGTGTAGAGTGCCCTCTGGTGGACAAACTATACAACTCCAACACTCATGACATGGTTGAAGCGTGTTTCGTCCGTTTTTTTATTTTATTTTTGAAATATTCATTTATCGGCCATTATAACTGCCGATACCGATAGTTTGGAAAATGCCTAATATCGGCCGATAATATCGGCCTGCCGATAAATCGGTCTGGCTCTACTGTATAGTGCAAGTTAAATTTGCTAGTTATACTTCACTTGCATACTGAAAGTCTGCCTACTGTGAGCAGTACGTATAGGGTCATTCCATGTCAAATCAACCAAATTTCAGAACCTTCTTCGGCTAAAATTTTAGATTTTGTTAATTTTTTTTCTGAAGAAAGACAAACTGGGTAATTCAATGTTTTATAGAGGGAAGGTCAAAATGACAATTTTCACATGAGATTTGGAGCCAAATTACAGGGGGGTAAAAATTACTTTAAAAAGATGAAAACTTCATTATTTTATATTTACACAGAGATTGGTTGGTTATTTAATTAAATCCGTTGACTTTAGAAATCTTTGTTGCTTTGCATGCCAACGGTGACAGTTAAAAAATGGGGAAAAGCACTTCTTATGTTTTTTTGCTACAAGTTTGCTTGCCTGTAACTCAAGAAGTATTAAATATATTTTAATATCCTTTTAGATTTTGGACACTTAATTTTAAAGGCCCTGTATGGTTCAATCCCTGAGACATGGAGATCTTAAAAGATATGGAGTGTGTGAAAATTGTCTTTTTGACCACCCTCTACAAAACAGTGAATTACTCAGTAAATATACATTCATGACCTTTAATATTTTGGCTTTCTTTTATGTATTTCTTTCACCAGAAAAAAAAGATCAAAATTAAAATGTTTAGCCAGGGACGTCTGGTTGAGTTGACAAGGAATGATCCTATGTTAAAAATTGGCTAGATAGAATTGAAATATGAACTGTTCTTTGCACTATATAGTATAATGATGTGCTATTTGGCACACAAAACTTAATAATCTTAAATTAATGTTTGTTTTTAGTTTGTGATTGTGGTGTGTAGTATTGAAACTGATGTCTGATTTTTTTTGCCAACTGTTATTGATTGTTTAAGGGAGTGCAACATAAAAAAACAGATTAACCAGTCATTCCAGCTTTATCTATCCGGTAAACTTCATGAATGTGTTCATCACTTGACTTTTGTCTTCTCAATTTTAACACTGCACTATTGTTGAAAGTGACAAAACATTTGAGCTCAGAAAATGCTGGTTCTGTTACAATGATCCCAGTCTCCACCCTGATAGAGTAACTGTAAATGATAAGGAAATCTAGTAAAAACAGTGTCCTTTAAATTTGGTTTTATTGCGGAAGTTTTGTTTCCCAAAATTAGGGAAGCAGTACCGCAAGATGACTAAAGAAATAAAATATAAATAGAATAATTATATATTAAAATAAATAGGCATTTTTTTCTCTTAAATCTCAGTTGCTGGAGATATGGAAATTATTTAGTTCACAACTTATATTTTTTGTTGATTATGATGTGATGTTTTAATGGGTTTTAATATTCTGTTCATTTCTCAAACACCAAGCCACCATGTGGTCATGACAAAAACATACATATTTAGAGGAATCTGCAAAGTCTAAGGAAAATTAACTTGTTTAGTAAACTTTTTTGTAAAAAGAAACACACAAAGAGTTTGTCCGCTTGAAGAGGGAAATTCCTTCGTCGCCTGAAGACAATGATTCAGCCTCCACGTTGAGGTTTTGCTAGAAATGGGCCTCTTAACACCTCCAGGGTGATTTCCGTGTGTCTGTATGCACAGTAGAAATCAAATTGAACTCGTTTATCCTGAAGTTACGAAATAGACATCCTGAGGATGACGTCCAAAGATGTTAAGATGCGAATTGCATCAGTAAAATTTTATGCTATCTCTTTAAATTCAAGCCACTTCCCGCCTGCTTAGTGTTGGTATTTAATTGAGCTTGTGTGATCTGAAAATAAGCCAAAATATTGAATTGATGATGGCTATCATGCAAATGCAGCCCTTCTGTCCAGTGTCCAGTTTAAAAAATACTTCATAGACATTTAGACAAGCGGTTGACTAGAATACAGTCCCGTAATACTGTCATCCTGTCTCAGTGTGCCACTTATCTCTTGTGTTGTCAGCAGAGGTGAGGACAAGAATGAAGACCAGGAGGGCTCAAAAGACAAGACACAGAAGCAGAAGAAAAACAAAAAGGAACGGCAAGATGTGGAAAAACTCGAGGCCACAGTATCTGTTCCTCCTCCCCCGCGCCTCTTTACGCAGGGGGATGTCGGACAACAGGCGGAGGCAGGGAAGTCTGAACCCATTGACCCCGAAGTTGGAGCCGCTCTCAGCGCTCCAGAATCTTCTGCATCAGCCAAGCAGCGGCGCTCCATCATTCGGGACAGAGGCCCACTGTATGACGACCCTTCACTGCCTCAAGGCTGGACGCGCAAGCTGAAACAGCGCAAGTCGGGCCGATCTGCTGGCAAATTTGATGTCTACCTGATCAAGTTAGTACAAGTTACAGGAAGTTTGTACTTTTTTTTTTTGAGAGCAACTGTGATGATGATACTAATTTCACAATGTTGCATTCCAAATGGCAGATGGAACAAATCAGTCATTATTAAAGTTGCGTTATTGTGTTTGGAGAGACACTGACTTCTAATGAAAAGATTCACTTGGCGGCATGTTGCAAACTGGGAAAGCTTGTGGCCTCAGTTGATGTGCTATATTCTCCGTTAAACTCAAATAAAACCATTTTATTTACATATATAATAGATTATTTATTTGAACTTTATTCATTGTGTACTTCTGTCCGTCATGTCAAAGCCAGCTTGTGATGTCTCTGGTCTCTGGTTGTACCATTATGTATTAAACTCAGTGGTGGGATGAAACGAAGTACAAATACTTTGTTACTTCACTTAAGTACATTTTTCACGTATCTTTACTTTACTTAAGTAAAATAATTTTACTTCGTTACATTTTGCAGCAATTATTATACTTTCTACTCCACTACATTTCTACAACTTCTGTTACATTTTCTGATCAGTTTTTCCCCTTGCCAAAACGTAATTTGACCGTCCGTTCGTTGCACGTTTGTCTCACCAGTGACGTTTGGTTGCCATAGATATATCAACCCGGTCACACTAAATGTGTCTCGCACGCAGTGTGTTTATCGTGCAATTTATATGCGAAAATTTGTTTTTACGTGCATAGGAAACGCACTTTGTGTAATATACGTTTGGTTAGGATTATGGCAAGCCAAGAGGTTCAGAATTACACCATAAATTAATTGCGTTTACTGCCAAACATAGTTATTAACATATAGTAAGGATAAGCATGACGTGTAGCTATATTGCCTAATTGCAAGCTTGTATCTGAAATGGTGACAACAATTATTTCCATCATTATTGAACATATAGGAATATTAGGTGGAATGAGTTAGAATTAAATGTTTTATTAATCATTAGAAAATAGACATTAAGAGAATAAATTGTTATGCAAGTACTTTTACTTTTAATACTTAAAGCACATTTAAAATCAGGTACTTTTTACTTATGTATGGTTGTCATTGTGTTACTTTTACTTTTACTGAAGTAAATATTTATCTGGATATTTGTACTTTTACTTAAGTACTGAGATTCAGTACTTCCTCCACCACTGATTAAACTGTTTTGGCCCAAACAAAGTCATACTAATGTTACATACTAATACTCATGTTTTTGAGTAAGAATCCCTCCCATTTTATTGTTGCTAAAGTCTTAATCACAGATTTACAGCTGATTTGTCTGAGGCGGGGATAGTAGGGTTAACTAAAACTAAAACCATTTTAAAAAATGGTTTCGTTACTTGAAACTAAATAAACCTTTATTGAAATAAAATCTAAAATATGCTTAAAAATATTTAATTTCAGCTAGTTGCCAAGGCAAGTTTACGTAACTGGTTCCAGCAGTATTTGAAGCTTGATACAATAACTCATGGTTATTAATAAATCTGAATTGCATGTGTAGATTAGAAAGAGCTGTGCATTACACTGGTTGGGGTCACAGAGATTTGTGTTTTAGAGCTTTTCTTTTTATTGTTCTTCCAAATAATTTGACATGACGAATGAATGAAGGGTGCACGCTGTTGAACACTGACTGAAGCCCCGTTCACACCGCCAGCGACTTTGTCGCTGTGTGTCGCTAGGGTCTGTACGGTCGGTGATGTCGCTTGTGGGCGTTCATAGTGCTATCGCTCTGATGTTATTGGTAGACTGCACGTCTGGCCATATCTATAGAAAATACCATCAGAAGTGATGTATACAACTATATAATTTTAATTTGACTGGGAATAAATGACTTTTAAGGCTAAAAAGAAACCGTATGCTGTTGGGAGAGTGTTTTTATATTACCACAGCAGTGTTCAGTGGATTAAATCATTTACTTGATCAACGATCGATCAATGAACAAATTAAACTCACTCATACTGTCACAAATTATAAAAACGTCATTCGAATTTGACAAATAATCAATTTTCTTGTGTCTAATAGTCAACGTAATGCAGGGGAAGTTGTAAAATGAACTGCATCAGTGCATCATAAAATTAAAACACTCAAACTATAACGTTAAATGTATGAACTAAACTCACTGAGACGGTCGACAGTTTCTTTTCCATGCATCATGTTATTATCCATGTATGTGGTTACAGTCAAATCATATAAAACAGTGAAATCGTCCTCGAACTCTTTCTGTCTTGCCTGCACTCGAGACGGTGACGTGAGCTTCACTGAAAGTCTTCTTTCCTATTGGTTGTCGCTCGCGAAAATCGCTTCTCATTTGCATAAAGTTGAAAATTCTCAACTTTTGTCGCTTGACACGCCCACATTCTGTCGCCAACGGTCACTGTCGCTCGTGTCGCCCGATGTCGCCAGCGTTCCATTGAAATGAATGGGATCTTGTCGCTTTGTCGCTGCGTGTCGCTGGCGGTGTGAACGGGGCTTGATGTGTCGCAGTTCCCACAATACTTTATTTTAAAGCATACTCAATAAGAATAAACATGAAATCAAATAAAATATTCAGATTTGCACCACAAGTGCATATGACGTACTTGTATGGTCGCAAATCTTGCACACATAAACTTTCTCACGTTCAAATGTTCTTTCAAATTAATATTAAATTACTTTCATTTCACAGTAATGTATTTGTTTTTATTTTTCAGCCCAGAAGGGAAAGCCTTCCGTTCCAAAGTGGAGCTCATGGCGTACTTCCAAAAGGTGGGCGACACCACCACGGATCCCAATGACTTTGACTTCACAGTCACGGGCCGGGGAAGCCCATCTCGTAGAGAAAAGAGACCGCCAAAGAAGCCTAAAGTGGTCAAACCCTCCGGTCGCGGGAGGGGTCGCCCAAAAGGCAGCGGAAAGGTACGGCAGGCTACGGAAGGCGTGGCGGTAAAGCGTGTCGTAGAAAAGAGTCCGGGAAAACTCCTCGTAAAGATGCCCTTTGTTGCACCTAAAACTGAACAGGGGGCGCCATTGGGGCAAGCGGCAGTTGCCAAAGTGCGCCGAGGGCGCAAACGGAAATCGGAACAGGAACCGCCGAGCACCCCCAAAAAACGTGGCCGCAAGCCAGCAGCTGCTTCTCAGTCAGCGGTAGGGACAGGCTCAGCCGCCGCGTACGCCGCCGCGGCCATTCTCTCCGCAGAGGCCAAGAAAAAAGCTCAGAAGGAGTCTTCCTTAAAGCCTGTTCAGGAGAGGGCGCTTCCTATCAAGAAACGCAAAACTCGAGAGACTTTAGAGGAGCTGGAGGGATCCACCACCTCTGGAACCACACCGACGGAGACGTTTGCAAAACGACTGATTACTTCAACTGTGACCCCTACAGGTGAGGAGGTAGAAACGGGACAGAGGCTTCACAAGCATCCCGGTCGGAAGCACAAAGAGGCATCCGCGGACCCAGGGAACGGCAGCAGCAGCAGCGGCAGCGGAACGGCAACCAGCGGCGGAGGATTGAAGAGTCACAAGAAGAGAGATCAGCGAGGGCAGCACTTTAAACACCACCACCATCATCACCACCACCAACACCACCACCTGCAGGCCATGCCGCCCTCCACCTACACTCCGCAGGCTCACCAGCTCTCCCTGGGTCACTCCACGCACGGGGGGCCGCCGGCGCCTGCGACCATGGAGAACGAACCCCAGGACTTAAGCACCTCCAGGCCGAAAGCGGAGCACGTGGCCTGCAGGGAGGAGGCGAGAACTGACAGGGACGCTCAGAACGCAAGCAAGACGACTGTGATGGGAGAAGGCAAGGAGATGAGGGACATTGTTCCTCCCTCCGCCGTCCCGAGGCCGAGCCGAGAGGAAACTGTCGAGTCCCGGACACAAGTGAGCGAACCCGTGAGCTGACTGACTAAGTGACCGATTGGCAGCGGCGGCGTCGTCGCCGCGCGTGAAGAAGCGGAGGCGGTCGCAGCAAGACGAGTGATATTTCGTTCTTTTTTACTGAGGAAAAAGGAAACAAAAATATACAAAAATGTAAACGTACTGAAACAAAAGGCAGCTGTTGTGTCTCGTTCTCTCTGTGGGTTGGACGCGGGGAGATGATTCTCTTGCTTCCGGATGAATTCTCTGCTAAACCTTTTTCTTTATGGTTTCCTTTTATTTCCCACTATATCTTTGTATTAGTATATCTTAGCACTCACTTAGACCCCGTATTCCTTTGTCAGTGCTTGTAGGACGTAGAAACGCACTCAAGTGGTAACGGATGCCCAAGTCACACGCCATAGTAAGTGAAACTTTCGGATCAAATTGTTCTCGAAGGAACTAAAATGCCTCGTCGTCATGTCATCTCAACCCTAGCAAAAAGGTGTCCTATCAGTGTGTTCTTCCTTTTGTGTCATTTAACGAAGGGGCAAATCAGACGTTAAGAGAAAAAAAGGCCACATTTCCGATCTCCACCTTTCCATTTGAGTCGGACACAGCTGTTGCAGTTTAACGCTAGTTTAACTCAGACAGAAAAGAACTTCCTAGTTGTGGGTTTGTGCCAAGCTGACATTTCCAGCCTGTTGACCTGTGAAGATCAATTGAATTCAGTAGTATTATTTCCTTTTGCCTTGTTGGTATTTTTAGCGCACATATGTATGTTCATTACGAGTAGTTCGTTTAACCTAATCACCGTTTCGGAGGTGCCTGAGAAAATGCCACTTCATTTTCTTTGGTGGGGCCGATAAAGCACAAATGTATTTGTTGGGGAATATTGAAAGCACAGTCCAGTGTAGCGTCTGGAGTAGATGTTAACTCAAGTCAAAGAATATTAGAAGAGGAATTTGTTACGTTTTCCTGCTTTTTCCCATTAAGTACAATTTAAATAGTGGCCTTGTGTTCTTGTGACACAGATCCCTAACAAAAAAACAAAAAAAGCATACCATTTCAAATGTAGCGTTTGGTTTTACGGTGTGTGGTTATAGATTCATACCATAGAGCTGCTGTTCTAAAAATGATTCCGACAGGAAAGTTAATAGATTGCTATATATTTATATAATGTCTCGTCAGGCTGTAGTTTGTATAGTGTCAAATGCATGGGTTGCTGATGCTTGCGTGCTTTGCGTGCTATTTATTACAGGACTCCGACATTGTCTTTCCTATACATAAAGGTTTCTAAAATCGGGGACAGCACTATTGTTGAGGGTTAAACGTTTTAGAAACGTATATATTTTGAATTATGAAACATTACTTGACAGGAAAACGGAAAGAAAACTTAAATAAATTTCAACTCGATGGCATTGTGAAATATAGTTCCATTCGTTTTCTAATCTAAAGTCTTCAAAATAACAGCAGTCAAAAAGACGGACTGCAGATTATGGCTCCATGCAAGTGGTTAGATATTGGACAATGAGTGTCTTAGTAATTAACTGCAATATTATATAAAATAATATATATATATGATTAGGATAGGATGAAACTTAATTCTAAAGAAATTTGGAACCAAACTGAGGAAGTTCTTCTTTGTTTATGTAACATTTAGGATTTTACAGCACTTTCTGTTCCTTTTTCGCTTCTTTTCCTAGATGAAATGCACCTTACTTAAAAAAAAAAAAATACATGTATATATATATTTTTTTTAATTTATTTTTTTTTGCATATATTGTTTCTAGCATTGCACAGACTTCTGTTTCATGTCCGGAGGTTGTACCTTTCTTCAGATTTATGTTAGCATAGAATGCATGTTTTATGTCTTTATAAAGAGCCATACTTTTGTTTAGTTTAGCTTTCTCTGTAAAAACACCGCTCGTATACAAAATCATAAAATTATGATAATCATAAAATAATTAACACATAATGGCTACATTTCACTCACAGTATTTGATATCACATATTTATGGTCCATAATGGGGGGGACAAAGGCAGTAAAGTTAGTAAACGTCATGACATTTGACTGTCAGATCTATTCTAATGCAGACCCACATATTTTATGTATTTTAAAACCAACTCGTTTGGTTATGGATATATATAGGATATGGATATATATATGGATATATATATGGATATATCAGTGGCGTGCAGTGGTGTTCTGAAAAATATTCAAAATGAAAATGATTCAATAACAAAAATATTCAATATTCAAAATATGCGAAACCAATATTCATAGACCCCTGAATCTAATGGCATCACAAATTAATATTTTATACTCTAGATATTGCAGTTGTTGTTTTGAATAGTCCCAGAGTGAGATGGGTTGCCTTTTCCCCAAAGCCTTTCCCGTTTAGTTTTGTCTGTGTGTTAAGTCATGTTTAGTGTGGCTTGGGTGGTAGATGTGCATTGCCACTGACATATATGCCGATAAATGTCATAACAGACAGTTTTAAATAACACTCAGTAATCTTTTCGTTCAGATAGAGTGAGATTTTTTTATATTTGCTGTCGATAAGGGGTTCAAATCCATGTGAGACAGAACTTACTGCTCCTTTCTTCTCAAGTGTGCTTTAGAGTAGCCTCTTGGTATTTTGAATACGTTTAAATAAAAAATAAAACCTTTTGTCTCTAAATGGAGAGATTAAAGGGGTGGTTTACTGCTTTTTTTCTTTGCATGATTGTGTTTATAGGGTGCAATATAACATATATTCGTGGTTTTTCTTTTTTTAAAAGTCTTAATTTTTCATAAATTTCACCTTTATTGTAAGCCGCTTTCTCTGTCATTTGAACGACCGGTTGACTTCCTGAGTCTATGAAACCACTCCCTCAGAAACAGGCAATGGGCTCGGATTGGTTAGTTTGGGCCGGTGTGTTGTGATTGGCTAAACTGTAGTGGATGTTGTCCCGATACATCACGCCCATTACCTTTACGGGCGAAAGTTGCATGTGTGTTCCTGTCAAATGTACATAATCGATGTCGATACTGCAGAGCCAGTTTGAGCCAGAATCAGACCCAGAAAGCGGCGATGAAGAGAATGGCTCTTACAAAATGTTTCTGAATGGTAATTTGCCTATATTATTTTTAACTTTATATACGTTTGTTTTACACAATAGCATCGAACTAACTGGCTACTATATACACAAACAGCGTTGGCATTGGTTTACGTTTTTGATCAAATCGAAAAATAACGTCATATGTATACATGAAAAATACATTTACAAAATTAGTACATATACAAATTCAGGTCCAAAATGTTTGTTCGCGTTTGTCGTAGACACGAAATAGCATAACTAAGTGGCCAGCGCTGGCATTTGATAAAAATAAAATCTTACGTCTGAAATTATACATGCAAATACATTTAAAATGATTAAGTCTTAGCCGACTTACAGGTTGTGGCCCAACAACTTCCGCCTTTGGTTTTAAAGTCGGAAATGCTTCATGTTTTAGTAACAGTTTCTTGTTGAATCCGGTTTGAATTCGTGGAGATTCTGGAAGTTGTCTTTCGTAAAATGCGGAGAGCTAAATTACGATTGTAATTTTCAGGAACATAAATAATACCCATTGTTGACAAACTACAACGTCCATGGGAAGCCCGAACACAGAAGCCCTGACAGCTGGGACACCTTTTTTGCATATTCCGGAGGGAGGGTTGATGCAAATGTATGGGTTAGTGACGTCTAAAACCCGTTGTAGTCCCATTCGAGTCGTTTTTGTAGGCATTAAACTTCTTGATTTTTAAAAGACGATATCTCTGCTTACACTGAACTTTCAGTGCTGCAACTTTACAGAAACACACTATTTAAAATGAAAAAAGTGAAATCGCAATCAACCACCCCTTTAAATTAGTATTGACAATCACAAGGGAGCATTGCATCTTTTCATTTTCCCCCTCAAGTATTGTCAAGCACGAAAGTGTCTCCATTCTCTTCCTCCAGCCCCTGCTCCCTCGACCCTCACTGGGAAGGGGCACAGAGAACACAAGAGCGTTTCCGCTCGGAACAAGGGCTATGTAATCATTTCAAGTAGTCAGAAGCAGATAAAGGTAATGGATTTTCACGTGGTCCTCCAATTCCGTTAATTGCTTGAGGTCTAACAAGAGACTTTAAAGTGTTTGTCGAACACCACCGGCTCACTCTCTGTCCTCGTCAGAGCTCGAGCGCTCACTTAACCGGCGGCTGACGTTGTGAACGTCTCCCCGGTCTCACTAAACTCCAGCGGGAGAATGGAGGGAGCAGAATGGATAGCACATTCTCAGTGGGACAGGTTAAGGAAAGAAACCTCCAGACATGAATTGAAGTCACGACAACTCTTAGTTTAAAGTGTCGACTCACAAGCTGCATCAGTCTGGCTGAAACAGAAAGGGTAGTGCCTTTATTTTGGGAGACTTACTAAGGTGGTTGAAGTGACCTTTGATTCTAAAGAAACCCCTTTATCCCAACGAAGCAACGCGGAAGGTGAATTTATTTACTCAAACGCTTGGATTTTATTTGGTCATTTTTCATAGGTAGGACGTGCACTGGTGTGTGTGTGTGTGTGTTTTGTAACTAGAGGTTTCATTGTTGTACTATTTTCTTTTTTTCTCCATCAGCTGGACCTTTGTGCCCACCTAGAAACGATGAATTGTTAAAAACCCTCTGCTTTATGAACTTCTTGCCTTTTGTAGCGCTCAACGCCCACTGACAAAAATGGAGCCCTACAAACGGGTGAAGACAGAATAAGAAAATTACTTTTATTATTTATATGTTGGTTTGTTTGTTTTATTTTCTCGTTTGTTTTGGGTTATTTGTGCCTCTCTGGCAGTGAAATATGCTTTGGAATGTCCTTGTGTCCCTGTAGCCAAAAATACATGCTATGTACGTGAACATGTATCAATATGCATGATTGCCATTAGAAGATAGGACATTGCTTGCCCTTTACTATTATATATAAGATGTTTTCAAACAGCACTCCAAGAGCTGAGCCCAACCACACTAACCGGATCCGAAGGATTTCATGAGGTGTAAAATACTGAATGTGTTCAATGAAGGCTAGCTGTGCACTTCAGTCTGTTTAATACGAACAGATTTATTTCATTGAAGTATTTGTTTCTTGTTTTAATGATTTAACTCGTTTGGGCTTCATATGCCGCTGTATCAACAATTGTAGTGGCTAGAGTAATTTGTAGATTTCGGTGTTAGATTTATTTTTATTATTAGCATTTTTTTTTGTTTTTTTTTGTTTTTTAATTCTAAATCCAACATTGGAAATAGACCATTTAATCTTGATAGCAATAGTATGATAGTATACCCAGCAGATCCGATATGAGTTTTCGTCTCTAATTTGTGTACTCTGTTAAACAGTAGAACTGAAGTAAAAGAAATTTACCCTTATTGACTAAAAAGCAGCACTTTGAATCGTGCAAGAAGGACAATTTAAAGTCAAATGAAACTATAAGAAATAGATTCCAGTTCCACCGTGGTAGAAAGTTCATGGTCTATTTAACATAGTCTTGTGCCTTGAAGTTTCAGTAATAGAATTTATCTTTATACTGTAGTTGTATTTTTATTCTGAGTCCTGTGTTTGCCTCTTGTTGGTATTCAGTGCTTTGGATGTATTAAGGATTTATAGAAATCAAGAACATGTTTGCCTTGCTTTATTTTCTTAATTGAGGAAAAAAAAAGGATAACATTATAGGAAGATGTATTTGGGCAATATTGATGATGTAAAAAGCGATAGGATTTTGATGTTTTTTCATCCCTGATATGTTGAATGTTTCACAGATTAATGAGTGACGTGTGTTTGTTGGGAAATATTCTCCATTTTAACATAACCGTAAAAAAAAACAACAACAAAAAACTTGGCCTCAAACATAATCTTCCAATCAAACCATGACATTTTATGATAAAAAAAAATATATACTTCAACCTTGACCGAAAGGATGAGTCTAAGATCTGCACTTTATAAAGTATGTTTCCCGGCAGAACACCCATTCACTTTTTGTATGTATTTTTTACCTTTGTCCAAAGCTGTTTTGTTTTCATATTATTTTTTAATTTAGTTTTAAATAAAAGGGATGGGTAGTATGTATCAAAAAAAGAAAATGTTATTTTAACCAAACAATCCTACAGACTAAGTGTCAGTGGTTATTCGCCATCTGCCAAGCTAAGTCCTTGCCTTCCTGAAAGTGAAAAGTATAGTTTGTGTCTACTTTTATAGTACTGTGTTACTGTATCATTTGTTTGCCGTATGTAACAGATACACAATAGTAAACAACATTTACCTGCTCTTTGTCTTTAACATTTATTTCACTCACATCATAAACAAAACATGATGTTATTGTTGTTATACGTCAGATTTTGTTCATCATTAGGGCTTTGTTGTATATATATATATATATATATATATATATATATATATATAATGAATAATGTGAGAAAGGGAACGTGAATGAAACTAGGAAAAGTACTGATAACTATCTAAAAAAAAGGTCATGTTTCAGTTTCAGATTTTGCCGTTAACTTCAAACAAAAACGCTCATATTTTATATTGAGTTCATCTTTAGTGGGCTAATCACTAACAAATTCAACAAAATAACGTATCGCTGAATCCCGACACATTCGTCTGGCATAGGCTATTGAAAAACAGAACTATGAGCACAGTGAAATTTACACTATTACTAATGTGGAAAAGGGAAATGGAAGATGTGAGTAAGTCATACGTAGAGGCGAAAGATTTTAAGTAGCCTACTTAACTACTATGGTGAAGGTGATGACTAAATGTTAATAGATGTATGTGACGTAAGCCCCTGCTGACGATAGAAAGTTGGGCGAGTGCGTTGTTGTTTTTTTATGCTTTATTATCAACAAATAGCATAAACATTGGTAACTTCCATAACACATAACAACAACATATCACATGCTTCACAATACAATAGAAATTATAAAGAAAATGAAAAGAGAAAATAGCGGTAGTAGTCAGGGGTGCAATCTTTCCGCGCGGTAGCTCATGAATATTAAGCAGATGACGCAATATTAAAATCGGTTACGCAATAAATATTTATGAGCCACTGTCAGGCATTCGCCATTACAACAATACGTTTCGTGACGGCTGTGGTAGAAGAAAACAAGACCATTGACACAAGTGACAGCCGCAAGTAAGAAAATCCCGTGTTCAAGAACCACGTAAAGCAATATCAGAGCTGATGAAAGAGATAGAGAGAGAAAGAAAAGACTTACACATCTCATAAAGTCAGTTAAAACCCAAACACCGAGGCCGGGTTTTTGAAAATGTCTGGAGCTGAGTTTGAGAAGGAGTTTCTGTACAGCTTACCCGCGTGTGTTATGAGTCACTTTACACGGATTATGGACTCACTTTCACACTCTGACTGGATATTGTTCGGTAAGATGAATGTATTTATCTTTATTTATAGTGTTTTTTATTTATTTAACCCGAACCCTAGATGATTAGCGCACACGCTAACTCACTTAGCCATCTGAGCGGTGACGTCAAAAGTTCAGTTTCTGTTCAGTTTGTGAAACTTTTTTTTTTTTGGTTACAGGCTAAAATTTGTTTATTTTGTTTAGTTGTGAAAAACTTTTGCAAATCTCTGTGGTGATATCTATTTTGTTACGAATGTATTGGAGGTGACTAGAATGTTATGCTAAGTGTCAGGATTGTTGCCCTGGCCTGATGACTAATGATATTGGAGTAAATAAACGGGGAAATTAATTGATTAAAAAAAGTTTGTTTGTGAAAAACAAAATTTATTCAGCAAAGGACATGGTTTACTGATGTTGTTTGGAGCGTATGTCCATTCATTCAGGTGAGATGCTGAGATTTGATAAGTCACATGGTTAAATCACAGCTGTATTGGGTCATTTCCTCAATGTGGAATCATATGGGAATGCGAATTAGTGGAAATAAGTTTATATTTATGGCTATGTTGTCCATTAAGTATGTCAGCTAGGACCTTTTTTACAGTCTATGGCTAGGACGTAATAATGTATTATTCAGCTATGATTACATAATTAGGATTCTTTCAGGTTTTGGCATGAATGATTCCATATTATTTTTTGTTTGTTTGCTGTAACTAGGGTGTTTTGGTGGAAACTAAACTTAAACAGTGCTTTTATGTCCTTTGCAGCTTCACAGGTAATATCTGATCAGACTGAACTACGCCTTTTGGAACAAAACCCCAGACGCACTGACATCCTCATGCACAAATGGGGCTGTCGTAATGGGACAGTGGGAGAATTGGTGCAGATTCTTGACAGCTTGCAGTGGTTTCGGGCCCGTGATATCATTCTTGAATGTATGTATACATGATTTTTTTTTTTTTTTTCTCTCTTATTGTATATTCTCATGTGTTTGCTTCTGTTGTCTCTGCCATAACCAGCCAGCTTATCAGGTGGCTTTCGTGGTTGTTACGAAACTCGCTTCATCGTCTTTATCCTTGACACTTTTTTGTCAAGAAACTCCTAGCGTACTTTCACATTTAAGTTGTGAAGAACAAACAAGCACAATGCTTTCAAATGTGACATTTCTCAGCTGTGATCACATACATGAGAAAGAAAGAGAATGCAGATAGATTTGATATAATGATTTATTTAATTGCAAATGAGATTGAAATGAAGCCGTCTTATTTTTTTGGTCTATTTTCAGTAATAATATTAGAGCAGTGTTAAGGAGTAGTTCAGTGTAAAAAAAAAACAATCATTTGCTGATAATTTACTCACTCCCATGTCATCCAAGATGTCCATGTCTTTCTTTCTTCAGTTGAAAAGAAATTTAGTTTTTTGATGAAAACATTCCAGGATTTTTCTCCATATAATGGACTTCAATGAGAACCAAACGGTTCAAGGTCCAAAATACAGTTTCAGTGCAAACTGTTCAAAGGGCTTTAAACGATTTTAGACGATGAATAAGGGTCTTATCGAGCAAAATGATCGCTCATTTAAAAAAAAAAAAAAGTTGAAGTTTTATAAGCTCAAAGGGTCACCTTGCTCTGTTCTGTGATGCGCGTTCATGACTCTCCTATTCGAACTCGTTCATCAAAATGAACTAATTTTTTCCAGAGTCAACTCGTTCATTTCGTTCGTTGAATGAACCAAATGGCACGAAAAAAGATTCGTTCATTTTGATAAACAAGTTTGAACAGGAGAGTTTTTGTTAATTTAAATAAAGCTATATACACACACACACACATAAAAAATATATATATATATATATATATATATATATATGTTAGATAAAAAGACTAAAATTAAGAAATAAAAATAGAAATATTGCCTTGGTAACCATCTGAAATAAATAACTTTAAGTTGAAATATTAAAACTGAAATAAAAATAAATGAAAGCTAAATATAATATATAAAAATGACAAGCAAAGTGACTAAAACTTAAATTAAAATTAAAATGAAAACTGAAAATATATAAAAACAAAAGCTAATTAAAAATAAATAAATAAATAATATACTTCATAATAGTAAAAAATAATTTAAAAAAAATGTACCAACTGATATATTTCAGTTTTGTGCAATTTATTATAGTTGGATTACAAATCCATTAATGTACTCTTATATGTGTTTCCAAAGGTAGACCTATACCGCAGTCTCGTTCGGAGCAACAGTCGGCTTCAACGGTACCACAAGACACTGCATGTCAAACCAGTACAGTCAGCTTTGTCAAAGAGATTCTCCGTGAACACGGTAACATCTTATACTTTCTATAGTGCTTTCACCTGATGATTTGAGTGGTAAAAATATGTTTTTAATGTACGTTTTATATGTTTTGTTTTTCCAGAAATCAGGCCTCTACCCAAGCCTAGCCCTCCACCGCCCGATCTGGACTCGATTGATTCAATATCCTCAAATATAGCTGAAGAGGTGCTTTATTTAATTAAAAAATGCAGCCATTAAAAGTATTAATTAAAAAAGGACTTGATGGGTTTTATTGTGTTGTTGAGGCATTAGTCAGCATGACTCTTCCGTTAGCCATTATGTTTTTCTACCTTTCAGTTTCCTTATGCACTGACAATTTTTTTTTTTACAGTGCCCATACAAGAACCGTGTGGATCCCCCGCCTCTTTACTCAACTGCGATGAGCTGGCCGTTTGAGGAAATACAGCGAGGAACATGCAACTTTTCCCCATGTAAGCAGATTGGTGAAGGGGGTTTCGGGCACGTGTTTCAAGCTGTGATGAGAAACACTGAGTTTGCTGTGAAGAAGCTGAAAGAGGTACTAAAACATCATCTATGAGTTTGCACAATCTATTATTGAGTCGTTCAGTTTGTTTCTTAAACATCCATGTCCTTTCTCTCTCTTTTTCATTTGGATGTTCGGAGCAGAACTCTCATTTGGATTGGAATGTTGTGAAGGAAAGTTTTAGGACGGAAGTGGAAAAACTCTCACAGTAAGAAACTGTCTGTCCATCCTCTGCTCCTCTGGCTTATGCTTCCTTCTCTCGTGGATTAAACCTGTCTTTCCTGATTTGTCTAAAGGCTTCCACACACTACAAGATAATTGAGACTATTTTGGGCCCAATTCTCCCCTTCTGACAATCCTAGGTAAAGTCCCAAATATCTTGATAGTTCTACAGATTATCTTAAGGTTTTCTGGTGGGGTGAGGTGTGTTAAGAGTAATTGAATCTGCTCTGAAGAACGTCAGCGATCTTTTATCATAAATATCCAACATGTTGAATATTTTTCGATCAGAAATCCTGCTATGTGGGGGGATCCTAGAGGACAAACGTGTTTGCACTCTAGATTGTCACATGGAATGAAAAGATACCCAATCAGAAAGCTGGCTGACAGAAGCATTACACAACTTCATTCAGACCTTCTTTTTTTTTTCCCTGTAAAAAGCAGTCCAAACATTAATATCGTCATTTCTTTCTCGTGGTCTGCCATGTTTGTTTACTCTTAAAGGTGTAGTTCACTTTAAAAAAACTTTTGCTGATAATTTACTCACCCCCGTGTCATCCAAGATGTCCATGTCTTTCTTTCTTCAGTCGAAAAGAAATTAAGGTTTTTGATGAAAACATTACAGGATTTTTCTCCATAAAATGGACTTCAATGGGAACCAAACGGTTCAAGGTCCAAAAGACAGTTTCAGTGCAAACTGTTCAAAGGGCTTTAAACGATTCCAGACGATGAATAAGGGTCTTATCAAGCGAAACGATCGCTCATTTAAAAAATAAATAACAAAGTTTAAGTTTTATAAGCTCAAATGCTCGCCTTGCTCTGTTCTGTGATGTGCGTTCGTGACTCTCCTGTTCAAACTCGTTCATCAAAATGAACAAATCTTTTTCCGAGTCAATTCGTTCATTTCGTTCGTTGAATGAACCAAATGACTCGAAAAAAGATTAGTTCATTTTTATTTTTCATTTTCATTCCTTCATTTCATTTAAATGAGCAAACATTTCGCTTGATAAGACCCTTACTCATCGCCTGGAATTGTTTAAAGCCCTTTGAACAGTTTTCAGTTTGCACTGAAAGTGTCTTTTGGACCTTGAACCGTTTGGTTCCCAGTAAAGTGCATTATATGGAGAAAAATCCTGTAATGTTTTCATCAAAAACCTTAATTTCTTTTCGACTGAAGAAAGAATGACATGGACATCTTGGATGACATAGGGGTGAGTAAATTATCAGCAAAAGTTTTTTTTAAAAGTGAACTACACCTTTAAGCCACGTTTGACCCTGTGTTCACAGTTGGGACTTGTTGTTTGTGAATGGAATGATATACTCAGTCACATCGCAGCACTCCACACATTATAGAAACAAAACTGTTAAATCTGTTTGTTTTGAGCAATATTTGTGATCTCTCACATTTTGAAAGACTGATAAGATTTGAAAAATCTTTTAGTGTGGGCCAGCTTTTTTCAGTCTGCCTGTGATTCATTTATGTTTGTTCAACAGAAGTGCAGATTGGGACTTACCCGCTTGAAATTTGATTGCTCTTTATGCACACAACACCTCTTCATGAGCCAAAAATGAAAGTCTCCAGCACACCCTCCAAATATTTTTTGTGGTTAGTTGTCATCCTGTTGTCTCTTAATTAGGTCATTTTTTTTCTGACACGTTTTTCAGCCAGCACTTTCAAGCCTTCCTTCCTCAGTAATGCTCTCATTAAATGTTGAGTAATGCAATCTAAAGCAACATGTTTTCTTATTCCGCAGATACAGGCATCCCAACATAATGGACTTTGTTGGCTACTGTATAGGAGGACAAACTTATTGTCTCATATATGTTTATATGCCGAATGGCTCTTTAGAGGACCGACTACGCTGTGAGGTGAGTTATCACTTTTGCAAGAAAATATGGGTTGTGTTTCATGATTTAGTAAGCCGTAGTTCATTCAAAATGAAAATTGTCATCTTTTACTCACCCTCATGCTGTTGCAAACCTGAATGACAAACGGTGAAAGTGAACGCAGGGCAAAGCTGTCACGCACAAGAAAAAAAAAACCATTGAAAGCAGTTTGTATGACTCATACTGTAAGAGGTTTGAAGTCATATGAAAATCATTATTCGCTGAAAATCATCTCTGTCAAATCTCATTTGCAGGCATGTGCATTCTAATATTGTGCATCAGTTATTTACTTATTGCGCAAAGTTTGACGTCAATGATAAGATATGGCGTGACGTGTCACTAAGGCTACGTTCAGACTGTGGCCCAAATTTTTTTTTTGCTCAAATGTGACTGATCTTTTCTTCACAAACAACATGGAATCTGATGTTTTTAATTCTGATTTGGCCACTTCTAGTCCTAAATCTGATACTGGTCAGATATTTTGCAATGCAACAACAGTCTGAACAGTCGTATCAGAATTCATGCGACTTTTACGCCACTCTTGAGCAATATTCATTCATGGGAGTCACTTCAAAGATTTTAAATACCCGAAAGGTAGTGAGTGAAGGATGGTGATGTTTCAGAACTTGTAAGTATTACAGTGACAGCTCTATATACAAACAAAACATGAGGGCTCGTATCATAAATTAAAAAAAAACCCGCTCTTTTTGTCCGTGCGGTTTTGTCCATCGTCTGTGTGCAGATTTGCTGGCTTTCTGTGGCGGATCACGCTATAAATAAACACAGAATCCCTTACTTTAATGTCCTCTTTGTTTAATTCTGTATGACCGCATGCTGTGACATCATTTTATTGTTCTTTTGCACATGCAAAGTTCGGGACCATAATCTGTTCACAATGCAATCTGATATTAGTCACATTTAAAACCACAATGTGAACAGCTATACAAAAACAAATGATCTGAGCAATCGAAACTTAAACTAGTCAAATCATTTCACTAAACAAGTCATTTGTATTTGGAGTACCATGAAGGTAAGTAAATGATGACATAAGTTAATTCTATGTGATCTAATCCTTTCAAGGTATAGGTCTGTATTATTCACAATTCTTGTTTCTTTCAGGACAGCAACGCCCTCTCTTGGTCACAGCGTGTAAATGTTGTAGTGGGCACTGCGAAAGCTATTCAGTACCTGCATTCTTGCTCACCTGCACTTATTCATGGAGATATCAAGAGGTGAGTGCAAGAACATGTAAACCACATGAAGACTAACATTCAAATGTTTGTGGTCAGTATTTGTTTTTATTCTGAAAGAAATGTATTACTTTTGTTCAGCAAGGATGCATTACATTGTTCAAAAATGACAGTGACGACACTTTATAATGTTACAAATGATTTCATTAAAAAAAAAAAAAATACTGAAAAGAATCCTGAAAAAACAAACACGTCTTGGTTTCTACAAAAATATGAAGCATCTCAACTGTTTTGAACATTAATAATAATACGAAATGTTTCTTGAGCACCAAATCAGCATCGAAATCTGATGGGCGCAAAGTACTTTTAAAATAGGATGGGTTTAAGTCCATGAAAATCAAAATGACTTTAAGCTTTTGGGTTAGTTCACTTTTTTGCTACTGGTTTCGTTAAAACACCAGCATCAAAAAACAAAGGAAAATTTTCAAGGATGAATTCTCACACTAAAATAAAATCGACTGCCGTCCCATTTTTCCTTTTTTGTTTGAATACATTGTTCACAGAAGTCAAATGAATAAAATGCATTTCAAATGCCATTATACTGTATGTTGGCTTCATGTTAACCATTAGGGTTGCATCAGGCTTCTTTCACAAACCAGTCATCTTCCCTCAGCTCTAACATCCTTTTAGGGGATCACCTGGAGCCCAAGCTGGGGGACTTTGGATTGGCGCGTTTATGTCAGAGCCCCGGCAAAACCCCAGGCAAAACGTCCACGGTGGCTCACACTGCAACGGTACGGGGAACCCTCGCATACCTCCCAGAAGAATACCTGAAGGATGGACAGCTAGGAGTGGAGATCGACATCTACAGCTTTGGAGTGGTGAGATTCATTTACATTTATTCTTTTAGCTGACTTTTTTTTTTTTTTATCCAAATCAAATCAAAACACTTTATTTGTCCTCAAGGGGCAATTTATGAGGCCACATAGTAACGAAAACATTATGCATTATAACATCCTACGTCAAATAAATAACACAGTATACATAAATACATATTAATGAATACCTAATATATATTAAAAAATAACTAACTAAATCGAGACATAATCAACAAGGGGCTAAAAACGGTTGAGAATTTAAAAGCTTCACAGATCTGGGAACAAAGGTTGCCTTTCTCCTTTGTGTCCTACAGTGATTTAGAATTGCTATATATGTCAGAAGTCACACACCTCTGGAGCAACTAGGGGTTAAGTGTCTTGCTCAAGGACACATTGGTGTCTCACAGTGGATTCGAACCCTGGTCTCTCACACCAAAGTCTTATCCACTGCGCCATCATTCATCTTTGAAGACATGCATTGTGAAAGCAAAATATCATTAAAGGGTTAGTTCACCCAAAAATGAAAATTCGGTCATTTAATTACTCACCTTCATGTCGTTCTATAAAAAACGAAAGAGCGCCATTTTAATGAAATCTGTGATCTCTCTGTCCCTCCATTGACAGTCTGTTTAACTACCACTTTGAGGTTCCAAAAAGTTCATTAAGAGATGGTAAAACTAATCCATATGAATTGAGCGGTTTAGTCCAAATTTTCTGAAGAGCGTCAATGCCTTTATATGATGAACAGATTGAATTCAGGCTTTTATTTTATAAACGTTGATCAGCAAACTTAAACTGAACTTCAATCAAACCTGCTTGACGATTGAGAACAAACCTCATTGGTTCCTGCTGAAGCTCAACTGTGCGGCGTAACACAAGAATGAACCTCATTGGTTCTCACATATCAATCAAACATGATTAAGCTTCTGTTTACCATAACTGATGTGTGCCCTGATGAATTTTTGAATGAAATAAAATGAATGCTGTTCACTATACAGTATTTGGACTAAACTGCTTAATTCATATGGATTATTTTTACGATTTCTTTATGAACTTTTTGAAGCGTCAAAGTGGTAGTTAAATAGACTGTCGATGGAGGGACAGAAAGCTCTCAGATTTCATTAAAAACATCTTCATTTGTGTTCCTGAAGTCTTATTAGTTTGGAGCGACATGATGAGAGAATTTTAATTTTTGGGTGAACTATCCCTACAATATTATTATGCATACTACCCAAAGGTTGAGGTGAACTATCCCTTTATTAGCTATAAGTGAGTTATTATAACTTCAACCACCTGATTGATTGTACTCAAAAGTTCACCATCATCCTCATCTTGGGCTGAAATTCACACAAAAAAAACAAAAAAACATTGAAAATAGATTGAGACTCCATCACACACCTAATGCGATTTCAGCTCACTTTCCAATGTAGAAATGTAAAACTACTTTTTGGCCCACTTTAATGGTTATTGTTTTTTTAAAGCAGGACCCACACTTAATTTGATTAAATCTGTTATGGTTCATGTTCATGAACAGATGCTGCAAACGTCTTTCGGCTTTCCATTTTTGAGAAAGTAACACTTCAGTTTCTCTCTTACCGCAGGTCTTGCTAGAGATACTTACTGGACGGCAGGCTCTTGAGGTCAATGGCCAGTCCAAAACTGTTTACTTGGTGAGAAGAGTCATATCATAGTAACATTTGTTAGTGTAGATTTGGTGTTAATGGCAGGTGATTAAATCTGTTATGTTTCACAGAGAGATCTGGTTAACGAGGAGGAAGATGATGGGAGAAATTTCAGCAAAGGGAAGCCCTCGCGGGAGCTGTCCTATGCTCACGCAGCGAAGAACATCTGCAGGAAACATCTGGATCCTCGATTAATAACTAAAGACTCACCTAACCCTAATGGATCAATGGAAATTTCTCAAATGGCATGTCAATGTTTAGAACGACGGAGGAAGAAAAGGCCTCCCATGACAGAAGTAAGAGAATCTATTCAAATGCTATTTGTTTGTAATTAGTTGTTTTAAATTAGGGCTGTCAAATGATTAATCACTATTAATTGCATCCAAAATAAAATTTTGTGTTTACATAATATATGTGGGTATTATGTAGGTGAACTGTGTGTGTGTATATATATATATATATATATATATATATATATAAAATATTCATATTTTTATGTAATACAAATTATATATAAATACAGTATATACATGAAAATATTTCTTAATGTATACAAGCATGTGTGTGTATTTATATATATATATGTAAAATAATTATACACAGTGCACCCACAAATGTTATGTAAACATAAACTTTTATTTTGGATGTGATTAATCGTTTGACAGCCCTATTCTAAATATAATAAAATATTTCACAATATTACTGTTTTTACTGTATTTCTGATCAAATAAATGCAGCCTTGGTGAGCAGAAGAGACTTCTTTCAAAAACATGAATTAGATTTTAATTACTCCAAACGTTTGAACTTTTTGAATGGGAAGTAGTCACAAAATATTTTTTCTATAAATTATGACTTTCTGGCTAACAATTGGACTTCAGGGGAAAAAAGTAATTTTTTTAGAAACAATAATACCCCTTCATAATAATATGTTTTAGTTAGAATTATGAGGCTTATTCTGGCTCTATTGGTGTTTTGTAGGTGTTCAGAGCACTTCAAGATGTGCATTCAGGGTTGAAGACCTCTGGCCGGTCGACCATGGTCAGAATATCTCCTGTATCATCTCATCCATCCACCCCTGAGCCTCTGCGCTCCGACAACAGCTCCCTGGACTCTCTCGCCCATCAGTTCTCCAAACTCCACCCTCAAGAGGACACATACCCCTGCCATCACAAGCCTATCTTTCCCAGCTTGGCCTCTGAAATGACTAGCTGCTCAGAGTTGCATCCTGAATCATGGGTTTCACAGTCCTCTGGCATGCCATGTGAATCAGATGAGAGTCAAGGCTTTTCTCAGTACTTGACAAGTCACTGTAGCAGACCTCAGTTGACGTCATGTGGGGCCTGTGGTGTTCAGAGCGCTAAAATAGGCAGTTCTTTAGAGGAAAGCCCATCACAATCTAGTCCGAATGAAGGTAATATTTGCAAAATAAACAGGATTAGGAACATCATAAATATTTAAATAAGCATTTTTCTGATTGTATGTGTTTATATGTTTCTGCTTGTCCCAGTTTCATTCTCTGTCTGAATCTTTACAGATTTTTCTGACCAGAAAGTGTTTATCAACCCTGTGAGGCAACGACTGGTCGAGAAAATTGAGCTTTATGAAGAGGGGAGGATTTTAACTTCTGATCTGCTATCATCAGGAGAATCGTTATGTAAGTACAAACAAATGTTTGGTGGGGACCGATCTGGGTTCTTCAGGCAACACGAGAAGCTGCTTTAAGGGGGAATTTCATTCAAGCTGAGCTGATTATGACCCATGTTGTATTGTCATGGATGCTGGTTATCATGAATGCATCTGTTTGATCGGTTCTTTGAATGCATCACAAAGGTCACAAATTGCCATTTTTTTTATAACTTAAAGCGCTACTAGAGTGACAAATAAGGCCGAATACAAGACCCCCATTATATAACCAAGCCCAGTAAGCAATAGACACATTTTGTATGTATTATTTGAATGCTTTCAACAAACTGATACACGTCCAACTAATACAATTGAACAAAACATATTCTGTATGTATAAACTCAGCAAAAAAGAAACGTCCCTTTTTCAGGATACTGTATTTTAAATATAATTTTGTAATATATGATATATTTGATATATGTGACCCTGGGCCACAAAACCAGTCACATGTGTTAATTTTTTGAAATTGAGATGTATACATCATCTGAAAGTGGAATAAATCAACTTTCCATTGATGTATGGTTTGTTAAGATGCAATATTTCGCTGAGACGAAACTATTGAAAATCTGGAATCTGTGGGAGAAAAAAATCTAAACATTGAGAATCTCCTTTAAAGTTGTCCATTTATGTATGTGATTGTCCTGCATTCACTCACAAAATATTTTTTTTAAATATTTACAGTAGGAAATGTACAAAATATCTTCATGGAACATGATTTTTACTTAATATCCTAATGATTGTTGGCATAAAAGAAGAATCGATAATTTTGACCCATACAATGTATTGTGTACCTGTGCGACTTATGACTGGTTTTGTGATCCAGGGTCACATATTTGATATTTTCTAGAGACATTTCTGTTTGTCAAATGTCAAATTTGTTCAGTTTATGTCTGTTGAATCTTTTTATGTTATTACAAATATTTACGATTACAAATTTGATGGGGAAACGATGGACGTTTCTTTTTTTGTTGTGTGTATGTTTGTGTGGAGCTACATGCGTTTATTAAAGCCACATATATTTAATATAATTTTCATTAGCATTAACAAACGTTCAGTGCATAACAGATCAGTTCTGCAGAGATGATTTAAGGCTTCTTGTCTGAAGAACTCAGTGCAGTTTCTTGTTGTGAGAAAGTTACCTTATAGAAGTTACCTGTTTAATTGAATTTAAATAATGTATACATATATATACATATATATTATTTATATATATATATATATACTGTGTATATATATATATATATATATATATATATATATATATATATATATATATTCATTCATTCATTCATTCATTATTTTGTAGACCGAGGGATGAGTGCTCAAACAAGGGAGCCAGAAGAGAGTGATGAGTTTGCAAGTGAGACATCTGGAGTCAACATGCAGTCACCGGCTGCAGTTTAACACTGGATGTTTGGAAGAAAATTTTGGTCCCACTTTATATTAAGTGGCTTTAAGTACTATGTACTTACATAGGAAAATAAGTACAATGTACTTATTGTGTTCAGGTTGTATTGTAAAACACTTTTGCTGCTATTGAGGTGTGATAGGGGTAAGGTTAGGGACAGGTGTGGTGGTATGGGTAGGTATCATGGTGGGCTGAGGTGTAAGGGAAGGATCAACTGTGTAATTACAAATGTAATTACATGAATTAATTACAGTTGTAATTACATGCAGGTATTTTCAAAATATAAGTACAATGTAAAAACATGTATGTACACAATAAGTCCAATGTATCAAAGTAGTAACTTCAATGTAAGTACATAGTACTTAAAGCCACTTAATATAAAGTGGGACCAAAACGCCAAACAAATAAAATATTATACAGAATATTCATGAATTTCTTTATGGTTCTTTTTTTATGGTTATGGTAGAGAAATTACCTCCATAAATACCTCGGCCAAAGGTATTTTTTATTTATGGTAATAGCAAGTGAAAAGTGGTACGGATAATGAAAGCTCTGAAGTTGTGAACCTGTGAATCTTGAATGACAAGTTAAATGGGAAGATATAAAAGTGCATAATTTATACGCCTGTTATTTTGGCGATCTAATGTCTGTCTGTTGTTTTTGGCTTAGTTCTCAAAGGCAAATGGCTTTTTATAGCATAAAGTCAATTGTATGGTTTAAATCACCTACATGAGTGCTGTTTAACATTAATGACACTCTATTTCTATGGTACTAACTGGTGATTGTTGTACAAATTGAATTAAACATTTAGCCTGTGCAGTTTTCATTATGCACATTTTAATTGTTAGCAAATCTACAGCAATAAAATAACAGCTTTATTTGAAACACAAATGTAGAAATATTGAATGTGATATTCAATATTTGGTTTATTCAATATTTCTACATTTAGCCCATTGCTTTTCAAAGACCCATTTTTAAACCTGCCAAAAAGCTTCTTTTCATTCACACTCTTAATGTTTGCTTATGATAGTGTTTATTGTAAACACTGACTTGTAAAATGTTTATACTTGAAAAATTGTTTCAGATGCATATATTAAAATCTGCTGTTTTCAAAAAAGTTTAGATCATTTTTCAAAACACTGGGTTTTTGTGAATGGAATATAACTCTTATGCGTGTTGGTACTTTTATAAGCATATGATATTTACACAAATTATATTATTATTAGATAATTTTTTCATCCAGAGATCATGAATATCAGAGAAATCATTACGTTGTGGATTTACTGGAAAAATTACAGTTTTTACTGTATTTTGTTGCATATTAAATAAATAAATAAATATATATATATATATATATATATATATAACCTTATTTCTGTATGTATATATTCTATAATAGATGTTTCTATGTCACAAGGGTTGTTTTTTTAAATTAAAACCAGCAAATTTCCACTTTTTTATATTTTTATTATATGAAGATCACATTAAAGATCCAAAAACTTATACAATATTTATGTGAAAATTATATATATATATATATATTATATATATATATATATATATATATATATATATATATATATATATATATCTACAGATGTAATTTACTTAAATAAGCAAGGCACACTAGTACAATTTGGGAAAACAATGTACAAATGAACCATTCATCTTCCAAAAAATGTGTCTAACATCCAATCACATTTGCAGGCTGGTTTTCTAATCATAGCCTAGGCTATATGATAGAACATTGCAACAAAGATGATGTTTAAATACAGAGAAATGCAGTTTTTATAAGAAATAGTTTTAGTCTTCATACACGTATTACATGTATGGATAAAGAATTTACTCAAAATTAGAATTGTTTTAATGAAAACATTAATTTTCAACTGCCTTTTTGTCATCCAACATTTCAAACACAATATGGTTGGTTTCTATATATAAAGTAGTTTTCAAGTAATAAACTCTCAAAAATAAAGGTTCTATTTTCTGCACTGTGGTTCAAAGAACCTTTATCATCCATGGAACCTTTCCATTTCACAATAAAAACAAACAAAAAAGAGTAACTTAGGCTAATACTAAGTAAAAAAAATGGTTTCTTGTAATAACTGTTTGAAGTTTCTTATTGTTCCTCTATTGCATGGTTGGGAAAACCCCCTTTTAGAAACTTTATTTTTAAGAGTACAAGTCATATCTTCCCTAAAATACGAGTGCATACAGTAGGGATGCGCGCGCTCTAGAGGCTGATCTGTTGAGCGCTTGTCAGTTGTCAAGAAGATGGCGGCTTCCTGGGCGGCATGAAAAGATGTAACGTTAGAGTTAGCAATATCTACAGTGAAAGGCGCACCCAGGGTTGAATTTGTTCTCCGAGTCCTCTCTCGTGATTTTAAAATTAAGTTAACGAATCGGAACGAGTAAGTATTTTGTGCTAGGCAATGACAGAATCCGTATATTTTGCAGCTTTCTGTGACGGCTAACGGTACATCCGCCATTTTTCTTGAGGGAAGCTAAGCGAGTAGCCAGAGACGAAACAATAACAGACGTTATTGAATTGTGCATCTCGAATAAAATGCCATTTGTAATTCTAACAGTAAATAAACATGAAACATGTAACATTTTCTCTGTTGTGCCAAATGAGTATGTAGAATTTACAATGTTGTAATGAGGTATTTAGCATCCTGCCCTGGATCTCATTGAACATTTCAGATTGAGTGCTAATAGCTAACAGCAGCAGCCGATGTAACGTTACGTTCTTCTTGTTAGTCTTCTCAGCGCTGTTTTGAGGCAAGAAAATGTGTTTACTAAAAGTAACATGGTGCATTTCTTTATAAATATATACATGCATTTGGATGATGAAAAAAGCACGAAGCTTTTTCCAGAGGGGTGGATTGTTTGGTTTGTTTATCAAGATGGCGGCACCCAGACAAGAGAGGCATGAAAAAATCCACATATCACAGAAACCTACGATATTAACCTCAATCAGCATTTATTTTAATGCGCACTATTAACGCGTAATTTTTTTTGTCCTTTAACAAATTTAAGTTTCATGCGCGCTGATTTTTTTTAACGCGCCTTGGTATTATGGTATGATTTCCGTGATTAACGTTACATTATAACACCAATATTTTAATACTTTTTTGGATCTTCGCCCGGTTTTTTATTTTAGATGAATTTTTGGGGTACATTTTTTTAAATGATTTATTATTATTTTCACCCCTCCAATCACTATCTTGTTTTTTTAAATCGCCACCTATTATTTTATATTATTGGTTGTGTTTGATTATTATTTTTTACCGTCACTTTATTTTTTTGCTATTTTTTTCCACCGCCCATTTATATTCACAAGCTTTGTTTTTTAATAGACCTATTTTTTTATATCACCCATTTCCATATACTAATGTTCGATTTTTTTTTTCACCGTCACTTTTTTTCTTTTTTTTACTATTTATTTATTTATTTTATTTTGTCTCACCGCCCATTTCTATTCACTAGCTTGTATGCGTTCGATTTTTTTCCACCGCCCATTTCTGTTCACTAGCTTGTATGTGTTAGCTTAGCCCCGTTAGCAGCTAACTAGGCGCTCGTGCTGGTAGCGTTTAGCTAGCCTCTGCAAGATGGCGGCATACACATCCTCATCGAGCTTTTCTTTTTCTCTTAGATGCCTTTAACCAAACCTGCTTTTTCTTTTACTAAACGGGGATTCAAGAAAAAAATACACAGGAGCCCACCTGCACGTGATGTTGTTTATGTGTAATTATTTTGCTTTATTTCTCCCGGAATTCGCGTTTCTTCAGCCACCGGCGTCCGTCTATTTATTTTCTTCTCGTGATGAAAAGCGTCGTTTGCCGCTAAAATGGCGGTTCGCGCAGATTTGAGCGGCTAACATGCTAACCGGCCAACATTAATCACACGCTATACTTTTGGATTCCGAAGCGCACAAACACTAATATTTGTTATAGTGTGATTTTTAGTACCTTTGGGGCAGTATTTGGCCAGAAATAACCTTGTGGAATTCGAACAGAATTTGGTGACCTAGTTAGCTCGCGCGAAGGCTACATTGTACTAGCGGGCTAATCCGGTTAGCACAGAGTTTTTGACACACGAATGCTGTTGAAATCCGAACTAAAACCAGCGCTGTCCGTGGGATTTGTGTTTCGCTAGAGAAGTGGACATGGCTTCTTCAGGCACCTCGGCTCTGCAGCCGCGCTGGAAGAGGGTTTTGGGCTGGTCTGGCCCGGTTCCTCGCCCAAGACACGGACACCGAGCTGTGGCCATTAAAGAGCTGATGGTGGTGTTCGGCGGAGGGAATGAAGGCATTGTGGATGAGCTGCACGTCTACAATACAGGTAAGGATGCTATTCCTTTATAATAAAGCAGTTATTTGTGCACGTACTTACGTTTTGTTTCAGTAGCATTTAACGTTAGCTCACTTGTGTTATTAGCCAAATTCTGTCCGTTCTGCTATCTCTTGGTGGTTAGATGTGTTGTTTTGGATTTTACAACCACTGTTTGACAGCTAACATATTGTTGCATGTTTACACGGCTGCTTTTAGTTTTGTTTAGCAATAATTCCTGGACTAATTGTTAACATAAACAACGTTAGCCAGGTGCATTAGCGCAGATAGCGGGTATACCAAATCTGCATAAGTGATCAGCTACCTAAGCTAACTAGCCGTGAAGAATGTGCACACAATTATTGTAACTTACACTTGCTTGTGCAATTCAAAACTCAAACCATCAAGTAACATTAGTGTTTGCACTAACATTAGCGCAATTAATGTGGGTGCATCATCTGCAGAATATGGCGTTGCACTCATGTGCACTATGGAGTTGTTTTGTTTTAAGATGTTTATGTATCAGCTAGCCAGCTAACGCTACAGCACTAGCCAAGCACTGGATCTGGCACGCCAAGAAAAATGCAAAGAGAAATGGCGGGTTAAAAGAACGCCACCTACGTCATCACAACACACATGCCCCGCCCACAGTATTTCCCGCATTTCCATGTGAATACTTCTAGGATGAATGGAAGAGTTTGTGATTCACAGAATTTCTGATTTTAATAACATTTTGATAAGGTCTGTGTGATGTTATGCAATATTAAGAAGTCGATTCACTCCAAAAACCATAGTTATACTGTACATTGAAAATATAAATACTATATGCTGTTAACTGATTATTATTAAGATCATGATTTAAAGATGACCCATGAGCAACATGCAAATGTTGGGCATTCTTTTTATTTTAATTTAGAAGCTGTTTGTAATTATGCAGAACCATTCATTAATTGATATATCATTATAGTGTCTATACTAGATGTGTTTTTTTTTTTTGTTAAAATTTTGTAGTTGTTTTTATTAAGTCTTTTACATAAAGTTAAAGTAAATCAAAATAAGAAATGTTTAGCTGAATTTTTTTTAAATTAATTTTTTTTGCAGTTAACTTTTGTTTTATTTCAAGTAGCGAACGTGTTTTAGTTAACTAATTACCATGTGCAGAACAGACTGAAAGAATGTGATGCATTGCAAGACACCACTGAAAGAATTTATTTAATCTAAACCACAATGACGCAACTGTGTTTCTCAACAGCCACCAATCAGTGGTTTATTCCTGCTGTCAGGGGTGACATTCCTCCCGGCTGCGCTGCATATGGATTTGTGTGTGACGGCACCAGACTCCTTGTGTTTGGGGGCATGGTTGAGTACGGAAAATACAGCAATGATCTTTATGAACTACAGGTAAGCCTATCAGCACCCTCTTTAAATCTCAAAGGTGGAGCTTAAAGGGATAGTTCACCCAAAAATGAAAATTCGGTCAGTTCTTACTCTCCCTCATGTTGTTCCAACCCTGTAAGACTTTCGTTCATCTTCGGAACACAAATTAAGATATTTTTGATGAAATCTGAGAGCTGGATCACTCCTCCATAGGCTTCTTAAGGGATTGAAACTTGTTCCCCGAAAAGTTATTAAAGACATTGTTAAAATAGTCCAAGTGACTACAGTGGCTCAATCCTAAGTTTATCAAGCAATGAGAATACTTTGTGCGCAAAAAACAACAACAAAAATAACGACTTTATTCAACTATTAATTTCCTTCTCTGTGGGCCTCAAAGTGAGTTCTCTAGTGTACACATGACCAGCGTAGGCCAATAGTGAGCCTACATGTGACGTAGCTCTATGCTAAACTATGTTAACTGACTAGAGGCCCACAGAGATGGAAAGGAATAGTTGAAATAAAGTCGTAATTTTTGTTTGTTTTTGTGCACAGAAAATATTCTCGTCGCTTGATAAACTTAAGATTGAGCCACTGTAGTCACTTATTTACAACTATTTTAACGATGTCTTTAATAGCTTTTTGGGGCCGACAAGTTTCAATCCCTTAGAAGCCTATGGAGGAGTGATCCAGCTCTCAGATTTAATCAAAAATATCTTAATTTGTGTTCCAAAGGTGAACGAAGGTCTTACAGGGTTGGAACAACATGAGGGAGAGTAAAAACTGACAGAATTTTCATTTTTGCGTGAACTAACCCTTCAAGGAGGCTGTTGTTTTCATTACCTCTTTCTCATAGCATCCACCCTAACGTTTGTAATTATTCCCTAATTTCTGTCAAATACTTAAAACAGGCCAGTAGATGGGAGTGGAAACGTTTAAAGCCCAAAGCCCCCAAAAATGGCCCACCACCATGTCCTCGCCTGGGACACAGCTTTTCTCTAGTTGGAAACAAATGCTACTTATTTGGTGGACTGGCAAATGACAGTGAAGATCCCAAAAACAATATTCCCAGGTAAAAGACAGAGCCAAACTTAATTCATGAATGTTTGAGCAGCAGATCCACAATTGAATCATTTCTCCATTTTTACACCAGATACCTGAATGACCTCTACACACTCGAACTACGCCCAGGGTCAAGCGTAGCAGGCTGGGAAATGCCTATTACGTACGGTGTGCTTCCCCCTCCTCGCGAGAGCCACACCGCTGTTGTCTACACAGAGAAAACGTCCAAAAAGTCTCGTCTCATCATCTACGGCGGGATGAGTGGCTGCCGCCTTGGAGACCTTTGGACTTTAGACATAGGTGAGAGAAAGTATTCATACTTTTCAGTCACGTGACTGAAACGGAGGCCTGGAAGGCAAAACATCCATAGAACTGCAACACAGGCCTGTCTGTTTCAATCAACAAGCATTTAGATCACCCCTCAATTGAAGGAAAACTAAAACTAATCCAGTATTTCAATCACTTAAAAAAGCAGGGCATTCTTAAGAAAAACACTTAATGTACTAAAACGGTGATAAAATATCAAATTATAGTAGTATACACCTCATTAATCATGCATACTATATACAGGAAAGCAGATTACCCTGGAAAATGAACGCATTGTGCTAAATGGTTAAGACGAGTTTTCTATGGAAAAGCACTAAACAAGAAACTGCGTTTTGTTTATATTTTGTATTCTGGGGGTTATCTGCTCCATGTGATCGTTCCTATAATGGTGTGATATCAAGGGAAAACTATGAATTGGCTTAAAGTGTACTCGCTCTGTTTTGCAGATACTTTAACCTGGAACAAACCTGCCATAAGTGGAGTGGCACCTTTGCCCCGCAGTCTCCACTCTGCAACCACTATAACCAACAAGTAAGTAAAGTTTCTCCAGCTTGTTTAAACATACTATGTTTATTTAAACATTGACTGTCAGCAAGGTTGGAAATGATTGAGAAACTACTGCATTTTGGGTGCAGAATTTAAGGTGACATCGAATCATAAATGACTTTCAGAGTAGGCTTGCTTCGGTAGTCTGTGTTACACGGTGTTTCGGACACACTGATTACACCATGGCACCGCCCCCACTGTCGTTTAGCTTTTTTTATAGAAGTAAAAACCATTTAGTTAAGATGGACGATGGATGCTACAATTATAAACTGAAAGCGTCTGCTTGCTCCATACAGCACGAGCTGCAGAGTCGCAGCACAGTGCAGCAGGAGTCAGATTTCACTTATCACGTAAGGAGAGATGACTGACAAGACGATGGCAGAGGATTTGGTGCGCAACAGATCCTGAGCGTCAATGACAAATATCTAATCTTGTAAAATGTGGGGTCAGTACCGCCGCTCCCTATACACAGAGTATGCGTGACTGCGAATTCGAAAGTCTTCAAAAATGATTTCAATACCCTGCATATTGATAGCGACTCCCTGATGTCCGCCAATTATGACAACTCCCCCCTTAAAGTAAACCGTGTTTGAAAAAGTATTATTGCGATTGTAATTCATAATAGAATTGCGCACTGCGCTCGTATAGCGTTGGCATTCAGCGAACCTGGCAAATGATCGGCTTTATATCGAATATCGTCATCTGCAATGGCCAAAAAGATAAATAAAATTAACATGATCACTAAAACAATTGTTTGTTTAAATTATCTTGCATTTAAATAACACATTTCCTTGTGGAAGTGAATAAAATTAAGTACCTCCCACAGTTTTAATTTTTACCTCACTGAAGAAATGTGTGTTGTGAATGCCTTTCCATGTTGTCTTCAATAGTGGACTAGTTGGTGTGGACTTCACTAACTTTGGTCTCATGTGTTTGTAGGATGTTTGTGTTTGGCGGATGGGTCCCTCTGGTTATGGATGATGTCAAAGTAGCCACACACGAGAAGGAGTGGAAGTGCACAAACACTTTGGCATGCTTAAATCTAGGTATGTTTAAGGTGCAGCAAGCGATTTCTGAGACCCACCGTTGATATTTGAAATCAACAAACACACACACCTCTCCCTTAATTGCTCCACCCCCAAAATAACAAACACGCTATGCAACACAGGATCCACTAAAGCCTTGTTTATACTTGTATACCCACCACGAGCCCCACTGATTGCGCATGCTCCTCCCCAAACGGACGAGGTGTTAATATACTTGATGCACTCGCCGTTGTACTATTCTTTAAAACGCATACAGAAACTCAGAGTAATTCTTCTTTAAACCATCAGGAAGCAGCGGTGAAGTATTTTATAAAGTATCTTTATTTTTGCGCCATCATGTTACATCACTGCTTTGAATAAAATAATGAATGCAGTGCCATTTATATTCTGCTCATTGCATCAAAACACTGAAATTATGCTTTTTAAATTTGAATATTCGTAATATTTAAATTTAAAAAACTTCTTCAGCCATTTTGACAGGCCTTTTAATTAGACTGCAAGAAGGCATGTTGTAGATGGTGTACAACAGGTTTTTCAGCAAAGTTTTGGTCATGTTGATTATTTAGAGGCCATAGAAATCGAGTTAAAAGAGAACTGCCTTTGATTACTTAAAATGCTTTTACCATTGCTGATCTGGACCTTTATTTCCTTCAGACTCAATGTCTTGGGAAACCATCTTGATGGACTCTCTCGAGGATAATATCCCACGGGCCAGAGCTGGACACTGCTCTGTTGCTATTAACAATAGGTTATACGTCTGGAGTGGAAGGGACGGCTATCGCAAAGCCTGGAACAACCAAGTTTGCTGCAAAGATCTGTGGTATTTGGAGACAGGTGAGTTGAGTTGATAAAAATCCATTCTCAGGGGCATCTCGATTCTGTCTTCAGCAACTGATTCGATTATTAAAACTTGAGAATCAATTCTTATACCTAGACTGTATAAGTGTTTGAATTAACTTGCATCTCCCAGTGCTTTGATGTGCCAATAAATGTAACACAGTTTACACATTATAACAGCCTTCTGTCTGTACCATCTTGATGACTTTGCTCACGTTCGTTCTCGTGCACTGACACGTTCCTTAAACTGAACAGCGAATCAAAGTTCTCGCTCTCACCGATGGCCCAACAGCAATTCAACATGCCGAAATGGTGTGTCCCAGGCTTTAAGGACAAGACAACACATCTGATATGTTAAAACAAGTGAGGTCTTTATGAGCAAGTAATTTAATCATTTATTCAAACCGATACTTGCTTAATTTTTTTGTCTGTTCAGAATAATGGAAGAATCATGATCCCTTTTAAACAATATAAAAAAAATAAATAAAAAGGTTTATCCAGAATCATGCAACTCTAATGTATTGTTTAAAACAATATATAAATAAAGGTGACTTATCTACTTAATTAGATTTAGTTAGTTAACAATTCTTAACATAAATTTTTCCTCATTTAGTCATTTGTAATTTTTATAAAAACGTAATTAATTTAATAAAAATGTACACCTTTTATAAGATCTTCCTAGTTAATAAGAAAAAAGGTGTGATAAGAATCATTTTAAAAATCGTTTCTAGAATCGGAATCAGATCAGAAGATTCCCACCCCTATTATTACCATCTCAAACAACATTTATAATGCATAATCTCGTATCTTTCTATCAGATCGTCCTCAACCCCCATCACGTGTTCAGCTGGTCCGTGCCAACACTAACTCTCTGGAGGTGAGCTGGGGGGCAGTGCCTACCGCCGACACTTATCTGCTGCAGCTACAGAAATACGACATCCCTGCTGCAACAGCTGCCACATCGCCTACGGTCAACCCCGTCCAGTCGTTACCCATCAACTCCCCTAGGAGTCCGGTGCCCGCCACTGCTGCTCCTGCAGCTCAGAGCATGCCTCTCTCTGGGGTCACACTGGTGCCACAAGTCCCTTCCCCCACAACCGCCATGCCAACCAGCCCGCTTGCTGCCTCACCTCGTGGACCAGGTACAAATGACTTAATGAATGGCTTTTTGCAATTTGCAGACTGCTGTGCAGGGTTTTACTTTCTGTAAGTAATAATACTAATAACTATGTGATATTACCAACCCTAACTTAAAATTTTCATTACAGCTATTCTTAAAGTGGCAGCGCCTCATTCGACCCCCGGGACGTCAGTCGTTACTGTGCGTCAGGCCACTCCTGGAGGAAAATCCCCAGTCACGGTTACATCACTTCCTGCAGGCGTCCGCATGGTTGTCCCCGCACAGAGCACCCAGGGGACGGTATGTAGACGATCAATATAAATCTTTAATTAGGGCTGCATGATTAATCAAAATGAAACTTAAATTGCAACATGTTTTAATATGATTATCAAATAAATAAATAATATAAATAACGTAGCTAATATAATAATTGAAAATTTTTCAGTTGTAGTGTAAAATAAAATGTTCTTTATTTTATAATATAATATTGTTTTTCTTTTGTTTAGTAGTTTTCTGTATTAACTAACAAACATTTATAAAATAGTTATTGATATAATTTATTTATAGTCATATTGATTTAAAACCACACACTTTAGCCAAATTGTGCAGCCCTATAAACAAGCACAGCAAATCTGGAGGGGGGAAAAACAATTCCGTTTCTCCCCGAATCGTGCAAGCCATGTCTTCATTTTTAGTGTCCAGTGTTAAATTTGCATTTAAACCTTAAATGCACTGTAACTGTTTCTGTCTCTAGCCAATTGGCAGCAGCCCTCAGATGAGTGGCATGGCTGCTTTGGCTGCAGCTGCAGCCGCCACACAGAAGATCCCGCCCTCTTCCACTGTGCTAAATGTTCCAGCTGGAGCCACCATCATGAAAACCGTCAATGTTACTCCTGGATCCACAACTCTGCCGGCTACTGTCAAAGTAGCTTCACCTGTAATGGTAAGTGTCATCTTGAGTAACCAAATCTTTGAATTAACATAATAAACCAGAAGTCTTCAATCGTTTATATCTAATCTGATGTTGTGCTATAGGTCAGCAAAAAGTACTTTGGATAAAAACATTTTAGTTCTAGACATAAATAGAATCAACTTCCCTTTCTGGCATCCTTCCGGACATGAATCATCCTGATTATACACTTCCTGTCTTGTAGCTATTCGTGATTTAATGTGTCTTTGTTCCTACTTCCATTCCAGGTTACTAATCCTGCGACCCGAATGCTAAAAACAGCTGCAGCCCAGGTCGGCACTTCCTCTATCTCTACTCCCAACACCCCGAATCGACCAATCATCACTGTGCACAAATCAGGCACAGTAACCGTAGCTCAGCAGGCCCAGGTTGTTACCACCATGGTCGGAGGAGTCACCAAAACTATAACCCTAGTTAAGAGCCCCATCACAATGGGTAGCAGCGGTGCTCTGGTAAGAACAACATCATATCTGATTTTCTATGCTTAAAAGTACGGCTGCTTGTCATGAAATCAACATATAGCGCCATTGTGCATTGTGGACCTTTGCCTCTCTCTCCCACCTCACTTCCTTATCCTAGTACAAGGCAAAAACACCAAAATAAAAAAAATTAAAAGTAGGACTCCTTGTTGTAACCGATTGCACTATGTATCGCAGCGCTGTCCAAGAGGCTATTGCGCATAGTATATTTTAAGATAAACACTCATTTTTATTACATTTGTTTTATAATAATCATAATTATTATAATTTCAAAACTATACTTATTTTGTTATGTATTCACAAAAGTTTTAGCTATATTGTAAAGCTGTTTTATTTCTAATCACAATTTTTTTTTTTTTTTAATCAGAAAAAATCTGTTGTTATATATTTTTTTTCCTGAAAATGTGCATCCCTAGTGTTTTGACTCTATGAATCCGGACTTTTTGAATTTTTTTATACTCGGTAATAATAACCCTTTACTGTTCTCAGATCTCCAGCCTTGGGAAGATGATGTCTGTTGTCCAAACCAAACCAGTACAAACATCTGCGGTCACCGGACAGGCTGGAGGCAGTCCTGTCACTCTAATTCAAGTCAGTAGTGCTGCTCATTTGAAGCACATACAATTCTTAAAATAAATTCTGTTAATTGTGAATTTAAACAATCTATATTGTCATTTATGCTTGTTCCCCTCACTTTTTCTTAGACAAAGACTCCTCTGCCTGCTGGTACCATCCTGAAATTGGTCACATCTGCGGATGGCAAGCCCACCACAATCATTACAACTTCCCAGGCTGGAGGGGCTGGCACCAAACCTACTATCCTGGGCATCAGCAGTGTCTCTCCAAATACCGCCAACAAACCAGGCACCACCATTATTAAAACAATCCCTATGTCTGCTATACAACAAGGAGCAACAGGTCTGTTTTACAACTGTTCATCCCATATGTAATCAAACATTGGAATAGATTTTAGTTCAGTTGAATCTCAGAGGTTATTTATGCATTTTGAGTTGAGCTTCACAACCATGTGTTGTTTATAACTAACTAACAGCTCTGTTTTTTTTACGCATCGTTGATTTCCTGTTGTGATACCCTGTCTCGTTGCTAGGTGTGACTAGCAGTACTGGCATGAAGTCACCCATCACGTATATCACCACTAAGGTTGTTACTCCTGGCACGGGTACTCCGGGGAAAATCATAACAGCTGTGCCTAAGCTAACAGCAGGTGCAGGACAACAGGGGGTCACACAGGTGAGGCGTATGGCACATTTAAGCTCATATTGATTTAATTTGATATTTTGAGTGGTACCTGAATGTTTTATTTGCTCTCAGGTGGTCTTGAAGGGGGCACCAGGACAGCCCGGCACTATATTACGCACTTTGCCAATGGGCGGAGTGCGTCTGGTTTCACCAGGGACTGTGTCTGCCGGCAAACCAACAGTTACCACACTGGTCGTCAAAGGCACCACGGGTATGAATATTCAGGTGTAGTTTGATTCAAATTAGAGAGGAATTGTTTTTCATATCATTAATGACCTCTTTGAATTTAGGAGTTACAACTCTGGGTACAGTAACTGGTACTGTATCAACTAGTGCGGCAGGGGTCAATGTGGCAAGTGCTAATGCCAGCCTGGCTACTCCTGTCACCACACTTGCCTCCATCGCCACTTTGTCCAACCAGGTGATCAATCCCACGACCATCACTGTATCTGCTGCCCAGACCAGTCAAGCCACCGCTACAATACAAGTGAGTCATTGTAACATTTATTATAATCTTACAAAAGATTTCTATTTCAAAATAATTGCTGCTCTTCTGACCTTTCGATTAATCAGAAAAAAAAATCATGGTCTCCACAAAAATATTAAGATGCACAATTGTTTTCAATATAAAAATTTGGTTTAGCTGTCACAGGAATAAATTAATTGTTTAATATACAGGGTTCCCACAGATCCTTGAAATCATTGAAAGTTTGTGAATCTGAAAAACAAAATTCAAGGACCTGGAAAGTTTTTGAAAATAGAGACAGGTCCTTGAAAGTGCTTGAATTTATTTTGTGCCAGAGCATTTCTGGAAAAAAAATCCCTTTGGTCCACTAATTTGTTATTTCACCAAGGCTTTGTGGCCTATGCACACTAGCTTACTTGATTTATGGTAGTCACACGCACTTCCGCGTTACGTTAAGTGTTTCCCGCGTGAGGTACTTTGTTATATGTTGCCATGACGTTGATGCGCACACGAAACTGTTACGATGGTACCTTAACGTTTCACAGACACACCGTGGAACAGTGCAAAAATAGGCTGAAACCACTAAACCTGATGCCTGGAAAATTTTCAAGTTTCAAGATATTTGGAATATTTTATAATGTATTTGATCTACACTATGTTGACCCCACATTAAGTCCTTGAATTTGAGGGTATTGGACCTGGAAAGTCCTTGAAAGGTCCTTGAATTTGAAGATAACCGAGGTGTGGGAACCCTGAAAATATATTAAAAGAGATACTGCTATAATTTAATACATTGTACCAACCCCAAATTTGAACAGTAGTGTAAAAAAAACTAATTATAATTTCCTACCTATTTTTTTCAGTTGTGTATATTGTTTTAAGGCATATAAATAACAGTATATAAAGTGTTAAGAAATTATATATTATAGTAAAATAATTGTATTATTATTTATAAATTCATTCAACCAATTAATGGGGACTGGAAATTTCTCTAATTTTATGTTTATTTTTCCTTTCAGTCGGCACCCCAGCCTACTCAAGTAACCCTGATCACGACTCCAAGTGGTGCTGAAGCCCAGCCTGCACAGGATCTTCCTGTCTCCATCCTGGCCTCTCCCACCTCAGAGCAGCCCTCCACCACTGGTGCTGATGCTGGTGACGGCGCTGGCGACAGTGCTGCCACCGTGACACTGGTCTGCTCCAACCCACCATGCGAGACCCATGAGACTGGTACAACCAACACGGCTACAACGGCTTCTGCCAAAATGGGCACCGGACAGGTTTGTTCCAACCCACCATGTGAGACCCATGAGACTGGTACAACCAACACGGCTACAACGGCTTCTGCCAAAATGGGCACCGGACAGATTTGTTCCAACCCTCCGTGTGAGATGCATGAAACGGGAACCACCAACACAGCAACCACTGCCTCTGCGAATATGGGCAGGGCACAGCAGGTCTGCACCAATCCACCCTCAGAGACGCATGATACGGGCACCACCAACACAGCCACTACTGCCAGCTGCAACATGGGCTCTCAAAAGATGGGCACCGTGAACAGTAAGAAGGATGCTTCTTCGTCAGCTTCATCCTCAGCTTCTGGTTCAGATCATGAAACGCCCGCCACACAGGCTGGCACCATGCGGCAGGAGACTCTCCGCACGGGTACCACCAACACCTCTACTACCGCCCGCTCCAACATGGGCTCTGACCAGACGGGAACAGTGCAGAGCTCCAGCAAGAGCCAAGCTTCCATCTCCTCTACTATGATTCCCGTTTGCTCCAGCCCTTCAAGTGAAACGCTGGAGACGGACACCACAAACACTTCAGCTGAGTCTGGTGATGTCCAGCAGGTCTGCTCAAAACCACCTTGTGAGACGCATGAAACGGGGACGGCTGAAACTGCTGCACAGTCAAGCGCCAGTATGGAAAGTGGGCAAACTAATGTTGTGGAGAGGGTGTGCTCCAATCCTCCCTGTGAAACGCACGAAACGGGCACCACCAACACATCGACCCAGGCCTCGTCTACTATGGGTGCAGGAGAGAGTGGCACCGTGCAAACAGTGTGCTCCAATCCTCCATGTGAAACGCACGAAACGGGCACCACCAACACACCGACCCAGGCTTCATCTACTATGGGTGCAGGAGAGAGTGGCACCGTGCAAACAGTGTGCTCCAATCCTCCTTGTGAAACACACGAAACGGGCACCACCAACACACCAACCCAGGCTTCATCTACTATGGGTGCAGGACAGAGTGGCACCGTGCAAACAGTGTGCTCCAATCCTCCTTGTGAAACACACGAAACGGGCACCACCAACACACCGACCCAGGCCTCGTCTACTATGGGTGCAGGACAAAGTGGCACCGTGCAAACAGTGTGCTCCAATCCTCCATGTGAAACGCACGAAACGGGCACCACCAACACACCGACCCAGGCCTCGTCTACTATGGGTGCAGGACAAAGTGGCACCGTGCAAACAGTGTGCTCCAATCCTCCATGTGAAACGCACGAAACGGGCACCACCAACACACCGACCCAGGCCTCGTCTTCTATTGGTACTGAACAAAGTGGCGCCGTGCAAACAGTGTGCTCCAATCCTCCATGTGAAACACACGAAACGGGCACCACCAACACAGCCACCACTTCTACAAGCAGCTTAGAAACTGGAGAAGGAACAGGTATTTATCTACATAACACTCAAAGATTACTGTTTTAATGTAAAAAGGAACAAAATAATTTAGGTTAATTTTGTTATTAAATATAATTCTATAGTTAATTATGATTTGTTTTTAAAACTGAATCATGTGCATCGACTAGCTTCTCCTAGATGATAGGGATGTCAATTGTCACTTGTGTCAAGATTCGATTCACTGCACATGGCTTCATTTTCATCAATGAATACAAGTAGTCAGATATATAAACTCCCTAAAGCTTAAAGGAGTAGTTCACTTTTAAAAAAACTTTTGCTGATAATTTACTCGCCTCATGTCATCCAAGATATCCATGTCTTTCTTTCTTCAGTCGAAAAGATGTTTAGGTTTTTGATGAAAACATGCCAGCATTTTTCTCCATATAATGGACTTCAATGGGAACCAAACGGTTCAAGGTCCAAAAGACACTTTCAGTGCAAACTGTTCAAAGGGCTTTAAACGATTCCAGGCGATGAATAAGGGTCTTATCAAGCGAAACGATCGCTCATCAAAATGAATGAATCTTTTTCCGAGTCATTTGGTTCATTCAACGAATGAATTGACTCAGAAAAAGATTTGTTCATTTTGATGAATGAGTTCGAACAGGAGAGTCACAAATGAGCATTTGAGCTTATAAAACTTAAACTTTGTTATTTATTTATTAAATGAGTGATCGTTTCGCTTGATAAGACCCTTATTCATCGTCTGGAATCGTTTAAAGCCCTTTGAAGCTGCACTGAAACTCTCATTTGGACCTTGAACCGTTTGGTTTCCAGTAAAGTCTGTTATATGGAGAAAAATCCTGGAATGTTTTCATCAAAAACCTTAATTTCTTTTCGACTGAAGAAAGAAAGACATGGACATCTTGGATGACATGGGGGTGAGTAAATTATCAGCAAAATTGTTTTAAAAGTGAACTACTCCTTTAAGTCTGAACACAGCAGAAGACAGGAGCATCTAGAACTAATAAACACTAGTAAATACTAAAAGCGCTTAAAACTGACATGTGACTTTTTTTTTTTAAAAGCTTATTTTATTTATGTATACAAGTCTTCTACAAAGCATATGCAACCAAGGACATTTTTTATTTTGAGCCAGCCATTTAAACTTGTTAATATCAGGGGTATTTCTCCCCCAATTTGCATGCTGTCAAGAGTACTAAATAGAGATTATCCATCTTTTCTACTGTAAATGTTCTGATGCCTATTTTACTTATAATATTTGAATGCTGCTCCAGTGTGAACACTTCTAAAATAAACGTATAGATTTATAATACTGGTCATCATATTATAAAGCAGTTATCAGCATTAATTATAGTCTATCAATGTTAGTTTCAGTGCACCCTTAATAGAGCTCCTCTGCGTTTGTCCTTTAGCCCAGCAGGGTGGTGATGGACAGAGTGACAGCGGCACCAGCACAGAACCCACGTCATCTACAGAACCGGCCAATCCCACAACACAAAGCAGAGCCATCACCACAGTAACACAGGCCACACCCACTCCAGGACCATCAGTACCGGTATGAACGCGTTCTTCTAATCTGATCGGCTGGCTTTATGCAATTTCCTGGGCCTGACGCACATTCATATTCCACTTTGCTCTCAAGGTTATCTCAGAGACTATTAAAAATTGAGCATAAAAGCTGCTTAGTCATTTTACAAATACAGACAGTTGCTTCCTGTCTAATTGGGCACATTTCAGCTAGAAAAAGCTGTAGTATTGCTTGTTGGTAAACTTGTTGCAAAATAGTATTTAACAAATACATGAATTAATATGTGAACGTTTTGTTCAAATACATGCAGATGTGTGCTCTAAATTAAGCGATTTATCTTGTTCTCTATTTCTGATTGTTTTCTCACTCAATGTAGGAGATTTCGTCTATGGCCGGATCTGCGGTAGTGGCTGATGTCCCGGGAGAGGCGGAGGCCATGGAGCAGACCAGCGCAGAGGCCGTAGCAGCGGGAGAAGAGCCCATGCAGACCGAGTGTCAGGGAGAGCTCAGCGAAGAGGGAGCCATCCGGGTCGTTGCCATCGATGAAAGTGCAGCGGGTGACGAGGGAACCGTGCTACAGGTTCATGTTGCCATGGAAGCACAGCCAGGTCAAGGAGATCAGGCTGAGGTATAGAAGAAACTTTCATAATCATATGGTTTAGAGATAAATGCATATGATGTGAATTGACTTTGTTAGTATACGCTTTTGTGATGCTTTTTTTTCCATTCGCTTACAATGTTAGTCATCGTTTCTTTCACCAAAACAAGTGTAATTAATTTTTTCCCCCACCTTTTTTGACCCTTAAATTCAATAGACTATTTTTAAAGAATTTTTGCATTGCAAACCTTGTATGTTTTTGTTTTAAAACCATGTTTTTCATTATGTAGCCATATATACATTATATATTGGTATATACACTACTGTTCAAAATTTTAGAGCTGACAACTTTTTTTTTTAAATGTTTTTGAAAGAAATCTTTTTTTTTTGTTTTATGCTCCAACAAGGCTGCATTTATTTGATCAAAAATACAGTAAACCGTAATATTGTGAAATAATACTACAATTTATAATGTTTTCTATTTGAACAGGAATGAATTACATTTATTACAAAGCAAAATTTTCAGCGGCATGCATGTTTTTGCCGTTCTTGTGCACAATAATATTTTTGTGGAAATAGTGATGGGTATTTCACGCTTCTTTGATGACTGAAAATCAATGCAGCATTTATTTGAAATTGATATCTTTTGTGACATTATAAATGTCTTTACTGTCACTTTTGTTCAGTTCAATACTGAATAAAATTAGCCTGGATGCCAGCCGAACGCCGAATTTTTTGGTCGGGAAGTTCGGTCTGGACTCGATCCATTGAGGAGTAATTATGATCAGGCAAAAAATGATTGGGCCAATCAAATTGGCAGGGCGGGCTTTATACGATGATGGACAGATGATCTGCAGGGACGTTATCAAAGATCGCTTGTCAAAGATGACTGCAGCTGGAGAATTGAGATGTATAGATTCCGCTGTCGCGTCTTTTGTAAAATAAATCGACAGCGCATTCATTTTAATAGACAAACAGAGAACTTCAAACGGCATTTGTCGATCGGAAAGATATTTTTGGCGTCCTTCCTACATGATTCGGGAAAAGTGTAACTTATCAGGTGGCTCTGACGGTCGTTAAGAAGATGGGACGTAATGAAAAGCCTGTGGCCGTTGTGGTTTCTCCTTTGGTCGCACTCATGGAGAAGTAAAAGAAGCAACACTCGTTATTTAACTTCTAAAATAAATAAAGTTAGGCTACGTTCTGTATTTGAAAACTGCGCTATGCAAAGGAGTTGACTTACTGCGTTGCTCTGATTGGTTGTAGGTCTACCGACTATCCAATTGAGTGTAGAGGTTTTTTTTTTTTCCTGGTTCAGTTATGACATGCCTCATAATCAAAGCCCAACGGAGGAGTTTCAGACTCATATTCTCTCTTGAATATGAGTATGACGAAGTCAGGCTAGAATAAAATCTTACAAATGTGCAAATATGAAACAATTCCCTGTTTTCTCTGTAAAGCAGATGGAGGCCGGTGTGGATGCTGCGGAAGCGATGAGTCTAGCTGCTCAAGACTCAGAAGCACTCGCCCTTCCCCAGGAGCTGATGTCTGCAGAAGGACAGCAAACTACCCTCATGGTGACTGGACTGACCCCAGAGGAGCTGGCTGTGACGGCAGCGGCTGAGGCTGCGGCACAGGCTGCGGCAACTGAAGAAGCGCAGGCCCTCGCCATCCAGGCCGTCCTACAGGCGGCTCAGCAGGCTGTGCTCAGTAAGTGTGCGACACGCTGCCGTATTCTTAACGTTATGATGGACACTTTGAATTCTCAGCCTGACTTTCTGTTTCAGGTGCGGGAGACGCAGGTCATGACGGGCACCAGTCCACCACCATCCCTATAGTTTTGACCCAGCAGGAACTTGCTGCTCTAGTTCAGCAACAGCAGCAGCTCCAGGAGGCGCAGGCGGCTGCAGCCCAGCAGTTGAGTGCTGAAGCGGCTGCAGCTGCACTGCCTACCGAAGGCTTGGCACCAGCAGACAGCCTCAACGACCCTGCGTCTGAGAGTAATGGCCATGAGATGGCAACCGCTGTTACTAGAGCCGTGGCCAGTCTCCTTCCACGCACTTCTGCGGAGAGTAAGAGATGCTTTTTTTTTTTTAAGTTTTAAATTATTAGGAAAAAAAAGTTTCCTAATAATTTGGTTTGGGGAGATCCATTTATGATGCTTTATGATCCAAATGTGTTGGTTTTTGTTGCATGCTAAAAAATGTCCCTCTTTCTTGACAGCTCTAGCCCCATCAAGTACTTTTGCACCATCTCAGACGATTTTGGTCGCCAGTCCTGCCAAGATGCAAGCAGCCAATGCTTTAGCTGAGGTGGCCAATGGGATTGAATCGGCTGCTGGGGTGAGTTCACCAGTGGTTCTTGATGATTACTGCACTGATCTCTATTTCAGACTATTGTTCAACCAGTTGTTTTTATTGTAGAAACCTGAAGCGCCTCCAGCAGTCGTGAGGCCTCCAGTGAAGAAAGAGAATCAGTGGTTTGATGTTGGTTTCGTTAAGGTCACAAACATGGTTGTCACTCACTATTATGTGCCAGCTGACGATTCAGCAGTTACTGAGGTAAGTAATCATCAAGTTGATGTTAATGTTGTGTCTTTATTGGAAAAGGAAGTGTTATTTAGCACAAATTGATATGCACTATACCTGATTGATGGATATATCGTTAAGGCTGTTCATTTTCACTGTTTAGCCAAACTGATTTAGAAACTGGACTTGTATTTTCCAATAAAAGAAATACAAATTCTATAATATTTGTTACATATAACAACATTTGTCAAACAAGTCCTTAAAGCAACATCTAATTAAGTCATTACACTTGTCATTAGGGGTGATGCCAATAACAAATAATTTTTTATATTTGAAAGCCGATAACCAATATATTGGCCGATAAATCTAAACCAATATTTTTATATACTTTTTAGAGCCTGATTACAAAAACAAGTCTCACCATTAAAAGCCATGTCCCAAGCACACAATTGTAAATATGACAGACTTGCACTGCAAGTTTTGCTTAATTGTGATTACCCAACTTTAATTATGAAAAATAATACAATAGGATTGATCACATAAATTTGACAGTTACTCTCTTTACAACTTTAAAATGTAAATAGTGTATTTCTTATTTTGTAACAATAATATAAACATGTAAATATAAAATTCAGTTGACAGGAATGGTGGAGCTTATCCCAGTGTCTTGAACCAAATAAAAATAAATGCAAAACAAATAATGCATCTGTTATTGTCTATTATTTTAATTAAATAGATAAAAAAAATGTATTATTAAATTTAATGTTTAATGTGTGTATATCGGTCACCTTGCTCTCTAAGATTCTGGCATTGGCCTTTAAAACATCCATATAAGACTACCGCTAATCCTCTTGATGTTGCAGGATGATTCTGGCACAATCCCAGACTACAGCCGAATGAAGAAGATCGAACTGTCTCCAGGCACTGCGTACAAGTTTCGCGTGGCCGGTGTCAATGCGTGCGGCCGTGGAACGTTCTCCGAGGTCTCTGCGTTTAAAACCTGCTTACCTGGCTTCCCTGGAGCGCCGTGTGCCATCAAAATCAGCAAGGTTGGTGACTTATGGGTTTCTTATTTGCTTCTCTTTATTCCAACATTCCTTACTATGTGGCATTTTGTGAATCTTGGTGAATTAAATAATTTTTCCTCTCTTCAGAGCCCCGATGGTGCCCATCTGACCTGGGAGCCTCCATCAGTAACATCAGGGAAGATCATTGAGTATTCAGTGTATCTGGCCATCCAGAGCTCGCAGACGGTCGAGGCGAAAGCGTCTACTCCGGCTCAGCTTGCCTTTATGCGGGTGTACTGTGGCCCCAACCCGTCCTGCCTAGTGCAGACGTCTAGTCTCTCCAACGCCCACATCGATTACACCACCAAACCCGCCATCATCTTCCGCATCGCCGCCCGCAATGAGAAGGGCTACGGCCCCGCCACGCAAGTCAGGTGGCTACAAGGTGGGGAAATGTTTTTGTTGACACTTTTCACAGACTGTGATGACTTCCAGTCAACATGGTAAATCTAATCTCTATTTTTCAGAAAATGTTATGTACATTTAGAACACTATATTTTGTGTTATATTACCTTGGCATTTAATTAAAACTAGTCAACAAATGCTGTGCTTGTAATACAACGGCTAAGAGAGTGACAGCAAGTCATAAATGTAATCACCCTCTTGATTTTACTCTTTTGGAAGTCAGAAACTATTGTGGATTTTGTTGTTTTGCAAATGGGAACACAACAAATTTGTTGTTTTAGTTCACCACTATAAAAGTTTAACCCAACTATGACCGCTTCTGAGAACCCCGGAAATGTAAAAAGGGTCCATTAGGGTGTTTTCATACCTGGCGCGTTTGGTGTTTGTTTCGGACCCTAGTGCATAGGCATATGTGAATTGTGTGCATTGCATGAATTGCTAATGAATTGTGAGCGAAAAGACGAAGTGAAATGCCTTGTTGAAATTTGGTCGGATAAACATATTTCAGAACAACTGGCCAAAACAAAAATACAGATGAAGCCTTGATTCTTGGTAAAAATGAGAAAGTAATATAATGACAGCTAAAAAGCTGTTGTTTGACCATCCTGACCAATGACCGCTATGAGCATAATCCTGAAACATAACCAATTGCACACCGACCAACAGGAAGTTTACTCGCTCTTAACTTCTATTAACTCATTTTGTTTCATTTTTTAAAATATTGCCTTGTCAAAGCTAACCAAACCACATTGCACATTGTAACAATTGTAATCTTTGTTTTGGAACAAACCTGATCTATAGACCTTATTCAGAGCAGCGCCATGACGGGTATGAAAGTGAGGCTGTGAGGGATAGACTTACCGTGTTTCCAATGGCATCTGCTGTAAAAAGCTGAATAAAGCTCCTAGATTACTTAACATTTTCCACAGCTTACGTTATCGGGAGTTTTTTTGTCAACTGACATTTCTTGGAAAGATATTTTTATAATACATTAAATAACAGTACAGCCCATCAAAGAGATGCAAGTCTATCCCTCACAGCCTCGCTTTCATTCTCATTAAAAATCAAAGATGGCGCTGCCGTGAATAAGGCGTATAGGTGTGCGCCCTTAAACGCATCTTTAATATGTGGAATGGATTAAAAAAAAAAAAACTTTTTTTATTTAAATATTGTTTGCAGAAACCAATAAAGATGGCTCTGCGGCCAAACCTGCAGCAAAGAGGCCGGTCTCGTCACCTGATATGTGAGTTTGTTGCCATTTAATACCTTTCAAAATGAGCAATGCAAGCCTGTCATATCCCAACCTTGATGCGTTTTAATGAAACAGATAATTTCTTTGCCCTTTGCAGGAAAGGCACTGGTCCAAAGAAGGCCAGATCTGACCAGTGAGAGCTCACTGTGACCCCTCACTCCGCCCTCATTATGAGCAGAACCATGACTGAAATCCACTTCCTGCTGAATGACCTTCCTGCTTCCACTTCTCACACCATTCCATCCTCGAAATGCAACGAAATGGAAGGAAACTGCAGCCAAAAAAAGGAAAACAGTTTGTTTCCATTTTTGAGAAATCTGCTCCCATCACTGGACATTTTGGTGCCATGTGGACGCCTTATTTCCAACTGTATTTTTAAAATAACCCCATAAATGTTCCTCCTCAAAAGCACATACATTTGCTTTCCTGACAATTTTGTGTAAAGAGATTCCAATGGCAGCGTTCAGTCTCATTATGTTCAATCTTTGTTTTCCTCCCTTGATATTCTTTCTTGTTTTTTTAAGCTTATTTCAATACAAGCAATAGATAAACAGAAAAATAACTTTGCTCTTGTCAGTTTGTTGATGATTTAATTATTTGGCCAAGTCTGTGTTAAAAACGTGCTGAAAGGAGACCGGTATACGGAAGAGGCAGTGCGGATGACAAAACGGCGCAGGGGAAACATCAAAATAAAATGAAAACTAACAGCACTTGGTGATGCTTGTGAGGGAAAAGACTCAGAGAATCTGTAATTATTCATTCACTTCGAGTTCAGTAGCCTGTTTTTCATCACTGTGTTCATATATTTGCTGTGAGGGACAACTGAGGACTGCAACGCTGAAGACTAAAAGACTTCAATCTATGTAGATGAAAAGCATACTACTTTTGCATTGCGTCAACCAGATCTTGTATAAAGAGAGAGGGAAAAAAAATCCCCAAAAATAGTAAATGATTGATACAGGAGTTCTTTGTGTGTGGTTTATTTTTGTATTTTTTTTTTTTTAAAGGGTTTTCCTCATTGTGTGTTTCAGGGCAGTTTTAAACCTCACACCTGTTCATCGCTCATTCCTGCTGTCTCCATGTTTATGGATTTGACACGGGCTTGTCTAATGGCCACAGTGTTTCACATCCCATGTTCACGTTATGAATCTTTATTTTGGGAATTGTAGTGTAAAATATATGTATTTGTTCTGGACAATGACCCACTTTTGACAACTTTGCTTCTTTTCCCTCAGCATTTTATTTTTTTGTCATTTATAGGATCCTGCTGCAGAATTCCCCCCCATTCTTGTCAATAGTCTACATTTCCTGTAAATTTGCTTTTCTGAGTCTCATTTCTTTTATATGCTTGGTTTTGTGAGTTTATGGATACGAATTGGGATTCTCAAGCTGTGCAGAAAAAGTTTGAACCATTTTCATTCTCTGCGGACTGTTTGGAGATGATGTTTAGGGATGCAGGCCTGTGTAAATGCTAAATAGGTGGAAATTAACAAGAGGTTTTGATGAGTGTTTAATGGAAGGTAGAAACAGTTTGTTCCTGTTTCTCGTGGTTGGGAAAAGATGGATTGTTGGTTTAGCCAGAGTTTGAGCTCCGTTGTAAATTAGTTCTTTCACGTAGCAAGACGTAAAACGAAAATCTCTTTGCCTTTTTTATATAATTATCTGTAACAAAATGTTTTTACATGTTGTCATCTATTGATTGCTTTTGTGTCTTGACATATAAAAGTAATGGAATTCTGTCTCTGTGTTCATTCGTCTTGTTTTGCCTGCTGTTAATTTAACGTTTTTGTCATTTGTGTTCCTGATTGTGTCTTATTGTCTTGTTTTAATAAATGGTATGTGCAAGAAATGTAGATGACCATCCAAGAGATTAAAGATGATATGAATCAGGAACAAGAAGAGAAGTGGCTTTGGGATTTTAACATCAACTTTACACATTCAGACCAGTAAGTCATTTTTTTATTATTATTGAAATGTACTGTATTTTACCTCAAATATGTCTATTAACATCTATTTTGCTTGAGACTTTGAGTCATGAGTGTACAACATATATGTTTAGACTAGAGAATGGTTGGACAGAATTGAGTTTAAACTAGTGCAGCCAAATCAATGAATCCCATCTAACATAAAATGTTTTATTTACATAATTTGTATGTGTGTGTTTATAGAGACACATTCATGTGTCTGTGTAACGTTACATGTACGTATATATGCACACACAAAATATATAAATATAAGATACATTATGCAAAAAAAAAAATTATTTGATGTATTAATCGCATTACAAATTAATCGATTTGACAGCACTAGTTTAAAGTATCAATCAGCTTTTAGTCATGTTTTTTCGGAAAATGCTTGTGCTAACGTTACTCGTTACTCTGGAACCATTTGTATGATACAAATTTATAATATTTTGTATTAACGTTACTTTCAAAGTAACGTTACTGGCGCACGAATATATCAACTCAAGCGATCTAATAGCTAACGTTTGGGCTAAAAATTTAACGGTTAACGTGTCTCCTGGATCAGACCGCTCGAAATATAAAAATCAATTTAATTTAAAGCTTTTTTTATTTGTTCGTTTTTAGCTGGAAGATCATTTTTAGTCCGCTTTTATTTGCGTGGTTGGTAAGGTCGTTCTAAAAAGATTTTTGTCCTCGCTAGCTTGCCGTACAGAAACGGTTTTCATGGCAACTGCAGCGGAGCGTCATCATCGGATTCTACCACAGATCTCTTCTAAACAATCCTCAATCTCGCTATTGTTTCCTTTCAGTCATTATTTTGCTCTGTTGTGTTGCTGTATATTTTCCAGTGTGTGAATGGAAAACAAAGGTAACGTTACATTTCTGCTTTGCTAGTCGGCTAGCAGCTAGTCATCCTGCAGTGGAATGGATCAGTACAGTATTCTGGGTCGGATTGGGGAAGGAGCTCACGGGATTGTTTTCAAAGCCAAACACATTGAGGTAAGACCGTGTACACCTGCATTCATCCTGTGTGAAGGATAATAACGCTGTATTTTACTACATGCCTCTGTCTATGTTCATGTTTTCAGACAGGAGAAACAGTGGCTCTGAAAAAAGTCGCTTTGCGAAAACTTGAAGATGGAATTCCAAACCAGGCCCTGAGAGAAATCAAAGCCCTGCAAGAGATTGAGGACAACCAATATGTGAGTGAGACAGAAATACTGATCACTGGAGACCTGTGGAGTGAACATGAGCTCTTTTGCAGCTCGCATTGGGGGAAAATGCATTTGTAGTCATATGTATGACATGAAATGAGACAGTCGAATGTCAAAATTGACAATGAAAAGTCGAAATTAAGGCATACTAATTGATGAGAGTATTTTTGTTTTAGATGAAAGGCATAATTTGAAATGATGACATACTAAGTCAATTATTATATACATGGAAATGATGGGATTTTAAATCATGACATATTTAATTACGAGATTAAAGGGTTCACCCAAAAATGAAAATTGTCCCATAATTTACTCACTCTCAAGCCATCCTAGTTGTAAATGACTTTCTTCTGTCAGCCAAACACAATTGGAATTATATATCTAAAAAATATCATGGCTCTTCCAAGCTTTCTAATGGGATTTGGGATTTTACAATGAGTTTTTGAAGCTCTAAAAAATCTATCCATCATAAAAGTAATCCATATGGCTTCAGGGGGTTACTTGTGATAAAGGTCTTCTGAAGCGAAGTGATGCATTTTTGTGAGAAAAATATTCATATTTAAAACTTTTTTTGTGACTTTCATCTTTAATTTAATCTTGAATCAAAATCTTTTTTTTTGTGGCAGAAATGGGCTTCCATTCTATGATCATTTGGATATACACAATTTATTTTTTTCATCATTTGATCTAGACTTACTTTTATTTCTGCAGGTGGTGAAGCTAAAGGATGTCTTCCCTCACGGCACAGGCTTTGTTCTAGTGTTTGAGTACATGTTATCTGATCTGTCTGAAGTCATTCGGAATTCCCAGCGTCCTCTCACCGCATCCCAGGTCAAAGGTTACATGATGATGCTGCTGAAAGGAGTGGCTTTCTGCCACGAGAACTCTATTATGCACAGGGTGAAACTGTTTTCCTTATATCATTAGATTTGTCCTCATATATATCTGTGCTTTACTTTACATCCATGCTCTAAATGTTTTTTGTGTGTGTGTGTGTGTGTAGGATCTGAAGCCTGCAAATCTTCTAATCAGCTCAACAGGTCACCTGAAGATCGCTGACTTTGGTCTGGCGAGGCTCTTTTCAAATGAAGGAGATCGTTTGTACAGTCACCAAGTGGCCACCAGGTGATGGTTTACTTAAAGGGATAGTTCACTTTGAAATTGATTTTTGATATATTTTAGCTTACCTCAAGGGCATCCAAGATGTAGGTGTCTTTAAATTAAAGGGTTCATATGACTTACAGACCGTTCTTGTCTGTCAGTCATATAATTTAGGTCTATGGTCACCACCTCGAAAGGAGTAGTTCACTTTGATAATTTACTCACCCCATGTCATCTAAGATGCCCACGTCTTTCTTTCTTCAGTCGAAAAGAAATTAAGGTGAAAAGGTGTTAAGGTGTTAAATTTTGATGAAAACATTTCAAGATTTTTCTCCATACAATGCACTTTAATGGGAACCAAACGGTTCCAGGTCCAAAAGACAGTTTCAGTGCAAACTGCAAACTGTTCAAAGGGCTTTAAACGATTCCAGACGATGAATAAGGGTCTTATCAAGTGAAACGATTGCTCATTTAAAAATTAATTAAATAACAAAGTTTAAGTTTTATAAACTCAAATGCTCACCTTGCTCTGTTCTGTGTGACTCTCCTGTTTGAACTCGTTCATCAAAATGAATTCAATTCGTTCATTTCATTCGTTGAATGGATGATTCGAAAAAAGATTTGTTCATTTTGATGAACGAGTTCGAACAGAACTCATCAAAAACCTTAATTTCTTTTCGACTGAAGAAAGAAAGACATGGACATCTTGGATGACATGGGGGTGAGTAAATTATTAGCAAAAGTTTTTCTAAAAGTGAACTACTCCTTTAAAATCAAATCTACATTTGTTCTAACTTGAACCCAAAGCCTACCGGTAAATCATATGGCTGTGCTGTGTTTCAGATGGTACAGAGCACCAGAACTTTTATATGGTGCCAGAAAATATGATGAAGGAGTTGATCTCTGGTAAGAATTTTAAGAATGATATTCTCAGTTTATTCGCAAAGTGGACATGAATCTAAAATGTACATTTGGAATATTGCTCAGTTTATTATAATTAATAAACATCGACTGTGCCCCGCCCTACATTTGTTCGTGTTAGAGAAGCCGTTTCACTCAGACGTACGTGACAATGGATCCTTTTCGCAGACTGTGATGACCGCTTGTCATATTTTCATAAAAAAAAAAAAAATTTATAACGCTCTACATTGGGTTATATTACCTTGTCAGTAAATGAAAAAAATAATAATAATCAGTGCTGCTTCGAGGGTTTATAACTGTATTTTATAACATTATACTTTGTGTTATATTACCTTGCTATTTAATTAAAACTAAAACTGCTGCATGAGTGTTTCTAATACAACGACTTGAGAAAGTGACGACAAATTACACATCTTTCTCTCTTCTGACCAATGTAATCAATCTCTCTGTATTTTTTTCTCCCTTTTGAAAAGTTGTGGAAACTTACAGATTTTTCTTTTTCTATTGGACCAAATGGAAATACAAAATTGTATATTTGCTGTCGTCATAAAAGTTCGACAAATCAGTTGTTACTCATAACACTTATTCAAGGTGTACATTTTATATTTTTTTATACATTTTATTAGCAAGTATTAGTATTAATCAGTTCTATCCTTTTTATAATCAGGTATAATTACTGTAAAAATATCCAGTGTGTTATTCATGACTTTTTAAAACATCCAGGTACTAAAATGTTATTGAAAAAAATCACTGAACTGCATAAAAGAATGAATTTGAATATCCAATGCAATGTATTAAGCAATTCTTCAGTCTGTAAATGTGAAATGTATAGTTTAAAATTGTGTCTAATGTCAGATTTCATATGAAAGCAGATATTCCCTACTAAGAAGAATCTTTTGTTTGTTCACTAGATGGCAGTAGTGCTCATTCTACATTCAGCTGGTGTCACAGTGTTTCCTCTGGCTTGTTTCAGGGCAGTCGGCTGCATTTTCGGGGAGCTGTTGAACAACTCTCCACTTTTCCCGGGAGAGAACGACATTGAGCAGTTGTGCTGTGTGCTCCGAGTGCTGGGAACTCCCAACCAGAAAGTTTGGCCCGTGAGCTCTCGCTTAACATTCCCTTACTCCTGTTTAGAATGACATGATGCACAACTGTTCTCCTAAAGGTTTTGTGTTGATGTGCCCAATCTAGGAAATAACAGACCTACCAGACTACAATAAGATCACATTTAAAGAAAACCCACCTATTCCTTTGGAGGAGATTGTACCTGACACGTCACCACAAGCTGTGGACCTCCTGAAGAAGTTCCTTGTCTATCCGTCCAAACATAGGATCAGTGCTAGTCAGGTGCACATTTGAAGTTTAGTACACATTGATTCAGTCAGTCATGTAACTCCAATGACACTAATAACGCCCTGTTTGGATCCTCAGGCTTTGCTCCATCCATATTTTTTCACGGACCCTCTCCCGGCTCATCACTCGGAGCTCCCCATCCCACAGCGTGGAGGAAAGCACTCCAGACAGCGCATGCAACCGCCTCACGAATTCACAGTGGATCGACCCTTACACGAGAGCTTGGTGGACCCGAGTCGGATCCAAAGGCACGCGTGGAGTTGTTTATGAAACCTCGGGGTTTGTACTCTTTCGAACCAGGAGTCATGCTCATTTATTTCATGTTTAAGGACAAATGCAAACATTCAAAGTATTTATTATAATATACAAAAATAGGCTATATAATATTGTAGTTTTTTTTTAAATATGTTTGTAAATTTCATAGTACACGTTTAAATTTCTTGAAATATTTCTGTTTAAGTTTGTACGGCACATTTTACTATACACATTATAGTAGCTCATTTGAATTGATTGCATCTCGAGCTGTATTACGTACTCCAATTCAGTGGAACTGAAAAATGAATATGAAAAAAAACTAAACAAAACCTTCTTCCTTCTTGCTCAACAATCATTAACCTTATCGTTTATCTGGGGTTTTTATTTCAGTTAGGTGTAACTTTGTAAAGTGATCTGATAGTAACAGGTTTAGGTTTTATTCACACATTCGTTTTCAAAGGTCAGTAAGATTAAAAAAATGAATAATAATACTTGAATTAAGCAAGGATGCATTCAATTATCAAAAGTGAAAGTCAAACAGCACAACTTTTTTCTTGAGCTTTAAATCATATCAGAATGATTTCTGAAGGATCATGTGACGCTGATGACTGGAGTTATGATGCTTTACATCGCAGGAATAAATTACATTTTAAACTCTAATAATATTTCACAATATTACTGTTTTTACTGTATTTTTGATCAAATAAATGAGATGAATATAAATTTGCTGACCAGAAGAGACGTCTTTCAAAAACAAATACAGATAATATATTAATACTAGGGCTGTGCAAAGATTAATTGTGATTAATCGCATCCAAAATAAAAGTTTGTGTTTACATAATGTATGTGTGTGTGTTGTGTATAATTATTTATATATATGAAGAGTTCAGATGCAAAAGCCTCTAATATATTTAAGTTCAGTGATTTCACTTAAATGGCAATGATAATTACCTATTAATTGTTATTTAAGTGAAATTACTGAACTTAAATATACAAGTTTGATAAAAATCATCATTAAAGAAGAAAATTTCAAATGGCATTTAGAGGCTTTTGCATCTGAACTCTTCATATGCATGCATGTCATTTGCATGTAAATACTGTATATAAATATAAATACATAATCTATATTGTATATAAATATACATATTTTATATATGAATAACGCATTTTCTTAAATATATACATGCAGTGTGTGTATTTATATATACACAATAGTTATACACAACACACACAAATATATTAAGTAAACACAAACTTTTATTTTGGATGCACAATTAATCTTTGCACAGCCCTTATTAATACAGAACCATTCTACCTTTTAAATGATCATTACATTGTTGAAAAGCCGTGGAGGAAACTAGCCTTATCAGTGAACATGCAAACGCCTAGTTTCTATTAAAAGTGTCTTATCTTTTATAGATTTTTCTTAATGGTTTTGAACCTCAAACACAGTCATAGTGGTAAATCACTTGTGCAAATACAACATCTCCCTCAAAGGTGGATGCAAATAGTGCAACTGTAATATGAAATTGGCATTGCAATTAGGGTAAATAAACTCTAAACCAGAACAAAATGCTAAAGTGGTGCATATCTGTCATCTTTTTTCTGTTATACTTTACATTTTTAGTTAAACAACAGACTCTTTAACACAGCATGAATGACCACCTTCAAACCGAACGAGCAAAAGGAAAGAAAACGGTTCGCTTTGATTAACAAATGACTTCCACAGCCCTGCTCTGTGTGCATGTGGTCAGGCTGTGTCTTTAGAATGATTGTAGCATTTGTCTCTATTTGCATCTGTGCAATCAGCTCAACTGTCCTCGGGTGTTACATATTAAGCTGTGCTTTGCATCTTTTATTGGCTCCACTTTCCCTTTTGTTCCATCACTTTGCTTGGCTTTTTTTTTTTTTAAGTTGGTTAATATAGCAAGTTTAGTTAAAATTCACTAAAAGGAAGTTAATTCTGTCATTTATTTACTCTCGTGTTTTTCCAAAACTATTAGTTTCACAGATTTTTGTTCATACAATGAAAGTAAATGGCCTTCAATGTTGTTTGCATGCCAACATTTTTCAGGATATTTTCTTTTGTGTTCAACTGAAGATGGTCAGTTATAAAGGTTGGATCTGAATTGGGGTAATAGAGTAAATGATAACAGAATTTTAATTTTGGGATTATGTCTTTATACGTTTGTACTTTCTATATTTATGTATTTTATTGATTATATTTAATTTTATTAATATTTTGAATTTGGTTATGTTAATTTTTGAGACCTGTTTTTCTTTTCACGTTATTTTTTTTAATCATTATTTAATATGGCTATATAGGTTTGTTCGTTTTTATTTATTTTCGGTTAATAATTTATTCAATAGCAATGTTTCAACTTAAACTAAACAACATTTTGAATATATAATAAAATAATAATAAACTAAACTTTTTCAATTTATATTTTATTTTATTTCAGCTTTATTTCAATTAACAGAAACAAATAGTTTATATACAGAAGAGGAGAACACATTTTTGTGTGTATCTGAGTAGCTCTTTTTGCTCTTTGTTGGCTTTGCATATTTGTTATTGTAATTTGCAATGCAGACTTTTACGAGATTTTCAAATTACGTGAGATGTTTCTAGACTTTTTTTTGTGCATTTGCACTTATGAGGCACCATATTTGCTGAAGTGGACCTGTCTTTGGCCCCACCCACTGTATCCACATGTGTAACCTCAATCACCCAGAATGCCAGAGCTCAGAAATCTTCACACATAAAGTTCTGGCCATCAGCAGTGCTCACCTTCATCACAGACACCTGTTCTGCGGACTGAACCGATAAGATCAGGTATGCCTCATTATGATCTACATGACCATATCTACAGCCAGATTAGCAAATCAAAAAATGCTTGTGATGCTTATCTTCTTTTTAGAGTAATTTGATTCTAAACTTTTTTTTCTGTTAAATGGAAAGTTGTTACTGGCTTTGCTGTTGAGTTTTGTGTTGTGCACTTCAAACCAGTACCACTTATTTATCAAAGATACTGTGGAAGAGTTTTTTTTTTGCTTTTGAACGCATGGATTTTGTGAGAATCTGACTTAAATATGTTCTACATGAATAAATGGTATTGTAATTGCAGTTTGACTCCCAAACACATTCAGAATGTATTTCTTAAATGTAGTTTTTAAATAGCCTTCAAACTGACGATATTCTATTACAATTCGTGAGCTTAGAATTATAAGGTTCTATTGAAATTGAGTTTTTGACATAATCTGATCCATTAGGTGTTTATTAATGGCTGTGTGGTGTTATTTTTGTAAAAAAAAAAAAAAGAGTAATAGATAAAGCTATAATAGAAGATTATACTACATAACAGTTTTGCCAGCTGGGATGTAAAAACTTTGATGCTCAATATCTCAGAACTACCCTAAACGGAGATAGAACCTTATAATTCTAAGCTCACGAATTATTAAAACTATTAAATAATGCTATTAAACTGTCGTCTTGTTCTTATTGGCACAATTAAGGCATAATTTGGATGATTAACGTGATTTAGCGTGCCAATTCAAAAATAAAAATACATAACTATATTATTATATACACAGATTGCCCATGTTCATTCATTTTCCATAATGAATCATCTCCTTGTCATGCAGTACAAAAGGTGTTGCTGATAGACATGGAGAGCTCCGTTGAGCAGACTCGCTGGGCATCATCCTCCATGTTGGCATCAGAGGTGATGCCCACTTACCCTCCTGACTCCAGCTATCTGGTCCACACTGAGGAGGGCTCGATGTTCCCCTGCACTGATGCGGATTACAGCGGCTTGCCCTCTGTGTTCACCAGCCCCATCCATGGCCGCCCATCTGGAGCTTTTCAACACAGCCCAGGTCAGTGACCCATGGTACTTTGATACACAGCATACTACTGTTTTCTGTTTGAATATATTTTCATTTCTGAATTTATTTCAGCATTACTACTCTAGTCTTAAGTCACATGATCCTTCAGAAATCATTCTAATATGCTTATTTGCTGCTCAAGAAACGTTTCTCATTATTATCAATGTTGGAAACAGTTGTGCTGCTTAATATTTTTGTGGAAACCGTGATACGTTTGTTATATTTGTTGATGAATAGAAAGTGCAAAAGAGCGTTTATTTTTTAACTTTTGGAACATTTTAAATGTCATTACTGTCACTTTTGATCAATTTAATGCATGCTCGCTAAATAAAAGTATTAAAGGGATAGTTCACTTTGAAACTAATTTTTGGTATGTTTTAGCTTACCTCAAAGGCATCCAAGATGTCTTTGTTTCCACAGTATTTTCAATACTCGATACGAGGAAAGAGTCTGCATCTACATGGTTCTTCGGGTCAATAATGACCCGAAGCATTTCAATAAAAAAATGTTAAAAATCGTAGCTTCATCGGAATGGTCCGAAACTTGGTGACTTTAATGGTACTTGGTATATGAACACCCCAAAAAATTGGGGACAGGATTTGAAAAGTCAAAGTGGTCGTAAAAAAAATAGTCACACTCAGGACATTCGGGTCAAAAATGACCCGCAAAGGAAATGAATGGGAAATTGGCAAAAATGTTTTTTTGTGCGTACAATCTACAAATCAGCAACGATCTTGAAAAAACAGCACACAACAGTGAAGGGGTGAATCTATAAAACATCAAGAGTGCAAAACAGACACATCCACACACACAAATACACCTTTATACACAAACACACCAAACAATTCAGATTATACATGTGTTTTGCATTTTTAAAAAGCTCAGTTTGTCCATGAAATGGCATCCATCTAATTTCAAAAATTGCTTTTATGAGGCCTAGGCCTGACTCCAAAATGAAATACAGCTTTAAAAAAAATTTTTTATAAGAAATATTTTTTTCTATTATATTCAATGGGGGAAAATTTGGTCATAATTATTGCATTAATACTATTTATTCATTTTTTTTTATTTTTGAAATTTTCTCAAAACACCAAAAAAGAAAAGAAAAAATATTATAAAAAACAAGTAAAAACAAAAAATTATGATTTTCTTTTTTAAATATGAATCCCGCCCTTCGGGTCAATTTTGACCTGAAGGCCCCGACTGTGACTGTTAAACGAACTGTTACTGTTACTACTCTTGCTAAATAATATATACTTACTCATACCAGTTTACAGTTTAATATGCAGATAAGTCATTTAATGCCTCTGTAGTGTTATCAAAAAGCACTTTTTAACTCTAGAAACTTGTCATTTTCCTGATTTCATTTGCTTTCTTTAAGTATTCATCCCTCTCTTCCTCAGTATATCCCGTTTACTCCTCTCCATTCCTCGGCAACCTGTCCTGGCTTGAAGGTTCAAACGGATCCCCTCTAACCAACCTCTTCCCATCATCCCCGTCCTCCTGGCATGGCAGTGCATTTTCCAAGACGTCCTCCCCGTCCTTCCATGTGTCCGCGTCCCTCGCCTCCGCCAGACCGCCTCATTCGGCCCTTCCCTCCCCTATCCTGGACCAGAAGGAGAGTGTAAAAGGAGAGAGATTGAGTCCTCCTGGAGGGATGTTCCCTCTAAACCCTTCAGTGAGTGGTGTGTATGCTCACACACACTCCTCAAAAGCCCACTCGCAGTCACTGGGCCACATCAGTCCCTACGGGAGCTTCACGCAAGATTACAACAGTTCAGCTGCTCTCTACGCTCCCTCGTCCTTCTCACCCAAGTTATGCAGCAAGATGAGATTCTCCCCTTTAGGTGAGGATTGTGTGATTATGTGATTGTGTGTAATATAGCTGAATGTAAAAGTTTCAAAGATCAAAGTTCACGATACATTGAGTTATTGTCTCCCAAAAGAAATAATCCATTCTGAACCGCCTGAAACAAGTCGTTCGTTATTCCAATCTTACTTCCTGCTCAAATTTGCTTAAAGTCATCTTTGGCTGCCCATCAATAACGTCTATTTTGACCCTCATACTCTGTACGGTAGTTGTAGCTGAGGCCAGGAATAGTTTGGTTCGTGTTGTGACATGTCGAGAAGACGCACTTCCAATGATCGACGTCTCCAGGTCGTATTGATACGTTAAAACCAACGGCATTATTGCTGTTCGGATCACTGGAACTAGTGCTGAGGAATCCTCCAGAGCTGAAATTCAGATATGATAATGAGCATTTACTGTGAGGCACCTGCTGTATGCTGTCGACCAATCACAACAGAATGGGCCCACTGACCAATCAGAGCGGAGTAGGTTCTTGGAAAGGAGGAGTTTAGAAAGACTGAATCCTTGATCAAAGCATTTTTTTTTGACAATGCAACCTATATTATGAGAAAAATAGTGTTTTTTGGTTTTGGATTAGTGTAAGCTTATGGTAGGAAAAATTAGGAGCCTCTAAAATAGCATCCAAACGAACGACACAAAATACAGAACAATTTCCCATCCCAACAAATATAATAAATACGTTTTAAAAAGTAAACAATTTTAGTAAAAATGTGTTTGCACTGACAGGGAACTCATTTTTTTTTAAATATTATATTATATACAATAAGATTTATTGTTTTTGACGTCTTTTAACTCCAGAAGAACTGAGAACTGAAGGTTATAAGGTTCTTATGGGTTCTGAACTGAAGGTTATAAGGTTCTTATGGGTTCTTCAGATCTGAGAACTGAAGGTTATAAGGTTCTTTTGAGTTCTTCAGATCTGAGAACTGAAGGTTATAAGGTTCTTATGGGTTCTTCAGATCTGAGAACTGAAGGTTATAAGGTTCTTATGGGTTCTTCAGATCTGAGAACTGAAGGTTATAAGGTTCTTATGAGTTCTTCAGATCTGAGAACTGAAGGTTATAAAGTTATTATGGGTTCTTCAGATCTGAGAACTGAAGGTTATAAGGTTATTTTGAATTCTTCAGATCTGAGAACTGAAGGTTATAAAGTTCTTATGGGTTCTTCAGATCTGAGAACTGAAAGTTATAAGGTTCTTTTGAGTTCTTCAGATCTGAGAACTGAAGGTTATAAAGTTCTTATGGGTTCTTCAGATCTGAGAACTGAAGGTTATAAGGTTCTTTTGGGTTCTGAACTGAAGGTTATAAGGTTCTTATGGGTTCTGAACTGAAGGTTATAAGGTTCTTATGGGTTCTTCAGATCTGAGAACTGAAGGTTATAAAGTTCTTATGGGTTCTTCAGATCTGAGAACTGAAGGTTATAAAGTTCTTATGGGTTCTTCAGATCTGAGAACTGAAGGTTATAAGGTTCTTATGGGTTCTTCAGATCTGAGAACTGAAGGTTATAAGGTTCTTATGAGTTCTTCAGATCTGAGAACTGAAGGTTATAAAGTTATTATGGGTTCTTCAGATCTGAGAACTGAAGGTTATAAGGTTATTTTGAATTCTTCAGATCTGAGAACTGAAGGTTATAAAGTTCTTATGGGTTCTTCAGATCTGAGAACTGAAAGTTATAAGGTTCTTTTGAGTTCTTCAGATCTGAGAACTGAAGGTTATAAAGTTCTTATGGGTTCTTCAGATCTGAGAACTGAAGGTTATAAGGTTCTTTTGGGTTCTGAACTGAAGGTTATAAGGTTCTTATGGGTTCTGAACTGAAGGTTATAAGGTTCTTATGGGTTCTTCAGATCTGAGAACTGAAGGTTATAAGGTTCTTTTGGGTTCTTCAGATCTGAGAACTGAAGGTTATAAGGTTCTTTTGGGTTCTTCAGATCTGAGAACTGAAGGTTATAAGGTTCTTTTGAGTTCTTCAGATCTGAGAACTGAAGGTTATAAAGTTCTTATGGGTTCTTCAGATCTGAGAACTGAAGGTTATAAGGTTCTTTTGAGTTCTTCAGATCTGAGAACTGAAGGTTATAAAGTTCTTATGGGTTCTTCAGATCTGAGAACTGAAGGTTATAAGGTTCTTTTGGGTTCTGAACTGAAGGTTATAAGGTTCTTATGGGTTCTGAACTGAAGGTTATAAGGTTCTTATGGGTTCTTCAGAAATGAGAACTGAAGGTTATAAAGTTCTTATGGGTTCTTCAGATCTGAGAACTGAAGGTTATAAAGTTCTTATGGGTTCTTCAGATCTGAGAACTGAAGGTTATAAGGTTCTTTTGGGTTCTGAACTGAAGGTTATAAGGTTCTTATGGGTTCTGAACTGAAGGTTATAAGGTTCTTATGGGTTCTTCAGATCTGAGAACTGAAGGTTATAAGGTTCTTATGGGTTCTTCAGATCTGAGAACTGAAGGTTATAAAGTTCTTATGGGTTCTTCAGATCTGAGAACTGAAGGTTATAAGGTTCTTTTGGGTTCTGAACTGAAGGTTATAAGGTTCTTATGGGTTCTGAACTGAAGGTTATAAGGTTCTTATGGGTTCTTCAGAAATGAGAACTGAAGGTTATAAAGTTCTTATGGGTTCTTCAGATCTGAGAACTGAAGGTTATAAAGTTCTTATGGGTTCTTCAGATCTGAGAACTGAAGGTTATAAGGTTCTTTTGGGTTCTGAACTGAAGGTTATAAGGTTCTTATGGGTTCTGAACTGAAGGTTATAAGGTTCTTATGGGTTCTTCAGATCTGAGAACTGAAGGTTATAAGGTTCTTTTGGGTTCTGAACTGAAGGTTATAAGGTTCTTATGGGTTCTGAACTGAAGGTTATAAGGTTCTTATGGGTTCTTCAGATCTGAGAACTGAAGGTTATAAAGTTCTTATGGGTTCTTCAGATCTGAGAACTGAAGGTTATAAAGTTCGGTCCCACTTTATATTAAGTGGCTTTAAGTACTATGTACTTACATTGGAGTTACTACTTTGATACATTGGACTTATTGTGTACATACATGTTTTTACATTGTACTTATATTTTGAAAATACCTGCATGTAATTACAACTGTAATTAATTGATGTAATTACATTTGTAATTACACAGTTGACCCTTCCCTTACACCTTAACCCACCCTGATACCTACCCATACCACCACACCTGTCCCTAACCTTACCCATATCACACCTCAATAGCAGCAAAAGTGTTTTACAATACAACAGGAACACATTAATACGTTGTACTTATTTTTCGATGTAAGTACATAGTACTAAAAGCCACTTAATATAAAGTGGGACCTAAAGTTCTTATGGGTTCTTCAGATCTGAGAACTGAAGGTTATAAAGTTCTTATGGGTTCTTCAGATCTGAGAACTGAAGGTTATAAAGTTCTTATGGGTTCTTCAGATCTGAGAACTGAAGGTTATAAGGTTCTTTTGAGTTCTGAATTTGAAGGTTATAAGGTTCTTTTGAGTTCTTCAGATCTGAGAACTGAAAGTTATAAGGTTCATAAGGGTTCTTCAGATCAGCACATTGGTTTCTGAATTATATAGTTTCACATGATCTAACATTTTTATATGAATGCCCACCTGGAGGGTTATCTTTATCAGGTGCTAATGTACTGAGAGATGGATACAGTGTACTGTACATCACTTTTCCCATAGAAAATCATTATTTTAAAAAATGGTTTATGAAATTACAGAACCAAATTCATTATACTCCTTACTAACTAACCAAATCCCGAAAATGAATGCAACACATTTCAAGTTAAGCATTTTTCCATAGAAATCCATTATAAAGAAAATGTAGCTCTTTGCATTTATATTGAATTAGATGTCTCAGTACATTAGGGCTGGTGCTGTATAACTTAACATATCTTTGTTTTTCTTTTGAGAGGTGATCTGAATATTTGTGGCTTAAAACAAAACATTCTATAGATGTTTTCCCCATCTGTTTATTTATTTATTTTGCCAGTCACATGACTAAAGACTATTAATAAAGCACCAGTACATAGATGGCTTACTAAAGAACTAAAAAAATGTTCTTTGTGGAAATTAAACGGCATTATTCTATTAGCAATTTAACTGCAACCTTAGAGTGTAAATTTCAATGTGTATTTTTGATAAATATGCAAATTAAACATCATCTTCAATCTTTTGTGGTGACAGATACGCGTGAGTGTGTGAACTGTGGGGCCACTGCCACCCCTCTGTGGCGGCGTGATGGAACGGGCCACTACCTCTGCAATGCCTGCGGACTGTACCAAAAGATGAACAGACAGAACAGGCCTCTCATCCGACCCAAAAAGAGACTGGTACACCTCACTGATACTCAGTAATAATAGTAATAGAGTAATAGCCCAATAATAATGCAAATCTGAATTTTTAACATCATTACTCTAGTCTTCAGTGTTACATGATGCTTCAGAAATCGTTGTAATATGCTGATTAGCTCCTAATATTACCAATGTTGAGAGCAGAAACCGTGACACATTTGTTTTGCAGGAATCTTTGATGAATAGAAAGTTAAAAAGAACAGTGTTTGAGATGGAAATCTTTCTGTGACTTTCACCTTTCTGTCACTGTTTATAAGACGTAGAGTGACTCTAGCCTTCGTCTCTCTTCCTGTAGGTCATCAGTAAGCGAATAGGAACTCAGTGTGCCAACTGCCAGACCAGCACCACCACACTGTGGAGACGCAACGCCAGCGGAGAGCCCGTGTGTAACGCTTGCGGACTCTATTTCAAGCTTCACAATGTGAGCAATTTCACTCATTTCACTTGACTGTTTTTGGACGAAAATGCCAAAATCTTATTCGGTTAATTTTAGTGAAAGCTGATTTGTATCATTTCAGTGGACGAATTTGTGTTGACACTCAAAACCTAGCAGTGCATTTGTGCTGTTACCTGATTTGCATAACTAGTTTTTGTGGATCCAGATCCAAGATTAATTACTTCCTGGAATTCTGTGGCACTTTCAAAACATCATGCGTCAACATTTCAACTAACCTTTTTCCACCAATTTCAACCCATTTGTCATTATTATTCCAATTGGTTCAGGTAAAGGCACATGAATCACACATAGCACCTCTAAAGTTGCTGTATGTCATTTCTTGACTGTGCTAAAGCATACAAATACCATAATATGTTTGAAAACATGCTAAGTTCACATAGTTTTTTCCCAAATCAATGCTACAGCCATTTATTTTACTTTGAAATGTGCGTTCTGTGTCGAAGTCTGTCTTTGTTTTGACACGTCTTTTCCAAGACGTCCTCCCCGTCCTTCCTTGTCTCCACGTCCCTCAGCTCTCCCAGAAGTCGGATGTTGCAAATTCTACCTGACCTAAAAAAGCCTCGGCATCCATCTCTAGAAAATCTTAAAATTGTGTTTTTTATTTATCCTTTGTTTTACCAGGTGATGAGATATCCCATTGAGATATTCAAATCTCTTTTACAATGGAGCCCTGGAGCAACAATTACATGAGTTACACAAAATCACATAAACAACACAACAAACTAATGTAAAAGAGTTTAAGAATGACTTATTAATCATTGAAAACATGTGCATTGTTAAAATTTGGAACATTTAATAATTGAAGAGTTCCGATGCAAAAGCCTCTAAATGCCATTTGAAATTTTCTTCTTTAATGATGATTTTTATCAAACTTGTGTATATTTAAGTTCAGTAATTTCACTTAAATAACAATTACTAGGTAATTATCATTGCCATTTAAGTGAAATCACTGAACTTAAATATACAAGCTTGATGAAAAATGATCATTCTAGAAGAAAATTTCAAATGGCATTTAGAGGCTTTTGCATCTGAACTCTTCAATTGTTTGCAATGTTCAAGTGGGATAAAAACAAAAAGCTTCAATACTTTTTGGAGCAAATTCCCCCCCATTGGAGCAAATGAACGGGAGTATACTAAAACGCAGATAAATCATGTTTGAGCCAAAAAAATATTGATGGTTTAACTTAAAAAAGTAAGTAACCTGGTTGCCTTAAAATTTTAAGTTCATTGAACGGGAAAAAGTGAGTTAATACAATTAAGTAGATTAATTTAACCATCAGAAACTCAAAATTATATGTTATCTGAACTAAATAAATTATTTAAGTTGATTTGACAAAAGAAAAAATGTTGTGGTTACTACACTGTAAAAAATATTGTTGGTTTAACTTAAAAAAGTAAGTAACCTGGTTGCCTTAAAATTTTAAGTTGATTGAACTGGAAAAAGTGAGTTAATACAATGAAGTAGATTAATTTAACCATCAGAAACTCAAAAATAATAAGTTATCTCAACTAAATAAATTATTATAAAGTTGATTTGACAAAAGAAAATATGTTGTGATAACAAATCTTGAAAATATTTTTTACAGTGTGTAGTCACTCGGACTATTTTAACAATGTCTTTCATAACTTTTGGGCCGGCAAGTTTCTCAGATTTAGTCATAAATATCCTAATTTGTGTTCCGAAGATGAACGAAAGTCTTACGGGTTGGAACAACGTGAGGGAGAGTAATTACTATGGTTGGGTGAACTAACCCTTTAATATTTTCAATCACACTCATCAGGTGAACAGACCGCTGACTATGAAGAAGGAAGGCATTCAGACACGCAACCGTAAAGTGTCCAGCAAGAGCAGAAAAGGGAAGAAGTTCAGCACTGCAGAGGAGAATCTCTATTGGGATTTTTCGAAGAATCCTGCCTCTGATCAGTATTTCGACATGTATCCTCAGAGTCCTGGTGCTCTGGGGGTCTATAGCCATTCTTCCCATTCACTGCCGCCCACAGCTGCCTTCTACAGCCATGCCACCCTGCCCTACCCATACCACCCGCCGGCTGCCATCATGCCCAGCGTGATGTGAGAGGAACTGGACTGTGACTGTGTACAAAACACTCACTGCACAGCCACATTACTTCACATACTCATCATGAACACACTTTACAGATGTGGATGCATGAGGGCAATATACAGATGTCCTAAAACATATTTGGACATTAAAGTCACTAAAGTCAAAAATGTAATTATACACTCTTTGGAAAAAAGGGTTCTATATATGTAGCATAGGGTTCTTTACTTAACTGCAAAGGACCTTTTATGCAAAAAAAAAAAACTATGATAATGACAAGAAAGAACACTTTTGGCACAAAGGTTCTTAATAGGCTATTATTAATTCATATATTACATTATTCTGCAACATTTTGCAGTTGTAATTAAATTATTGTTAATTAACTTTTGTAGTAACTTAATATCCCATTTTAATCATGCTGATTTTTGAAGGATAAAAACTGAAATGGCACTCTTCGTGTGATATTGATTAATTACATTTTTTAACCCCCATATTTTGAATTTTGTGATCATTCATGCATTGCATTTTTAGGGGTTCCAAATACGTAGTGCTTTAGAACCTTTTAAGGTTCTATATAGAACCTTTTCTTTTAAGAGTGTTGGCAAAATATCAAACCAGCTGGCATTTATTTTAAATAAAGACACACTTATCAAGTTAGAAAAGCATCATGACACCTTTTGAGAATTAGTTGAACATTAAATTGAGCAAAAGTGACAGTAAAGACATTTATAATGTTACAAAAGATTTCTATTTCAAATAAATGCTGTTCTTTTGAACTTTCTATATATCAAAGAATCCTGAAAAACATATCATGGTTTCTATGAACATATTAAGCAGCACAACTGTTTTCAACATTGATAATACAGGTTGCGTACTGAAGGGGACGGGGTTTTTCATCCGACGCTCCTAATATCAGAGATAGTATTTTTAATCTCATTTTTTTAAGGTTAGCTCTTCCTTTTTTTGTACTTTTTCTCTTTTTCTCTCTCTCCTGTGTGTGTTGTATTTTGTTCTGTTATGTAAAGCGCCTTGAGAAGCTGCTTTTAAAGGCACTGTATAAAAATAATGTTATTATCGTCAATGAAATGTTTCTGAGCAGCAAATCATCATATTCGAATGATTTCTGAAGGATCATGTGACTCTGAAGACTGGAGTAATGATGCTGAAAATCACAGGAATAAATTACATTTTACAATATATTCAAATAGAAAAGAGTAATTTCAAACTGTAATATTTATATAATAATATTTTTATTATAAATGTATAATATTATTATAATATTTTTTATATATTAGATCTTATAAAATATAGATAATCATTTTGATCAAATACACGCAGCCTTGGTGAGCATAAGAGACTTCTTTCTAAAACATTTAATAATCTTGCTCGCCCCAAACATTTGTACAGTAGTTTATATATATTCTGCATTTATATTTTTCAGTGTTTGTAACCACTTTTCTTTAACTACCTTTTTGTTTACCATTTGTAACAGTTTTTAAAGTGTTTTACAGAAATGAATATTGTTTACAAATAAAAGTTTACATTAAGCACATTATCTTTTTTGCATTTTCTTGTAATTGTGCTCAATTGAGAACAGAGAGCCGGAGAACTTCATTCAAAACAGAGTCTGCGTATCGACACGCCGAGGCTCCTCAACATCTGCATCTTAACAGACGTTTGAATCTGACGGTGTGGTGGCTTTTCTAAGGCACCATTGTGAGCTCTGCAGCTTGGATGAATTAGCTCATAGTGGGAGTTCGACAGTTACAATGTGCGATGACAGCACATGCAAATCCAGCACTTTCCACAGAACAGCGGCGCAGCTCTAAAATGAGACAGTTTTCAGTGATGTCACACCATTAATCACATGACCTCTTCAGTGATGGAAAAACAATACTTCAACAATATTTGCTTATCTAGTGAAACATGTCATCTTAAGTTTAGCTAAATTATTGCTATTCATTACTTAGATTTGCAAGTCAAAGGAAAGATGTTCAACTTTCTTATTTCTCTCTGTAAAATAGTAAAAATATAGCAGCCGCACACTCAAAACACTGTGTCATATTTCAATGCAGCAGCACCTCCCTACAAGACTTTTTTTTTTTTGACGGATGAGCGGTGGCTCTTTTCTATTCTTTAATCTTGTATTATTTCTCTCTGTAGAAATGTGTGTGTGAATGATAAAATGTGCTTTTAAATGTTCTGTTTTGTCCTTTTCTCTTTCTGTGTCTCGCTTTATCTCTGTAGGTTGATGTCTAGGGTGAAGCCAAATACAATTTTTCACCTTGCGCAATAAAAGTAGCCTAACAACTACTGGTAATCATGTCGCTTCCTAAACAGTACAGTATCAGTCTTGACATTCATTATAACTATACACTCACCTAAAGGATTATTAGGAACACCATACTAATACTGTGTCGCCTTCAGAACTGCCTTAATACTACGTTTCATTGATTCAACAAGGTGCCGAAAGCATTCTTTAGAAATGTTGGCCCATATTGATAGGATAGCATCTTGAAGTTGATGGGGATTTGTTCCACCACATCCCAAAGATGCTCTATTGGGTTGAGATCTGGTCATTTTAGTACAGTCAACTCATTGTCATGTTCAAGAAACCCAATTTGAAATGTTCGGAGCTTTGTGACATGGTGCATTATCCTGCTGGAAGTAGCCATCAGAGGATGGGGACATGGTGGCCATAAAGGGATGGACATGGTCAGAAACAATGCTCAGGTAGGCCGTGGCATTTAAACCATGCCCAATTGGCACTAAGGGGCCTAAAGTGTGCCAAGAAAACACCATTACACCACCACCACCAGCCTGCACAGTGGTAACAAGGCATGATGGATCCATGTTCCCATTCTGTTTACACCAAATTCTGACTCTACCATCTGAATGTCTCATTTTGAATGAACATTTTCCCAGTCTTCAAGTGTCCAATTTTGGTGAGCTCTTGCAAATTGTCGCCTCTTTTTCCTATTTGAAGTGGAGATGAGTGGTACCCGGTGGGGTCTTCTGCTGTTGTAGCCCATCCGCCTCAAGGTTGTGCGTGTTGTGGCTTCACAAATGCTTTGCTGCATACCTCGGTTGTAACGAGTGGTTATTTCAGTCAAAGTTGCTCCTCTACCAGCTTGAATCAGTCGGCCCATTCTCCTCTGACCTCTCGCATCAACAAGGCATTTTGGCCCACAGGACTGCCGCGTACTGGATGTTTTTTCCTTTTCACACCCTTCTTTGTAACCCTAGAAATGGTTGTGCGTGAAAAAGAGCACCGCTACATAAAATGCTGACCCAGTACTTGAAGGTCATTGGCTACTGATACAGCGGGAGCCAATCAGCTGTTCCCTATAGAGGACCCATCAGCCTGCGCAGGCTAGAGTTTCATGCCTGTGCAAAACTCACTGCACAATGATCGGATGTTGTGTGAGGTTGAAAATCATAACGCTGACCAACCTGTCATCGGATTGAGTCGATATGCACCCAATCACATGCACAATAAGTTAATAAATTGGCATCACCGAGTGAATAATTCCATGCCGGTATGGAAAAACGTCTGAAATATGGATTTGTGTCTCAGTTTTACTCTGGTTGGTGATGATATCTCAGATGGCGCCCCTCCCTCTCCTCCATCTGTTTCCATCTCTCACGGTTGACCACATTGCTCTGCTCCTTTGGCTTCTAGTGGAGCCTCATTGTGCAACGCAGGCGGCTTCTGGTTTTCCGGACTCTCTAAAAAAAAGAGTGCAGAAGGGAAAAGGAGATGCACAGAAGAAGGCTGCAAGCTTTTCAAGCCTGGTACACGAGGCACATCGCTCGCTTTTTTCTGTCATCGGCTTCCTCCATTCAGGGTGAAGCCGTGTTATCTGGTGGAGTCGGCACCATAGCGAGGGGGAAATGGTACTGAGTGACTTGGAGAGATTAGCAACCACAGGACAGGTCCAACCAACGCGTACAGGCCTGTTCGTTAGCGCTCATCAGCTCCTCTGCGCTCACGCTTGCAAACTCTTTTCCATTCATGTAAACAGAGTAGATGACATGATGATTTTTCATCACAGGTCACAAGGTCAGAGGCCTCCTCTAGAAGAGCCTGACTAACTGCTTGTGTGCAAACTGTTGATCACATTATGAATAGTCTGATTGGACGCTAATTGTCTTTGCAATGAAATAAAATATTTGAAAAGAGCATTTTTAGATGGTCTGCTTGATATCTGATGACACTTTATTTTAACGTTCCATCAGCAGAAATCTGAGTAACTTTGAAGCCCCATGTCAGCTTATTCTAGGTGACATGTAGTTGTAAAGTTTCTTATAGTCAGTAGACTGTCTAAAGTGGATCATTAAAACACAGTGTAACCAAATGCTCCTGCAGATATGATTAGTTTGTCATTCCTTTTGATGGTCTTCACCAATGGGTCACGAAACTACTGGTTGACCCCATGGTAAACGCATCTTAAAGTAACCGTGCATTCTGATTAAATGTAACCTAAAATATTTAATTATTTTAGTTGTTTTATCAGTGCTGATGACTGTTTTATAAGGTAGTGGCTCTTTTAGGGGGCCGTAAATGTATTAAGATTAATGTATTAATATAATCTAACTCTAAATTAAAATGCTTAAAAACGAACGATCAAGATGTAAATTAAGTCATATTTCTTCTCTTATCCCACCCCATCAATAACGAATCATTTTATTGAAGAGCATATTTTTAGGTTAATTACTTTAATATATCAATAATCCCCCAGTTTCTGTTGATAAAAAAGTTTGACAACAAGCAGATTTGTCATAATTACAGCAAAATGACTGAACAGCTTGGCAGGTGTTTTCAATTTTTTAAGGCAATTATTTTTTTTAGTCCACCTAGAAATCCCTTGAGGTAGCTACTCAGTTTGTAAACTCCTGCTTTAGCCGATATGGGATGCTTTGAATATTGAATATATCTTATTATTGTGCAGTTTGGACAACGTAAATTCCGTAAATTGAGAAAAAATAGAACAGAAAAAACAAATAGGCTAAATAAACAAATAAATAAAATTAAACAGGGTGTACTGGTAAATTATTATAATTTTTTTTTTTATATAATTTAATGATAATGTAAAATCTCTTGTGCCAAGCGAAATAACAAATTTGTCTTTTAAACACATTTTCCTGTTAACGCTCGTTAAAAATGCAACAGTGACCTCCAGCGTTACAGCACAGACAGCGAGCACGCGCGATGGGTTTTTACTGACGTCATTTTAGTGCGCCTGCCAGTGCTCGTAGAAAAATAAGTGGGAAGAATGGCTGTTGAACTTGCCTTAAATATCAATCATGAAAGGAGCGAGTTAGCCGCTGTGTTTGAACTGTTTACTAGTTCACATGGTAGTCAGATTCTCTATTCATTGGACCAAGTTTTGCAGATCAATTATTCAGGTGAACACATCAAAGTTACAACTAACCTTAGTAAGAAATAAATTCTTAAGGTCAACGATTGATTTTGAATGACAGCCTATGGAAACATTTCACTAGTATTTATTTCCAGGATATGAATCCTTCATACCAAGAATACAATTTTCACTAGTTAAAATGATAATTATTGATATCAAGAATTAGCATTGTTACTAGTGAAAATGTAATTCCTGATATCAAAAATTGCCATTTTTACTAGTAGAAATATTATTTCTGATATCAATAATAATCATTTTAACTATTGAAATTTTAATTCTTGATATCAAGGATTCATATCTTGGAAATGAATAAAAGTTAAAACGGCTTGCCATAGCATTGTCTGTGTTTACTCTGGAAATGATAATTTTATAGAGAGTGGTGTGAAGGATTTTTCTATAAATCACTTGATCTGAAATGACATGTTTTTACGTTTATACGCTTAAATAAGAGTTTTAAAGCAGACAGTTGAATGTAACTCTACTACTGTCTGAATCTGAGCCTTCTCGCGCCCCGTAGCGGAGGAACCGCTTTATGTCTCATCGAAAGTAGTTAGTTCTTGGCGAAATCTGCGCTTCTGCTGTGCAGAGTTGGGCGTGAGTTAGCTATTAGCATCTCCAAACAACAACATTGTGCTTTCTTTCGTATACACCTTAATGCATATTTACCTTACAGTTGTTTTTGCTATGCGGTCCCCATTTTGCTACGTCTATTTTCCACTTTTATGTCCAACCAAGAAGAATGACAACAGCCACGAAAACTTAAGAAAGCAAAAAGCTTGAGGCTCAAATGACTGGCAGTTTCGTCTTTTCCCTAAAATTTCAAGGTGTTTTTTGTTGTGGGTTTTTTTTACCAACGACATAAAAATCTGACAACAGTTCTTTTCTTATCCTCTCACACACCTCACACATTTCTGAAAGCAGTAAGTAAAACCTGTTATGTATTCTTGTGACATCTGTCACTTTTTGACATTTATGGGCGTTTTTTACGAAAGAAAATGACATTTGCTTATCTCATTATATTGAATTTGTGGAGTGGAATGATTCAGAAGCAGAATGATTGAATGGGTTATTAATTAGTAACTTTTTCTTTTGATTAATTTGTGTATTGGTTTTATTAGTAATAAAGAATCACAAAACAAAAATGAAATTGAAAATGAAACTAGCTATCCAGTGATATATATAATATATCATTCATAGCCACACTTAAACAACTTAACACAGCAATGTATGGGTAATTTATTCTGCATATGCAATAAAAACAGGTACAACATTTGCATTGACCTCTACGTTATTATTAAATGATTATATCTTCTATATAATCGAACTTGCTTATAGATTAACACCCAAATTGAGACTTTTGATGTAGATGTTTTGAGCGCCTGTCACTAACACTTTTCAAGGTCTTTGGTGTGTATCTGAAATCCTCCACTGATGGATCCTGGTCCAGATTCTACTCGTTCTCCAAGAGAAAAACCAGAAACCAAAGTGAGATAACGTTTACACTCCATTACAGTGGCGTAGAAACATGCAAAATGTGGTGTTGCGTGTTTTAATCAGTGTGTACATGAGTAGTTAATAATCCACAGATATTTGTGAAGTTTGCCCACTTGATTTACTCAACGTTGTGCTTTGTTTTGCACGTTTTTAAAGGTCGGGTGTGGGTGCTAGGGCTTTACTTGGATTCCTGTTTTGAGAGTTTTGCCCTCTGCTGTGTTGTAATTCTCTCTAAAAGACCTTTTTGTTCTTCAGAGAGAAAACAACAACCCGAACCGTAAGAAGAGTCTACAGGAGGCACGGAGGAAAGGTAGAATGGACCGGAGCAAAGTGGAGGAAGAGATGAGCAACCTGGTAAATAAACACTTAATCACAGTCACAGTTTGTTTTCTCTTAAAATCTGTCATGTGTCAAGCACTTTGAGATTTGATGTCAAATGTAAAGTGCATTATAAATAAAATTCATCATCATCATGTTCGATAAATGTCTGTTTGATATTTCTCATCAACAACAACAACAACAAAGATATATACAAGCTAAATCTATTTTTGCATAAATAAAACATTGAGATTTTTGTCATTGCAACATAATTGTCCAATTCTCCCTATTCTTGTCTTGTCATGGAGCTTATGTACTCGAAAGGCTAGCTTTACTGTACCTAATCATCTTAAATAACAAGTTGCTTATAGTGTGGCAAGACCATTTCAAAGTAGCTCCCCAACATTGGCAGTGATACACGTTTATGGTGTTGTGTATAGAGTTGATTATTAAAGGAATCGTTAACCCAAAAAAGAAAAATTCTGTGATTAATTAGTTACTCACCCCCATGTCATTCCAATCCAAAAAACCGTAAGACTTTCATTCATCTTCGGAACACAAATTGAAGATATTTTCGATCAAATCTGCCACTCAACTACCACTCAAAATGTTCATAATGTTCATAATGATGAGATCATAAAACTAATCTATATGAATTTAGTCCAAGTGTTTTTTTTAGACATGATCGCTTTATATGATAAACTAATATAATTAAGGCTTTTATTAATGTAGTGGAAAGTCCAGGTTCAGAAAGTAAAAGTCCTCCTCAGTATTTTGTTCCAATCACCTGGATTTGATAATTAGCACAGTTTTTCCAGCCAGGAGATTAAACTAATTAATCAAATCAGCTGGCTGAGTTCATGGGTGAAATAAACATATGACAGGACTTTTACTTTTTTGACCCCTGGACTTTACACCTCTGCATATAAACATTCATCAGCACACACACCTCTGCATATGATAAACTGAAGCTCAAGCATGTTCGCTTGATGTGCGAGAACCAATGAGGTTCACCCTCGAGTTACGCAGCACGTTTGAGCTTCTGCAAGTTGGATCTAACTGCTCAATTCATATGGATTAGTTTTACAATCTCATTATGAACTTTTTGAAGCGTCAAAGTGGTAGTTGAATAGACTGTCAATGGAGGGACAGAAAGCTCTCAGATTTCATCAATAATGATTTTCATTTGTGTTCCGAAGATGAATGAAAGTCTTACGGGTTTGGATTGGAATGACATGAGGGTGAGTTATTATTATTTTTTTTTTATTTTTTTTTATGAGGGTGAGTTATTAATGACAGAATTATCATTTTTTGGGTGAACTAACCCTTTAAAATTCAGTAATGTGCATGTAGTGTTTTATTTGATCACTGTGGGATTGCATGCTCAGAGAGAGAGTGCTTTTGAACACTTGTTTTTCTGGATCCTTTTTCAGGATGTGTGTGGGAAGACTAAAGCATCAGGAACAGGTCTTGTCTATATAGATGCCTTCACTCACTTTCACTGCCTCTGGGATGCCAGGTGATGCTTCAGAGTGGTTCAATTATTATTATTGACAATAGGAAAACTCTGTCAAAATTCTGGCATTTAATTTTGAATTTTAGTAAAGAGAGAGTCATGCGTCAACATAAAACGGAGGTTCAGATAGTCTTTTATTACATATTTGATGTATATCCAAGTGAAACAAAAAAAAATTGTAGGGTGGGACTTAATTTTGTCCATTGAGGATTCATTGGATCGTCACATTGTTCTCATTTGCTATTGCTGTGACCTCATGTGAGTGACAGGTTGTAACTCTAGGAATAAATACTTTAGTATTTCTTACAAAATAATTGTCAATTTAGATTTTTGACTTTAAGACTCTCCAGTGGATGCTATGAAGCAAAAGACAGAATCTTCTGATCAAGTTTGTGCATACATGTAGATACGTTAAAATTAAAGCAAAGTATTTATATGCAAAAAAAAAAGTATTTGTTGTCATTGCGTCAATAAAAGCTGCACTTATTCTTGATATTTAATCTTATTTCAAATAGTTTACTTTTATAAAAGTTCTTATATAACAGCGGATTGGATGTTTTTTTGCAGTCACCCAGAGTGTCCAGCGAGAGTGAGCACTGTAATGGAGACTCTAGAGACGCAGGGGCTGCTGGGACGCTGTGTACGAGTCGAGGTAGAGACACTCCTGTATAGGGATGGGAATTGATAAGATTTTATCGATATCGATGCCACTAACGATTCTGCTTATCGATCCGATTCTTTAACGATTCTCTTATCGATTCCTGATAGCACTGTGTGGGAAAAAGTACTCATATGCTTTTTTTGGGGAAAGAAACAATTGGTTTTATTTGTTTTAAACCTTTCACTTGACTAAGTAAACTGTACTTTTGATGTAATTTATATAATAAATGAAACCTTATGAGTTCAGTTCAGTGTTGAGTTCAGTTCAGTGTTGGAAGATCAGTTCAGTTGTTTTACCATTCATTAAAACGAATCGGTTCAAATGAGTCATTAGTTCGCGAATTGAACGTGTCATTATCAGACGTGTGCGCGTTCCGACACAAGATGTGTGTCATCACAGAAAACATTTCATCTTTTGGTCGTTTTTTCCGTTTATTTGAAGTGTGGTTTATGTCAGCTAAATGTGCGGACCGCTATTCAGAGAAGATAAGGCAACGTAGACCTATTTTAGCACAATTCACACCCAGCGGTAATTCAGGAAAAACAAATCTCCGAATGCTGCACATGAAACTTTAGTCTCCCGACCTTACCATTGTGTCGATTATTTTGATTAATATGTGCGAGGGAGAAAGAGAGAGCAAGACAGTGCTTAGTTTTGAGCAGTGAAGCCAGAGAGAGGTGCGCGCGCGCACGACCGGGGCTCTCTCTCTCCCTGCTCGTTCAGTTTAACACGAGCCCTGTCACGAGCGCAGCGGTTCATAACTACAGAGAGAGACAATTTTACCGGTACTCACCGATCAAATAAGGCTTTGGTGGTACAAAAAATCGCTTTGGACGCCGTACTGGTGCTTAATAAAGGACAAAGGGACAGTTGTTAGTTCACTGTCTGAAGCCTACATACTGGTTGACTCAGAGCAGGAGCATCGATAAGAGGAATCGTTAACGTCGAGCGCAAACAATATCGATGGATCGTAAAATTTAGAACCGGTTCTCGAGTGGAACCGGTTTTCGATTCCCATCCCTACTCCTGTAGTGATGTATTCTTTTACAATCCCTCCTGTCTTTGAGCAGTTTTAAATAGTTTAACTTTGCGTTTCAGGCCAGAGCTGTAACAGAAGATGAGCTCTTACTCGTCCATACGTAAGTTTATACGCATGATTAAATAAAGATTGGTTTTGTTTGATGATTATCTTATGTGACATGGGGAAATGTGTTGTGTATTACAGAAAGGATTATGTAGAGCTGATGAAATCAACCCAGAAAATGACAGAGGAGGAGCTGAAGACTCTCTCTGATAAATACGACTCTGTCTACCTGCATCCTGTAAGTCACCCAATCACATGTCTTTTCCAGTCCTGGAATTTACTGTATGCTGATTCCAGTTCCAGTGTTTAATTGTTCATAAAAATCAAAATCAAAAAATTTTAGCCGGGTTTTTTTTGCCAGGAAGGCTCTATAGAAATCTGGCTCCTTATTGAACGAAGTTAAACAGAGAGTGTGCGTTCACATACACCAGAATGAATGCATTCACCGCAACATTCATCAGGCAGTAATACAGTACGTTCAGCTCACGGTCAACCAAAACATGAAGAAGTTCATGAACTATCGTTCAATGAATGCGTTCAGGCACAACACTGGTATTTGAGCATATGAAATAACATTTAGGTTACGTAAATATTTTGAAATATGTTATATGTGTGGCAAACAGTTTCAGAGATTTCAGAATTTCTTCATTCAAGTAGATGGGACTTGGTCTTGGCTGCCTGAAATACTTGCCTAGAGGCGTTGCATGTATGGCCACCAAGTGAACAGACTTTCCTGATTATTTTATGGTTTCCGTGGCGTGCAGCATGGCGAAATAACAAATATATATATATATATATTTTTAAATTCCATCAGGAATTTTTCACCTCAGCCTGTCTGGCGGTGGGATCAGTTCTCCAGCTGGTGGATAAAGTGATGACATCACAGCTGCGTAACGGCTTCTCCATCAACAGGTCTTGTTGCATTTGTTCTTCTCAACACTAATAATATCTTTTTATTTTGATTTATTCATTGATTTATTTGAGTTTCTGTTTTTCACAGGCCTCCGGGTCACCACGCTCAGGCAGATAAGATGAACGGCTACTGTATGTTTAATAATCTGGCCATAGCGGCGCGCTACGCTCAAAAACAGCATGGAGTTGAACGGTGAGAGTCTGCATTTTGCTTTAGCGTCATACATTAATGAACACTTCATGGCCTGGGTTCACAGACAATTAGTTCAATTAGGACGTTAAACATGCCTTAGAAAGAAAAAAAAACATTACTGGTGTGCATCTTGAGACAAAACAATGGCACGGACATATTTTAAGATATGCCTGTGCAAGTTGCTTTCAGTTAAAACATGCATTTTAGTCTGGGACTAGATTTAAGCCTTTTCTGTTAAGCCGGGGGTCAAATATGATATTGACTTGATTTTGTTTCTTGATATATTTTCCTGCTCTTATTATCAGCAATTCATTAGAGCATTTTTGATCTAGTGATGAAATGTTTGCAAAGTCTTTCATCAAATGTAATGACTTTCACCACCAATTGACATACTCAAATATTAGCCTAATGATCCAATCAAATTCAAGTTCTGGTTCTAAAGTTTTGAAACACATACAGAAGTTGAAATGCATTTTCACGTTGTCTTTAATGAAGTTTTTGGTTTGAGAATCTATAACATGGATGGTTGCTTTTCCAATCATACAGAGTTCTAATTGTGGATTGGGACGTGCATCATGGACAGGGAATCCAGTATATTTTTGAAGAGGATCCCAGGTACATTTGTCTGCACCAGCACATCATATTACAAATGTTCTGTATAATTAGGTGCAAGTCAATTTGCATGCGTGTGCACTATTCTATGACGTATAAATAAAGTGTGAGTAGTGTGTTTACACTGAAAAATCCAAATATAAAAAGTACAATTTATAAACCCAGATGATGAAATCAATTAATCGAAAAAGCGTGGATGTTGGACACTTGATTATGTTGAGGAGGGGCTATCAGACTCCGCCAGTGAATAACAAAATAACCTCATAAATTGTATACACTACACAGATGCACATGCTGTCATCTAAAGAGCATCTAACCTCTGTCCTCCTTGTGGCAGTGTGCTGTATTTCTCAGTGCACAGATATGAAGATGGCTCGTTCTGGCCGCATCTCAAGGCGTCTGACAGCAGCTCGGTGGGTTCAGGAGCAGGACAGGGCTACAATATCAACCTGCCCTGGAACAAGGTACATCCCGCTAGCTTACTCCACTTTACGCGACTCATTTCGAAAGGTTAACCGATTTACAGTTGCATGTAGAAGTCATAACAGACGTGTTCAATTTCAGAGATGAGGTTGAAAAGGGTCATTTAAAACTAAATCACCACCTTGACTAACATTATAGTGGACTATAAATGAAATGAGTGTGGTAGAATATGGTCTTTGTAGGCTGGTGCTGAATGTGTCCTGATCGCTTTGTTTTAACTCCAGGTAGGGATGGAGGATGGAGATTACATCACAGCTTTCCAGCAGCTTCTCCTGCCTGTGGCGTATGAGGTACACCTTTTATATCGGTCACCTGCACATCTGATTTAATGTTTTTATTGTCTAATCATCTGATATTTAGGTCATTTTGAGATGTTTGTTTAAGTTCCAAAATATACTGACAGTTTTGTCAATGAATAAACATTTTAACCTGAACATTTAAAGAAATATTAATTAAAATTGGTTCCATTTGTATTTGATATCTACGGAGGCGAATTGCATTCACTCGAAGAAAAAAAAATCTACTCAGTTTTTCTGAATTAACAAGTTAATTATCTCAGAATTACGAGATAATTTTTCATGGAAAAAAATTTTTGCTCTGTTTTTCTGAATTAACGTGTTAATTTTTCATGAGAAAAAAATTGCTCTGTTTTTCTGAATTAACGAGTTAATTCAGAAAAACAGAGCAAAAACTTTTTTTTTCTCATGAAAAATTAACTCATTCATAAAAACAGATGAAAAACTTTTTTTTTTCATGAAAAATTAACTCATTAATTCAGAAAAACAGAGGAAAATATTTTTTCTCATGAAAAATTAACTCGTTAATTCAGAAAAACAGAGCAAAAACTTTTTTTTCTCATGAAAAATTAACTCATTAATTCATAAAAACAGAGGAAAAACTTTTTTCTCATGAAAAATTAACTCGTTAATTCAGAAAAACAGAGGAAAAACTTTTTTTCTCATGAAAAATTAACTCATTAATTCAGAAAAACATAGCTTTTTTTTTTCTCATGAAAAATTAACTCGTTAATTCAGAAAAACATAGTAGATTTTTTTTCCTCAAGTGAATGCAATACGTTTCCGTGGATATCAACTCATTTTATTATAAAGAAATAATATATGGAGATCTCTTGTGTATGTGCTGCACAGTTTCAGCCTCAACTGGTGTTAGTGGCGGCCGGCTTTGACTCTGTGATCGGTGATCCAAAGGTGGGACGCTCAGCTTCATTCCTTTAATATAATTTTCCAAAACTCATTCAATTATGTTACTCATTTAAAACATTCTGTGTATCTAGGGTGAGATGCGAGTGAGTCCACAATGTTTCTCCATCCTGACCCATATGCTGAAAGCTGTAGCACAGGGCCGACTCGTGCTGGCTCTGGAGGTATGAGCATATTATGCCATAAGAGAACGAAATATTCTTCTTTGTGGTTCACATCTCACACACAGTATTTCATCTGTTAGGGTGGGTATAACCTCCAGTCCATAGCGGAGGGTGTTTGCGCTAGTGTGAGGTCACTGCTGGGTGACCCTTGCCCTCACCTGACCTCTCCTGGTGCTTCGAGTGAGAGGTGAGTGAACCGTGGAGCACATCTGCCTACGTTTTCTTATATTTCGTATATTTCATCTGCCTACGTTTTCTTATATTTCGGTGTGTGTTTTTATTGCAGTGCCCTGAACTCCATCTCAAAGACCATCTCTGCCTTGTATCCATTTTGGAAAAGTCTTCAGACTTTTGGTAAGAACCAAGATTTTTTTGTTTACAAATAAACAAATCAGATCACCATATTGTGTTGGTGCACTCATGAAACATAATGAAAACTATTTATACAGGTCCCACTTTATATTAAGTGGCTTTCAGTACTATGTACTACTTACATTGAAATTAATAATTTGATACAATGGACTTATTGTGTACATACATGTTTTTACATTGTACTTATATTTTAAAAATACCAGCATGTAATTAATGCTATAATTACTTTATGTAATTACATTTGTAATTATTCTTTGTGGTTTTTACAGGAAAAAGAGTCAGTCTTGTTCCACTCAATGTTAATGACTTGAAACAGTTCATGAGTAATTAGTAGCACCTCATTGCAGTACATGAGATCCAGGGGGTGGAGTTGGATCCAGATCTAAGGGGTGGAGATGGGTAGGTTTAGGGGTGGGGTTAGGGATCAGGGGGTGGAGATGGGTAGATTTAGCTATATGTAAAGTGGGAGGAGTTGGATCTGGATCCAACTCCTCCCCCTGGATTTCGTGTTCTGCAGTGAGGACCATCTCTGAGTAATGGAAAAAATCTCCCAGTTCGTTTAACTTTAATGTAAGACAATCTAGACTCTGACCAGGCCAAAACATGAGCCTGATGGACTTCTTCTCAAACCAATTCTTGGTTGTCTTTGCCATTCTGCAATTTTCCCTGTAATCTGGAGCATTTATAACACATCACAGTGAAGTAGCTCACATGCTTCACTGTCGTAGAGATGCATTTATTATATTTCTCTCCAGAATTTTGAAGAAACCCCTTCTGGAGGATCACCATGTGTCATTGTGATTCATCACAACACACAACTCACTGCTTAACGACTGTGAATCAAACTTCCCATATTCTGGCAAAAACGCTTTTCTGAGACAGCAATGGCTTTTTAAGTAGTGCATTTTCTTAAATGTTGCTAATTAACATTTGTCCTGACCAAAGCTCATTTTTTTGTATATATATATCGGAAACAGCATGGAAATGCATTGGTCATTGAGATTACATTGGGACATTATATTATCCTGTCATCTTCAGATAAAAAGAAAGCACTTAGCTGTAAACCAATAAACACCACTCAACATCACATTTGCACAAACTGCCAACCTTGGTGAAAGATTTATGTTTTCTTAGCTCTTGAATGTGTGTTTGATGACCTTTAGAGGGGGGTCCTCTGTCCGATGTCCCTCCCCTGCCCGCTCCAGTGTGTCCTGAAGTGAAGGTTTCCTCTTCAATCACTGGGCTAGTGTATGACCAGAGAATGATGCTTCATCACAACATATGGGATGGGTGAGAGTGACTGCTGCTTAGACACCACAGTATCCCTGTGAAAAAGATGTGTGTGTGTTTTGATTATTTGGTTGTGCATAAATAAGATGAGGATGTATCGATTCCCACAGTCATCATCCAGAGCTCCCACAGAGAATTTCACGGATCTTTTCCCGACACGAGGAGTTGGGCCTGCTGTCCCGTTGCCATCGGATACCAGCTCGCTTGGCAACAGAAGAAGAGCTGGCATTATGTCACAGGTGAGATGCTTTTAGACGAGTAAATAAATAATGATCACATTACTGTATTAAGTTACATACCAATCTGTATTACTAAAACTAATGCAACATTGCATTTGATTTAATTCATGTCTGTTTAACTCTCTAATGCTAGCTCTAAACACATAAGCATTATTAAGAGTACGGAGCACATGAAACCAAGAGATCTGAACCGACTGGGGAACGATTACAACTCCATCTACATCAATAATGAGAGCTACACCTGTGCCCTGATGGCCGCCGGCTCATGCTTCAACTCCGTACAGGCCATACTCACAGGCCAGGTCTGTCTTTTTGTGGCTTTTACATGTCTCAGTATAAACATTACTGCTTGATTTGGCTCTCAGGTGTCCTCAAATATTTCTTTGGTCCTGTAGGTGAGAAACGGCGTGGCCATAGTCCGTCCTCCGGGTCATCATGCAGAGAAAGACACAGCTTGCGGTTTCTGTTTCTTTAATACGGCCGCTTTGGCCGCACGCTATGCCCAGAGCATCACACACAAATCCCTGCGTGTCCTCATCCTCGATTGGGATGTTCATCATGGAAACGGCACACAGCACATCTTTGAGGACGATGACAGGTTTGTCCAGTCCCACAGTTAATCCCACTATAATCTCATATTAGTACATATAGTGGTCTGGATCAGTGCTGTTATGGTTAAATAAAACAATCAAAAATTATTTTTGTTCATTTAAATAAATCTCAAATAATGTAAAGTATAAATTAGATGAAACTTAAAATATAATTTAAAGCTTAAATATAATTTAAAGCTATATATATATATATATATATATATATATATAACAATTAAATGACAAAAGTACGTTTAAATTAAACACAATTGAAATAAAAAATATAACAAATAAAAGTTTATTCAAAATATTAATATATACTGTAATTTTATATACACTCTAAAAATATTGGGTTGTTTTAACCCAACTTTGGGTCAAATATGAACAAACCCAAATGTTGGGTTAAAAATGCCACTAAAAAATTTTACCCAATGGCTGGGTTTGTCCATTTTTGACCCAAAGTCGGGTTAAAACAACCCAGCAGTTTTTAGAGTGTAAATAATACACAAATAACACTGGTATGTATTCCAAAATCAGGTGACCATAAGAAGTTCATTTATAATTGAATATGTTCCCTTCAACCATAAAGTAGTATTTTAGTTTGCATGAGAATTTTTGACATTGTTCTCTGACCCTTAGCTCTATTTGCTAATGTAACTAGGATACTTCTCTATGCACATGACCTTGTGTTTGATTGGCCAACCTCTTTGCATTTTAATAAGCAACAACTTAGATTTGTAGCCAGGTCCAATATAGTGTTTAGCTGCGCCATCTTTCAATAACAGCCTGTTCCCAAAGTAGCATTACATTGTGACCCCATATTCAACATTTAGAAATGGCAAAAAGGGCTCATTTGTTTTATAAAAAAGTCTGGATGAAAAGGCAAGGGTAATAAAAACACTCTTAATGTTGTCATTTGATTTATAAATAAATATATATATATATAAATATATTTTAGACCTTTGTTTTTAACCAGGTTCTTTCACTTTTTCCAGCGTTCTGTACATTTCTCTGCATCGTTATGAAGACGGGACGTTTTTCCCCAACTCGGAGGATGCTAACTATGACAAGGTGGGGCAAGGGAAAGGCAGAGGATACAATGTCAACATCCCCTGGAATGGAGGAAAGATGGGAGACCCAGAATACATGGCAGCTTTTCATCACTTAGTTATGCCAATAGCCAGAGAGGTAAACTATGCAAATTTTTACCTGATGCATGTGTTGTTTGGTGTTAAATACTAAGTGAATGGTGTTGTTTGTGTTCTAGTTTGCCCCAGAGCTGGTGCTGGTGTCTGCTGGGTTTGATGCGGCACGGGGGGATCCGTTAGGAGGGTATCAGGTGACCCCAGAGGGCTATGCCCACTTCACGCATCAGTTGACTGGTCTGGCAGCAGGAAGAGTGCTAGTCATACTGGAGGTGGGTTATATTCACTCTCACTATGTTTACTCTTTCTACTATTGAGTTTTTCAGTGGCCAATGCTGATGTCAATATCTAGAGAGCATGGTGCATGATGCTAGCCATCATTTCTTTACAATAAAATTAGAAATAAATGTTCATGGTAAAATGTTTCGTCCTTGATAACACTGTTAGTATATTTTGGAACGATTTTGGAACCAACCACTTCAATTATTGGCCAGGGTTAATAATACCCAATTTCAGATGATTAATTGACTTGGCTGATCATATATAATTAATAGTTAATCAATCAGCAAGGATGAATTAAATTAAATCAATAGTGACTGTAAAGACATGTGCAATGTCTGCAAGCCACATTTTCAAATAGAGTGCTGTTTCTATTCATCAAATAATCCTGAAAAAAATGCACAAAAATATTAAGCAGTGTTATTTTTAGTAGCTCAGTGATTTCTACATTGATAATAAATTTTTCTTGAGCAGCAAATCTGCATTTTAGAATTATTTCGGAAGGATCATGTGACACTGAAGACTGGAGCAATGATGCTGGAAATTCACAGGAATAAATTATTTCATAAAATACATAAAACACTTATTTTAAATTGTAATGATATATTTTTGATCAAATAAATGCAACCTTGGTACGAATAAGAAACTTCTTTGTAAAACATTAAAAATTAGACTCCAAACTGTTTAAATTGTAATATTTCACAATATTATGTTTTTTTAATCTATTTTTGATCAAATAAATGCAACCTTGGTACGAATAAGAAACTTCTTAGTAAAACATTAAAAATTAGACTCCAAACTGTTGAACAGAAGTGTATGTACTACACACTGGTTAATGATGTCATCTAACCCTCTTCACTGTAGGGAGGATATAACCTCACCTCCATCTCTGAGTCCATGTCCATGTGCACCAGTATGTTGCTGGGAGACTCCCCTCCACTTCTGGACCATCTGCCCCCTCCCAAGACCAGCGCTGCTGTCACCATCAACAACGTCCTGCGTGCCCACGCCCCCTTCTGGAGCTCCCTGAGAATACAGAGTGAGTTTACAATCTCAAACCAGGAGCTAAAACCTTCTACATTCTTTGCCAACCATAACCATGTATGTCTGGGTCTCATTCATACTGAAATGTTTTCATTATATCTGCTCACGCAAATGAACTTCAAAATAAAAGACCTCTGTTACACACCACAGATAACTCAAAATCAAACAATTAAATACCAAAAATAAATAAATAAATCGTTTAAGGACTATATTTTCAAGACGACATAAAGTCATTAACACACTTCACATCAATATCATATCTGAAGAATTAAACGAATGTAAGAAAAGTATGATTATTTTAATTTGTGTGTTTATATCAGTTCCAGAGTCCCTTCGTTTGTCTTTGCCGTCTCCTAAACCGAAAGGCAAGCGGGGATCGAGCAAGAAATCGCCTCGCCAGTCCACCCCTGCTCAGAGTCCCGGACAGAAACCGCCCAATCTTGAGCAGTCCGGCCTTGACGAGCTCACTGAGGATCTGCTTTCTCTGAATCTCAACACCTCATCAAACACCAGCCCTGCGTCGGTTGCAATTGGAGGAGCCAGACGTAAGGTGAAACCCAACCCACAGAGGAATTCGGCAGGCCAGGAGTCACCCCTGAAACCCTCGCCAGAGAAAGCCGGAGATGGAGACAGCGCACATGCAGAGATAACATCTGTAAAAGCAGAGATCTCAAATGTCATTATCAGTATATGTCATTGACTCATATTGTAGTCAGTCATTAAACATGCTCTGTTTACCAGGACCAGTCCATCCGAGCGTCTGTGGTCACTGGAAATCCTGCTGGCATGTGTGACCAGGAGAGCTGTGGTCTGGATGCTGCTTGTGGTAACGCTCCGAAGACAGTCATTGAGGTTTTCGGACAACAACCCACGGATGTGGTAAATGTGTTCGTCATATTAGCATAATAACATTGCAGATAAATGTGGCTCATGAATGTATAGAGTAACAGAATTTTAGATGACTTGGTTCTCATACTCTGTTGCTAGGACGGCATGTATGTGGTGAACCCGTTGCCATGGTGCCCACACTTGGAGTCCGTGCGACCGGTCCCCGCTGGTGGCATTGATGTCTTCCTGCCGTGTGAAGAGTGTGGAGGTGATGCTGAAAACTGGATCTGCCTCTTCTGCTACAAGGTAACAGCTCAAAATCACAACATATTGAGGTTTAGTATTATTTAGACTTGCACAATAGGTCTCATCCACTAACCGTGTGTGAAATCTGCAACATTTCCACGAACACATCATCATTCAGCAATCATTTCTATACAAGGCAAAGGCTATTTGCACTAAATTTTTATGGAAAAAAGGCTCATTTTACCACTCCCCCAGAGTTAAACAGTTGGGTTTAACCGTTTTCGAATGTATTCAGCCGATTTTCTGATATTTAGAAGAATATCAGTAACCAGACAGATTGTGGTCTCATTGACTTCCATAGTATATTTTTTCCTACTATGGAAGTCAATGAGACCAGAAACTGTCTGGTTATTGATATTCGTCTGAATATCAGAAAATCAGCAGAATGGATTCGAAAATGGTAAAACCCAACTGTTTAACTCTGGGGGAGTTGTAAAATGAGCCTATTTCCAAAAAAGGTGGAGTATCCCTTTAAAATAGCAACATTTACTTAGCGATAGATGCTATTTACACACTATTTACATAAATAGCATTATTTTACATGATATGTATATTACATGATATTTCTACTTATAAATAGTGGCAGATACTATTTGCACCTCAGTGTTGTTGTACATTAGATGGGATGTAGTAATAACATAGTGTAAATGATTATATTTATTATATGGATGCCGCCTTAAACGCCGATAAACTCTTTATTATTAAACACACGTCAGGCACTTTATTTCCACTTTTTGAATATTTTCTACATTTTTATGGAAAATGAATGCTTTATTTTATAGGCCGATTCAAACTTTTTAAAGCTTACCCCTTCACTATTGGTACTGTTGACAATCTAGCATCTTCCGAAATTTTGTCTGTCCTAACCAGGTGTCAGTGAACAGAGTTAGTGTAAATAGCTTCTGCTAACAAGACCGGCTGTTTGCGCTTAGCGTAAATAGACACTCCGACTATAACATTTCTAATAGAATGTAGGAACAATGGAAAGCACATGTAGGCAAAAAAACGCATAGTTTTATGTGTTTAATAAAAATACAATTTTCTACATAGTTCATCTTAAATGTCATCACATATAGCAAAAGAGTAAGAAAAGCAGCGCTATAGCTTGAAATGCCAAAATGCAAAGTGTGCGTTTTGTTTATTTGAGGTGGTTCTCACTGCGGTACATGAAATCCACGGGGAGGAGTTGGATCTCCTCCCACCTTACATACACCTAAACCTACCCAACTCCGCCCCCTGATCCCTAAACCCAACCCTAATCCTACCCATCTCCACCCCTTGGATCTTGATCCGACTCCTCCCCGTGGATCTCATGTTCTGCATTGAGGTGCTACTAGTTTTTTCCCTCTTTTTTTCAGGTGCTCTGCGGGCGTTATGTGAACCAGCACATGGTGACCCACGGGCAGGTGTCGGGTCACCCTCTGGTGCTGAGCTTCGCTGATCTTTCTGTCTGGTGCTACGCTTGTGAGTCATACATCCACAACAAGGTAGGTGGGCCAGATCACTGGCCTGTAATCCGCTGTTATGACGAATGCAACATGAATAAATGATGTACTTAACTTATAAGACTGACATGCTTATTTCATTTATCTATTCTGACATTACTAATACTTGACTCTGCGTGACTGTATGTTTTCCAAAGATGGGATGGACTTTGAAAACACATGCACAAACAGCTGTGTGACTGTCTGTCTGTATCTGCACTCACAGGTGCTCCATGAAGCCAAAAACGCTGCTCACCTCATGAAGTTCGGAGAGGAGATTTCTCCTTTCAGCTAAACCAATTGAGAGAAGGAAATGTGTGTGTGTGTGTGTTTGCGTGTTGTGAGATGGTTGTTGTTTGCATGCATATAAATGCAGTGGAAATAACACCAAACTGAGCAAAATGAGTCTTTCTTCCTTACTTGTGTCTAAAACATATTTCATAGAGTAGATTATCATTGTATCGATTATGAGGTTCATCTGCCAAAATAAAAATTGTATTAATAGAATTTGTTTCATGTTAAAGAAAATCAGTTTTTAAAAGGTGCACTCTCTGCAAATTGATATAGTATTTTTTTAAGTTATTGCAGGAGCCACAGTACCAACTGTAATATTTAGCGTTTCCAATGTTTTTGCATTTTCAATGGACAGCCAACAGTGTTTGCACTGCACTGTTGTGAAGCATTCCTGTTTTCATTGTATCACTCCAGGCCAGGACATTCAAACTGTGGAAATTACAAAACAACCTTAAGCTTAAAGCAATAAAAAAGTGCAATATTTCCCAAAACAGTGTATGAAGACTATGTAACTATGTTTTTGTATATTTCCATTGTAATTTTTTGCACAAGTGTAGTGAGACAAACGTTTGGAAACTCTCACTTTGTAGCCGTTGGTACTTGTTGCAATCTGAATAAAACCTGTCTGTTCCGTGTTCTTAAAAGCCAGTTCTTTCTTCGGTCACATTTGCATCAGACCCGGCGTCAAAGCTCCCAAAGCAAATATAAATTATGATCATTAAATATTTTTGGCATTATTTTCACGACAATTAATGACTATTCTCCCTTAATTCTCATTATCATACTGTACAAAACCCCACAAAAATATGTATTATTATATTATTATTAGTATTACACATTATTGCATTTTTATTAGGGCTGTCAAACGATTAATCGCATCCAAAATAAAAGTTTGCATAATATTTACATAATATATGTGGGTGCACTGTGTATAATTATTTTGTGTGTTTATGTGTATATATATATATATATATATATATATATATATATATATAAACACACACATGCATGTATATTTAAGAAAAAATATTATTTATATATAAAATATTTATATTCATATATAATATAAATGATATATATACATATATATAAATACACATGCATGCTTGTATATATTTAAGAAATATTTTCATGTATATTGACCGATAATTTCATTTTCTCGTTGTGTGTGCATCATTGCATTGCATTGCTCTTGCGTGTGTGTGTTTGTGTGTACACGCAGAGACCCTCCTCCCAATCAGAATGGCCCTACGCTCCCCCTCCCCTCTCCCACTCTCTTCTCCCTCCATATGTGCGAGGAAGATGGTTGCAGCCAGTGTGGGCCTGTTTTTAATGTCGCATGTACTGCCGTAATCCCACCGGGAGCAAGAGGAGGAGAACAATCCCTCCATTCAGGTCAGTTTCTCTCTTTCATTCACTCCATGCTTTTACATGACATGCTCTCCAGTAATGCAATTTGACTGTAATTTTTTTTCAGCCAGTTCCTGTTTTTGGAGGAAGAGACCTGGAATCAGCCAGAGCAGAGAGGTGAATCACCCTTCATCCATTTTTTTTACATCTATATCGTTGACCATGTTGAGATCAGGTTTTGTGTTTGTTTTCCTGTAGACATTTGCTTTCTTAGATCATGTCTCTTTTTATCATTTGGCAATGCTTTGTGATATTTTAGGGTTAAAAATGACTGGTTGTGCTTCGTATCCATGTTTTTGATGGATATGCTTTTGAATTCATTGAAGTTTAATGTAAATGAATATGATGCACTTACAAAAAAGTATAAATGGTATTACCACAAAGTACTATATTAAAAATATATAGAAATGATTTGCTCTTTGTTTGTTAACTTTAGTTAATTTATTAACTACCAATAACTAATAGTTCCTTGTTGTAAAGTGTTACTGTAAAAACTATGGTACAATTTTAGTTCAATAGTATTTTCAAAATACCAAATTATAATCTTATGATACAATCATTGTATCATTTGGATTTCAAATGGTAACATTTCAAAGATATTTTTTGAGTAAAAACTGATTTCATATGTAAAAAAAAAAAAAAAAAAAACTCAGTCTAGTAGACATCAAGGAATTTGTTTTGGTGCTGAGGCTTCCAGTGCACATATACAACTACAACAAGAAACATAGTAATACAAATTCTATATATATATATATATATATATATAAATTGAATATAAAAATATGAGAATAAAAGTGTCACAGTTGGGTTTAGTCAGGATAAGCATTTACAGATTTACAGATTATGAGCGTATTTACAGTGTTTTAAATATTATAAATGTTCTACATATGAATTTCACATGAGTTTAAGATATTGCACTAAACAGTGGGAGGCATAAGTGCAATACTCCATCCGCCATCAGGACCCTCGAAATCAAATATGTTTAAACTCTTAAAGACCCGATGAGTAAAATGTATTTACTTTTTCTCATGTCGTCCCAAACCTGTATGAATAACTTTCTTTTATAAAACACATTTTGAAGAATGTTGGTAACCAAACTGTATCGGTTCCCTTTGACTTCCATTGTATGGACAACATATGGTTTTCTTACCAACATTCTTCAAAATATCTTCTTTTGTGTTTCACAGAAGAAAGAAAGTCATACAGGTTTGGAACGACATTAGTACATTTTTGGGTGAACTATCCCTTTAATATGGGTTGGTATTGAGGTTAAGAACAAATGGTTATGTTGATTATTTTGTCTTCCAGATAAAACTACAGAAGCGAGTTTCCTCTTGCCATGCAGTACCACTCACCTGAGGTGTCCCGTCTGTATCAGACCGAGTTCATCCGGAGCGCGCGGGCGGTGGGCGTGCTGTGGGCCATCTGTACGCTCTGCTTCGCCATCATCGAGGTGGTCATCCTCATCCAGCCGTCCTGGGTGGGCACTCGAGAGCTGCACTACCGCGGAGGAGGACCGGCCCCTCCGAGCGGGACGCTGGGCCTCTTTGAGGTCTGCGTGGAGACCGATTGGCCCGTCCCAGAATGCCGTGGGTCTCTTCACACCCTGACCCCACTCCCTGCCTTCCAGTCTCCCGCTGTGCTGGTGTGCATGTCTCTCACCATGGTGTGGGCCAGCGTGGGCTGCCTGTGTCTGTTCCGCTTCTGCAACACAGCAACCGTCTATAAGATCTGTGCTTGGCTGCAGCTCACAGCAGGTGAGACGCTTCTCAGGTCAAAGAAGTGAAATGTTGCGAGATATTAACATTTAAACCAACTGTGTTCTCTCTTGACATTACTCCAGTCTTCAGTGTCACATGAGCCTTCAGAAATCATTGTTTTTGTGCTGCTTAATAAAGTGTTGCATTTATAATTAGATAAACACGAAATAAAACATTTATATAAAACAGAAATCTTCTTTAACAGTCTGTCACTCCGAGCCGAATAGAAGTAGTAAATCTTACGGACTCCAATATACGTATAATTTAAGTCAAATCTAATTTCTTGGTATAAAAAGAAGCCTGTTTTAGGACCATTATGTTCTTTTGCATTGTAACACTATTTTCATGACAATCAGGCAATTCATTTTCCTTCAAAAATAATTTGGGAAATAATAATTAATGAATGGTTTCACAAGTGAAAGATATATGTGTGATTCCCTCTAAAGAGCTCATATAATATCATTTTTAAAGCAATTTTCTGTCTGGTGTTTCCTCATGTTATTCAGTTGGGGGTTTTTTTGCACCAAAAACATCATGATTCAGTTTCCCATGACTCTTATGATTTATGCCCTGAGTATCATCACCTTAAGAGTTAAACATGCCGCTATTGTACCTTTCAAGATTTCTGAAGGATGTAAATGAGCTTGTTTATGATTGGCTAACCTCTTTGTGTGTTCACAGGCTGTAGGTTTGCTGTCGAGTCCTATATAGTTTCACTGACGGCCTCTTTGCAGAGCTATAGTACATTGAGAATCTCTCCACACTGAAATGTGACCTTCTTGACTAGAAAACATGTTAAGCAGCAGATTATATCTTGTTATATATTATATATCGTTCCTAATGGATATCTGTTTGTGTCCCCAGGCTTCTGTTTGGCCCTGGCGTGTGTGTTGTTCCCAGACTCCTGGGCGTGTGCGGAGATGCGGGCGCTGTGCGGGGAGCGTGTGAGTAGTTTCTCCCCAGGGAACTGCTCCGTTCACTGGGCGTACATACTGGCCATGCTGGGGGTCCTGGATGCCGGCATACTTTCCACGCTGGCTTTTGTATTGGGGAACCGCCAAGATGCCCTTCTGCCAGAAAATGCCAAGGATGGTGATGGTAAATGGAAAATCAATTCATGTTTTATTTAGTTTTGTTTGCATGATTTTTAAACTAGATTATAAAAAACAATCTCATTTAATATATGAAGAGTTCAGTGCCATTTGAAAATTTCTTCTAGAATAATCATTTTTATCAAGCTTGTATATTTAAATTCAGTGATTTCACTTAAATGGCAATGATAATTACCTATTAATTGTTATTTAAGTGAAATTACTGAACTTAAATATACAAGTTTGATAAAAATCATCATTAAAGAAGAAAATTTCAAATGGCATTTAGAGGCTTTTGCATCTGAACTCTTCATATATATATATATGTTGTGTGTGTATGTATGCATGTATGTATGTGTATATATATATATATATATATATATATATATATACAGTATAAATATAATACATTCAAATATAAACGTTTTATGCTTTTTTACTTTATTATTATTGTTAAATAAAATTAATTTTTTTTAAATGGTTTCAGTTAATTGAAATAAAGCTGATATTAAATAAAACATAAATATTAGATGAAGCTGATGATAAAATTGCTAAAATGACCAAAACTAAACTGAAATAAAGATCAAGCTAAATAGTAAACTTATATTAACAAAATTACTACAACTAAAATGAAAATGACTCCTGAAAACATAAAATAAATAGAAATATTAATAGATATTATAATAAAATATATTACCAATATGCCAATATAAAACCTATATATATATATTATATATCAATATATTATAGAATTAACATATATAATATAACATATTCAAATATATAATTAATGTTGGCAAATTATTTTTCTTTTAATGCAGATATACAACAAACTGACTTTCCTTTTGTTTGTGATATTATGGTAATAAGGTGATATCTGGAGCTGTACTGCTTGCTTTCTTAATTTACTAAATTCCTAAAATGTACTAGATGTTAACTCGATTCATTATCACATTATCCTCTACATCCATATCATGTTTTCTCCTCTCTCCTCAGTGACGGGCTTGTTACTGGCAGCATGAAAGAGGCCTGAGCTGTTCTCAACAGCCAGAAACTGCTGGTAAAACTGGAATCAAGGTAATGTTTTTAATTGGCACTAGCATTGGCAACCCAGCATCCTCTCCTCTCTTCTGCAGCTCACATCACTGTTCCTTCTCACCCTCTCAGTCAGGTGGCGTCTGTGAACTTCACTCTCGACGATTAACGATGACATGAAACGTGTGAAGAAATGCTCGGCATGATGTCATCATCCTGTGAAGTCAGCTTACATAACCTGTCTGCGTAGAAACAGTCACCTGGCAACTGTATCCGAGTCCTTTCTCCCCTGAGGGAGGAACATTAGTCTGATCTAATAATGGTGGCTTTAAATAGAGAAGAGGAAAGGTCATTTTCTTTAGTGCATTTCTATTTGAGTTATCGTCCAAGTCTAACAGATAAAATGAATGTTGTTTCCAATTAAATGATCTTTGGTTCAGTGTTCTGGACATTTCTTGTGCATGAATTTAAGACGAGATCTGAAGATGTAGTCACAGTTTCAGTGTTGTAATTCAGTCACACTTAAGATTAGGGTCCAATTCTCACTATTAACTAGGACTTTTCCCCAATTAACACCTAATTACTTCTTATAAATCGTTAGTACGGTTGTTAAGTTAAGGTATTGAGAAGGATTAAGGGATAATAGTCATGTGGAATAAGGCTTTATTACAATAAACAGTTAATATCCTAGTAATATGCATGCTAGTTAATAGTGAGAATTGAACATTAAATTAAAGTGTTACCTGTTATTCTATATATCTGTTTAATTAGTTTAATTGTTGACCTATTTATATTTTTAATGCATGCACACACACACACACACACACACATATACACTGCCCGGCCCTGAAAAAAAGTCGCTGTTTGGATTAAAATAGGCAAATACTCTATAATTGGATCATTATTGTTGTGATTATTATGTTTCTAATATGGTAAAGTCAACTTCAACATGCCGTCTGAATCGTCGTCACCCACCGTTTATACACAAGTCCTTTTGTGTTTGTGTGATTTTTTTTAAAGCCAATGCATTACATGCTAAATGTGAAGTCATTTTTAATTCACTTTCAGTTTATAAGCAATGCAAATTTCTCAACAAACTGTCGGTGTTCACATACACTTTATTAGCACGTACAGTGATTTTTGTTGTTTGACAAAACTTGCAGTGCAGATATGAATTTTTGTACAAGATCTTATGGCTGCACGAATATCGAAAAGCGTTTATACTGTATACTCAGAGAGCCACGATTTCCTTCACAAATTCATATAGTCAGATTATAAACCCAGAGGGCATGAAAGTTGGGACAGTGATTAGTTATTGTCAGACAGAGTGCTTCAAAGCCAAGTCAAGGAGGACAAAAAACATTTCATCAAGCTCGGATAGGATGCAAATGACATTAATGACACACGCCACTATAACAGCCAATCAGAGAAAGAGAGGACGACATTTAGATGAGCATAAACTCGCATAGTGCTGCTTATCGCTGTATAAAGCAGCTGATCTGATGTGTTGTGCTGTTTAAACCTGTACCAGATATCTTCTGCAATAAATATAATATTTCAGAGAGTTTTGTTTCTCAGTCATTTGTTTCAAACAAAAATGTCATTTCTAAAAGAACATACAATAGATGTAGTAGTAGATTTAGGCATGTCTTCCAACTGTTACTGTAAATATCAATGAAATTAATTTGTGAAATCAAATAATAAAGTGAAATTGACTGATTTTGGATTACGCGGTTTCATAGGTTGATGTTCGGGTTTGTTCTGTGTAGATTCATTGCTATTTGGATGTAAATGTCTATCACTTCTGTTTACAATTTAAACATTTTCTACACATGATGAACAACATATATATACGATAGATTTATTAATGTGTGATTCTTAAGAAATCTTTCTAATAAGCTGATGTGGAGCTCAGGAAACATTTCTTATTATCAACGTTGAAAACAGTTATTCAGTGAATAACTGAAAACGATGAACATAATTTAACTGAAATAGAAATATTTTGTAACATTACAGTCCCTTTTGATCAGTTTAATGCATCCCTGCTGAATACAAGTGTTAACTTATTGACCAAAAAATAAAAATAAACGTCAAACTTTGAATGTGGTAGTGTATGTAAATTTGATTTCACAATGTTTAAGTTGTGAATGATCAATGGGTAGCTGTTTTATAGGCTAATTTATGTTCATTATTACAGAAAATATTCAATACAGCAACCTAGAAATGACTTTATTTTCCATATAGAGCCGTATTAACAGCAGAAAGTACAATGTGAGCTCTGTTGCTTCGCTTAAAAACTGAAAATGGGGTGCAGAGGTTCTCCACACCCACAGACAGCTGTAAATATATGGAGCATGATAGGAGCAGAACCAGCAAACGCTCCTTTAATCAGTGGAGAAGCTCATGGACTCTGGGTTACTGAGATGTAAATGGCCCTGTGGTTAGTCAGAGACCAGCAGCCTAAATAATTGGGTTACCAACAGGTATTAAAATGCCTGTACCATGTGGCAAGAAAGAAGGACAACAAAAAGCATATTCCATAAGCTGTTATGTGTGTGGAATTTATTACAGTATAACATCGAAACGGCGTAACATCACATCAGAGTACCTTGGCAAGCAGGCCTGATTGGAGTAGATGTAGGCAGATGACAATGAATGCTGGCGTATCAGTAAGCTCGCTCTGTCTGTCTAGATTTCCTTCTATTTCCCCTCCCCACTTTTCCCTTGTTTTCCTCTGACTCTCATGCACTCTTCAGGCTGGCAGGTACTGGAGGATGTGCTGTGCGATCATGGCGGGGTCGAAGGTCAGGGCCCTGCGCTTGCGGCTGGTCTTTTTGGGGGGCGGCAGGTCAGTGTCTATGCGCTTCATTCTCTGCAGGCCGACATGTGCCGTTCTGTCGTCGTCATCGTCGTCGTCGTCATCGAGTCTCTTCACCCTCAGCAGTGACGCCTCCACCTGCGGGACGGGGGCCGAGTCTAGGGAGCGGCGGGAACGTTTTAGGACGGGTCCTCCGGATCGCTCCGCGCTGGCCACGGCGCTCAGGTCACGTTTGGCACGCTGGTTTGAAGGGCCTCCCTGACTGCCACCCGATGCCAAGCCCGAGAGGATCTTCTCAACAAGATACCTTAACATGAAATCAAAATATATCAGCTTTCATTTTAATTTTAGTTTGATATTTGTTACGTGCTTTAGTCATTTTTTAAATGACCCTGAAATTCATACATTATAGCATATTATAATGCAACTTATTAGGCCGATATTTGAAGAGTTCAGATGCAAAAGCATCTAAGTGCCATTGGAAATTTTCTTCTAAAATGATCATTTTTATCAAGCTTGTATATTTAAGTTCAGTAATTTCACTTAAATGGCAATGAAGATGACCTATTAATTGTCATTTAAGTGAAATTACTGAACTTAAATATACAAGCTTGATAAAAATGGTCATTTTAGAAGAAAATTTCAAATGGCATTTAGAGGCTTTTGCATCTGAACTCTTCATTTATAGAATAGCAAAGTATGCCTAATCAATGACTTTTGCCAACAATGAACCATGGATTTGTTTAGTTTATTATTATTTTAGTTGGATACATTTTATTTTTTAATTTCAACAAATAAAACGTATAACGTTCAAAACTCATCCATGAGAAGAAAAATAAACACAACCGTTTTGTGTAGCCTTGTGCGAACTTAATCAATAGAATTAGACTTCTAGAATGTTCTTTCAAATGCAAAAAATAATATTTTTTATTTAGTAGTTTTTCTTATCATTCCTTTTCCTCGATTTACTGAAGCCTATATGTAAAACACATGTAATTTGCAGCTGCACAGCCCTGTATATATCTATGCCGTCTGGCTCGCTCATAGGCTGTGCTGCGGCAACTGCACATCCAATGGCGCGAGCGCCTCTGACCTGCGACCAATGAGATAACTCTACGTTATTGCATGTCAGAGCCCGCCAAGGGGGCGCCAAGTCCCCGAATTTTCCATTATAGCAGGTCTTTGTTCATTCATAGTCTGTCTGACATATATTAGAAGATGTGTCTGTCATGGATTTGCACTGAACTGATTCTCAAAAATACGGAACAAAGTGCGTTCCGTATCAGTTCAATACGGAACAAGACTTTTATGCGTCAAATACGGAACGATTCCGTATTATACGGAACGGTTGGCAACCCTATTTCCAGCTAGTAACAATCCATTTGTTTCAACTTTATTTTAATGAACTAAAACATTTGTAATATGGCCTGGCTACTGGTTTTCGTTACCTAAGCATCTCTTGGTCTTTGTCCTGCTCTCTCTCTGGAATCCTGTTGGTTGTCGGAGCGAGTCCAGCCTGCATCAGTCTCTCCTGCTTGTAGCGGTTGAGTAGAGCCTGAGTAAGCTGAGGATCCAGAAGGCCCTGGGGCTTGGCCATGCTCACGGCCTGCTCGGTCTCATCGTAGTCCGGAGGGTACGGTGCCTGAAAATCCCCCTCATCCTCCTCGTCTTCCTCTGGTTTGCCCTGTCCGTTGTTCTGTGCTTGGTTAAGGAGACGCAGCATTGATGCCAGATAAGCTGCTTCTTGTTCCCGCCTCTGATCGTTCTCCACCAGGCGCTGGAGGGCCTGTCCCAGACCTTGAGCTCTCAGGACCTCCGGCTGGTAGTACAGGTCATTGCTCCGGCTCTTGAAGTCAGCAGCTGGATAAGCCATCATCTGGGCCTCGTAGGGCACTGAATCCCGCAGGTCTCTTCGGAGACGCACTCCTCCCGCCTGGCTGTCAAAACTGCGACCTCCGCCACGCATGGCAGAGAGAGGCTGAGAAACAGAAGGAGGAAGACAAAACCGACAGCTGACTGGTGAAAAATGTCTTCTGTTTCCATGTTAAAGCAATATAAACAACTTTGTGCACATTTTGGTATACAGAGAACTTTTATTTGCATGCATTGTACTCTTAAATATACCATTTGTAAAGTTACAGTACATTGGCTCCCCCAACACACACACACACACTCAGGCCCTGCCATATAATACACACACGTATATTATTTTTCATTATTTTTTAATACATTTTAAAATATTTTTAAATCCGCCAAACCAATCTTTATCATGTTTCCCATATTTTAAACCCTATAACGAACAACAATATGTTTTTTTTTTTTAAATAAGCATTAAAATACACTACATTTGTATTCAGTAGGCCAACGTTCGTTGTAAATTCATGGGCGTTTTTAATCAGTAGCCATGTTTCCATCCACTTGTCAAACGAATTATCTAAAGTTCGGTTAAAAAACTCATGCGGATAAAGCTGGTGAAAGTGTGTTTCCATCCAACGACTTTAAAGCGAATAAAAATTAAAAACCTGTACGTAATGACGTCACATGCTGTTTTGCGATCAAATCACGTGACGTTGAACTTGATAACCGTAGCAAAACTTTGCGCACCGTTTTGAACTGCGTGCCCCAGGTGAAGAAGAGAAACCCTGAAACAAGTGAGGTTGAACGAGAGAGCTATGCATTTTCAGCATGATTTTCAGTGATATGAGTGGAGGATGGAGTTATACTGCGCATTGGTAAGTAGATGGAAGGAATGGGGCTCTCCATTCATAAATGTTTATGTTTGTAATGGTCTGGCGCCGCAAGATTAACGTTAGTTCCCTGGACAGGTGACAGTGTTTGGTTTGTGGGGATTTGGTTTAGCTAACGTTAGCGGTAAATTTGTGAAATTACATGAATTAAAAATGGATAAAGATGCTATAATAGATTTCAGTCACTTTGGTAGTTTCAGCTAAACTTTTTTAAAATTATTTTTAAGGCATTAGGGTGGATTTTAGCAGTGATGTGTAACATTAGCTAATGTAGGCTAGCCATTTGGCGGTTTGAATTTTAGCTAACTATAGATTTTTGAATTGTAGTCTTTTAAAAAGGCATCTTAAATAATAAACTAAGTGCAATGTAGTGTTGTAAAAAAGAAATGTTTATTTTTTGATACTTATCTACTGAAATATTATCTGAAAAGCTTGGAGGGGGAAGGGGGGCGGGGGTTAAAATGACAACAACAGCTAATATAGATACAGTCGGCAACGCGTCATAGTTGGGGGGCGTGGTCGGTGTGGGGGAAAGCAGCGCGACCATCCTATGTATTTGAATGACAAAAATGTCATATTGCGAGTCATTTATGCCTGCCGACCGGCAACGGTACATTGCAAAATTAACTGTAATAGGTTATGATTGCCCTTATTTAATTAAAAACTGGGTCAATGACCCAACCAAATGGCCGGAGGTGTCGTTTCCAGACTATTATTATCTGGTTGAATCTTCAGGTAAGACACAAGAAAGCTACCGGCAACACAAGCCTGTAACTCAATCAACTTGCGTATAAGTTACTATAAGTCCATAAAACCATATCACTTACCAATTGTACGTATGCTTCACTCCAAACTATTAATTCTTTTGTAAAACGGTGATCATTAGTAGTCGCTACGAAGTTGCAGAGGGACTTTGCTGACAGTTATCCGAATTCTCACAGACTGCAGTCTGATAACCTTCAGCTGATAACGCTAATAACATCCCTTATGAAAAACAACTAAAGGAATCTTGTAGTATTT